GTGACGTCGAACAATTAGTCAGGATATAGATCAATAATCTCTTACTTTATTAGCTTTGGAATTTTGAGTATGTTTACTTTGTTCTTATGTTTGCATTTCAAAGGATTATATAAATCTCTTGATATTTCTGAATTGAGAAATGAATAACATGATGGTGTATGTTTATTAAAAAAACTGTTATTCATCTTGATATTAATTAATTTATAAGAAAACGACACCTTTTAATGCTCGACAATAACCATTTTGATTTTCTCTTATATTGGATTCTTATTCATGATATAAGAAAATATCTCAAAGATAGAATTAATTGGCCTAATTTGGATGGAAGCCCCAGTAATGCTTTTTACATTTACAAGTTTAATGTATTGTTCTGATTTTTCAAATTATTTGACTACTGATTTCTAAATTTTTTTGGGCTTTGGTTAAATTGGAGTTTTGATTCTTGGCTTATTAGGTCCACTTATTAAACTTGGAATTAAATTCCACAGAGATCTTAAGGAATATTTTAGAGATAAGTAACCTATAGCTATGATCAAATTACAAATTAATAAAATTTTAGGATTTGAGCAAATCAAATGAAATAATTTTTTGAAGAATTATATCATAATTTAATATTAGGATTAAACTAACTATTTTTGTATGAAAAATATTCTCATTTCTAAAGTGTATATTATAATAATATAAATGAATTTATAATAACTTAAAAGAATGATAAACTTCTTAAGTCAAAATCATCATTGTAGGACACAATTTTTCCAGAATATAAAAAATATCCTTCTTAAGACATAAAAAAAGTGTTTATGACGAAATTTAAGAGTTGTAAGCTACATATTTTCTTTTATATATTTATATGTTACTAAAATTTCTGTTTTCTACTGTGGTTTTTGCGATAATCCTACTACACTATGATTTTTGAATTTAAATTAAATATTTCTACTTTCTCTACAATTCTATGTCAACATAACCCTAATCTTCTATGCCTAAATAATAATGGTATTCAAGAAGATTCTTCAATTAACTGTCATGACAATTTTTGTTTTGTAGACAAATATCGTAAGTAATTTTAAAGCAGAAAAATAAAATGTGAAAAATCAGGCCAAAAAGAAAGTATTTTTTGAGGAGGATATTCAGCTTTTTTTGAAATAGTCAATCTGCAATTTTTATTGAAATTCAAAAGATATTTAGCCTTGATTTTCCTTTGATTTTACAAACGTATTTGACTAGATTTAATATGCCATTTCTTGGTAAATCCACTTATAAGTGGACAATTTATTTTGTTGGCAAGGATTATCCTTTCTTGTGCTTAATCAATAGTCACCTTTCTGACAATCTTTGTGGACCTTCCAATATTACATCACTTAAATTAATTATCAAATTCACAACTTTATGCGAGAAAATCCCTCCTGTCACCTCTAATTCCTTAGTAAGAAGTGAACTGATTGATTAGCTATTGGTTATATCAATTATTAAAAGAATCTATATCATTTATGCACATAATCTCCAACCAGCTACTTAACTTATACAGCTCTAGCACTTGTTTATCTTATACCTACATTTTTTTTATGAATTATGCATGGACTTCATATGTTGTTGATAGCGATAAATTCAACAAATCTTCTTGTATTACCTTATAGTATAGCTTATTTTGAAAATGGTCATTTGTATATTGTCACTTTTATGGTGCACAGCTTTCACTGCATATTGCAAGGTTAACCCTTTATCAGTTTACAATATTTATTAATAAGCTAATGATATCTGTTAAGAACGTTGTTTTAACTGAATAAATCTTCGTTAAACTAACCATTACTTTCACATTTATTAGTATTATCAATACTCTTAAGATAGATCATATAAAGAATTTATAATAAAATATTTGAAGTACATGTTAAGCATTGTATTAATGTAATTCCAAGAGCTCTTTATATTATAGAGGTGGTATAGTTGATCATTCTGATTAACTTACTTCTGGAGTCATACATTTTACGTTATTTACTAGTATTTAATTTTCATCAATGTTCATCTCCTATTTTGTTCTATGTCGAAATAGATTAAATATTTAAGAGATACACTGTTTTTAGACTCAGAAAAGATTTAAATGTGTGCCTACTTACACTTTATGTACTGAGATGGAAATACTGTTACTATAATGGAAGTTCTTTTAATTTGTTGAATAATGCAGGAAGTGAATATAACTTGACTGAAGATGGCAATTCTTGTTTTTTTCTGATGGATATTCTAAATTCTAAATGTCATTTAGATTTAAATATTCTTGCAAAACAAAATAAATGTTAGAGGTTTAGGTAAAGATTCCTGATATGGGATAAATAAGTCCAACCTTCCTAACTGATGTATTATGTTACTCGCTTCAGTTATAATGTAATCTGATGGAGATACATGAGAATTGTATTCATGAATATTTCTTTTTAGCTACATAAACATATATGCATACCTATTTGATTTATTTCTGAATAATAGGCGGTTGCGATGCAATAATTTTGTTGATAACATTATGTGTGAATCATTAATTGTTACTTAAATGTAAAACATCTATTTAATACACATCTTAATAAGCAGCTTGCACGAATTCAACTTATTGAATGTATTACACTCTAATTATAGTTCTCCTAGCGTAGAATTGTATATTATTTTCACACCAGGTAAAGCCTCTTAACTTTGTGTTTTACTCTGAGTCCTATATGCATAAATTTAACAACTGAAAGCGACAATGGAGTTGTTTCTTCTGATAAACATCATACTAATTGTACTAACTGTTCAAAGTCAATCGCGGCATTTTTTTAAAATTAGTGTTAGTTTCAACAATTATGTCATATCTGTTGATGATGGATACTATGCTACTCACATTGACCCAACAGTATGTGAAAATTAAGATGAACTTTATGTTGTTAGCCTTCCTGTTACATGTGATAAGTGCATCAGAGATGCTCTTATTTGTAGATTATGTGCTGGAGCATAGCTTCATCTACTTGCTATCTGTTCTGCAACAAATCTTGAACCATAACTTGAAATTAATAACTAACTTTTGATGTCTTGAAATATTTATTAAAATTGAGAATCATGCCTAAGCAAAGGCTTGTTTAACTAGGAGACATTTAATTTTAGTGGCTACTTGCCAATAAGTGAGAGGATCAACTAATATACTTCTTTATGTGAATTTTATTTCACTCTAAGTAAATAGATATCTCAGCATATACTGCTTATTATTAGAGATGCTCGAAAATGCACTCAATAGTTTAACCTTTAACTATATTATTAGATATCGTCTACAACTTGTGAAAGTAGTTTAACTGTTTGAAATGTAGACCAACACGATCTGGGGCTTTAATTAAAATTACTTGCACTATGCAATCAACATACCACTCCATCTGTTCAAGTTATATTTCTGGATCTATTTGAGATACTGATCAATATACTTGTATGGTTTGATCAGGTAATTATGCAACTTGTTTTTTTGCAGTATGTTTAAATAATAGCACTACTCTTGTTTAATTCATGTTATACTTTCAACATTACTTGTGCCATCAGAGCCGATGTATGTACTTGTGCTTTGCTTAACCAAATCCACATATAAAGATGGCATCTCTACAACATTTAGTATAATGAATATGAGAACTGTTTTAAAGTGTTGATATGAACAAAGTTTTCTTCCACTCACCCTAGCAAAAACTATTCAAATATGAAGTTGCTTGTCTCAAAATCCTACATGTCATATTTATATAATTTAAGATGCAGCTGAAAAAGATACTGGCAAAGTATCAGTAGCTCAGGAAATGATGATGTAGAACCAAAGAGTAACCATCATGAAAGATGTGCGACTGTTTGGACGTGATTCAGCAAAATTATACGAACTTTTTGAAGACCCTTCTAACCAAAGAAGAGATAAACAAGAAAATGTATAGTTCAACAATAGATTGCTGCTACTAGTGCCATAGAAATTTCGAATAAACTCTGTGATGATATGATGGGCAAGAGCTTTGTTGAATGCATGACAATTGAGAGAAGACTGAGGGTTCTATAATTGTGTTCTTATATTACGAATAGATAGGGTAGCTAACTGTTCACTTTTCAAATCTACAGAATCATAATCGGTTCTGTTCCCCAGAGAAAAAGACCAGCTCACCATGTGTTCGATGCAATACTTGTGGAAAGTATTATCGTTTGCGATAATAAAATAGTTATGAATGATGAGCAATTTTAACGATATTTTCGGTGAAGCTAGTTCATATGGTTGGCAAAAGACATAATTGAGATGATTAAAGGAAAAAGTATAAGTCAAAGCTGGGTGCTTCACAAACTACTTGAAAATACTCAAGCGATGGTTAAAATCATCTCTGCCATATTAATTTAAATTAGTATATTTATACCCATTTCATTCAGATTATTAAAATTAATAATTGCATCCCCTAATACTCACACCAAATATTTAACTGTATTAAACACTTTTAAAAGTTTTCTTGTCTATGTTCCTTTAATTGATTTTGAGATTCTTCATTCGTTTTCTTATGTTGACAAATAATCCATTTGGGTTCAGTCAAAATCATCATTTCATATCTCCACATTTAGTGTCAAATAGGGCTTTTGACAACTATGTTGGTATGCTTTCTTTTTCTCCATCCCTCTCCACTTGCCTCGATTTGTGATAACACTGATAGAGATAAATAATTGCCCTTGTTTAGCTTATTACTTTAGTCAAAGGTTTGGATAATTTTGATGCCATTTATAATATCAACATTATAAATCGCATTATCAAACTTAACTTCTAAACCACTGATTAAGAAAGAAGAGTTGGTTGAGATTAATTATAGATAGCATAGCTGAATTTAGTAGATTAAGCTCATTACAAATGATATTTATGACTAGGAGATCAGGGCCATGAGACTTGTAAGAGTTATTTCTCTTAATGCATCGATGATATGGAGCTAAGGCTCTACATAGATGGCAGTTATTTGGTGAATGCATCTTCTAAATTAAATTAAACATTTATGATAAGGAGACATGAGGCTTATTATGATTGTTGTTGTGCATTATGGTCACTTAAATCTGACCTTGTTATGAGGAAATCAGGTGCTTCAATGATGGCAATTTTTATAAAATTGTTAATCGCTCCAGCTCCACAATCCATATTAGCAGGTCAAAATCATCATATGACGCTGATATGATGATGAGGACAGACTCATTGTAAATGATAATGATTGGTTTAGGGTATTATGCTAACTAAAGTGACTATTTTTGAAAAAGAAGGCCGAACTCATCATAAATATCAGGAGAGTTAATTTGATTACATGTGAGCATTACAGTCAAAAGAAAGTTAGAATTACCAAGGATGGATAGATTTATTGTTTAAATCATACTTAGTACAAACAAGCATCTTTTGATGAGAAGGTCAGATTAATCTTTTTTGGTGACATAACATTGTATATTGTGCTCATTACAATCACGATGATGAGGTAAACAATTTAATCTGTATATTTACGCATGCAGACCTCAACACTAATTCTAAGATGTCACTTTATCAAATAGTTACAATAAATGAAGAAATCTTTCGGAAATAAACAATAGCAAGTTGTTACTCCTAACAAGATGTGAAATCAAGAAAACAAAAAGGAATTTTTCACTGCCACAAAAGTAACACGTCATCAATATAATTCAGAATCCATCATCACTGTTAGGTACAGAAGGATAAAACAGATACTAATAGCACTTAATGTTTGAAATTTAGTATCAAACAATTAAGAAGAGGTTCTTAATTTTCAGAATATAGTGTTGAAAAGGCAAATTGTGCCTGAGTTTAGAACATAACATATAATGCAAGGGGGATGGACAATAAGAACAAGTAGCTTTAGATCCACTGCTACTCATATACATTCTGCTGAAGTATAATAACATTAATTAGCGCTGATAATAAATTCCTGATATGAAATATAAACATATCGAGTTCTACAAAGAAACTAGAGCGAAGAAATAATATAACAGTTTTTACTTGTTGTTTAACTAGTCGTGATACAAGGAAAAATTGAAGTACATTTGTTGTTATCATTAATTCATATAGTATTACCAATTCATATTTGAATGGTTTAGATAATTTGGTAGATAAGAATTGGCAAGCAATACCACTCAAGTACATATTTTGCATAAGCCTACCATTGAAGAGATGAATTTATATAGCTTAAGTATTTAATTATGTTGTTTCAATTTAGGAGAGGAGGGAAAATTCATTAATTCTATTAAAGATCAAGCATGTAGGTGTTTGAGCAAAAGTGGCAGAGGAGCTTTGCATTTAGTTTATGATAAACTAAAATAAAAGGATTTATCATCCTTTTAATATTTCTGAATACGGCTCTACATGTTAATCCATCCATACTAATTTTTACCACTAGAATAAGTTTATGAATGTTTTTGAGATATTAATTTTGTAGCATGCTTTGCATAATGTGGTAGAAACATAATAATTTTCTAAGAAATAGCAAGCAACACTAAATCTAAGGAAGAAGCATAGTAATAGGATGATAATCTAGTTACATCACAAGCTTAAATATCAACATAATAAATACATTAAGTAGCGACTTTTGGAATGACTTTGGTTATCATAACAATCTATAGTTACAAATTGTTATGATCGCTACAGTTGTAGTTGGCAGAAGGCAACCATAAATTTCCCTGTAGTATTAACACATGAAATGAAGCAAAGAGTGAATGGCTTATTATTAAAGTTAAGACAGAGCCAGCAACACTATTACTAAGCGCAGTAATGTTGACTGAAGATGCTAGAACGTCATAAGCATAGCGCAACCGCAGGATCTCGGAAGGTGTCATAATAATAACATGAAATTTTTAGAAAAAATAGCTGAAGTGACTACAGGATATTTAAAGTCTAGTGATGACATAATTTCATAGCCATATATTCTTATTAGAAGATACTTATCCCAAAAAGTTTCTACACAATCTTAGTTTGGATGAGATTAGACAGCGTTCAGCCATATGAATAAATGAGATTTTTTTGCCTCTTTACCTTATCATTCCACAGTTTGGTCATACAATGGATTAGAGTTCATATTCATATTAAAAAATTAATGAGTTTGATGCACCTTTTATTGCACAATGATACTCTACGAATCACTGAAGTAATTAAATAAATTATCAGATGCCGTTAAATTTCCTTTGGCCTAAATGATGTTTGGACATTATCAAATGGAACCGGTAGTAGAAGAATAATCTTTTGACGGTTGATAAGACAAAGCAAAGCAACTCTTTTAAAACGTATTTATTTCTACAGTTTTCTTTGTTCTAAAAAAGTTCAAATATTTCTGCATGAAAGTAACTTCTTATTAGAGAGTACTAACTGCTCCCTGTAATAAACTAAATATTTTCCTTTTTTATATTTGACATTAAGCATCAATTCTGATGCTCAACTAATGGTTCTGAAAGGATAGTTATTTATCTTTAATTCTAATTTAATTCGTACAACTTCTATTTAATCTTATGTATCTCCTTTTATACTCAGGTAAGGTATTCTGAATATAGGTCTATTGTAGCACTGCCAGAATATGCTGTTGAATCCAAGAAAAATGCCATAACCATTATAAGTGCTTCGCCTACACATAAATGTTGGATCAATTCCATACAGTGTTACTATAAGCACATAATTTATGGGTAATACCAATATTTTCTAGTTCACAAAAGAAAGAATTGTAAGAGGAAGCCATGATAAAATCATTTATAGTTTCACATAAGTTGGTTCTGTGTTACAGTTTTGGACTGATTTATACTATGTCAATATCCAGATATACATGGTGTCATAACTCCTGAATCTAGTTACTATTTTTGGTCGTATGAGTTTAAATCTTTTTGTCCAACCTGAATTGGACTCTGTAACGATACCTTAAGATTAATCGCAAGAAAAGTTTTCTTATCAAAATCTATTAAAATTTTACTAAGTAATTCATTTTATTTGCACTCCGATTATTAAAATATAATTTCAAATTTCGAAATAGACACCTCATACACATTTTCAGGGTGACACCATTTTTGCATCAGCACTCAAAATTGGATGTGTTACAACTACCCTAAGGCAAAACTTGCCATCCTAGTTTGTAAACTTCTTTAGTTGATTCACATTGTTTTTTATTAGTGATGTTGGTAGCAATCCCCTCATTTTTATTTACAGATTAATTAAAATTCTCCAAATGTTCCTTTTCCTTACTTACATGAAGTGTATAATTGCTGTTAGTAATTGCTAAGCTTGTGAGATGGATGAATCTTTTCAACGCATCAGTAATTAATTTTTGTCTTAATCAATACATCATTTACATTTTGTATTTAAGTGTGGCCATAATTAGTCAAATGATTATTAAATAATAGAAATTGTTGCATACTCTTCTTTGTTGCATTAGTAATTTGAGTAAGTTCAATTACTACCTGAAGGTATTTTATTTATCATATGCAGAACTGTTTGTAATGCACGAATCAAAATTACTTAATAATAATGACTTTAAAACAAATGCACAAGATTAGATATTATAGATAATGTACAAACTCTGTATGGATTTGCAAATTATTTATATCAAAAGAAATTCATATTGGTAGGCATGATAAAATCCTCCCTTTTTTCTGTCCAGGTAATAGTATTCACACTTTTATGTTAGGGAACTGCAGATACAGATATATAGAAGAACATACCCTGATAATTAAGTGCATTCAATTAAAAATGAATTTAAAAGAAAAAAAATACTAGAACAACCCTAAAAATATCGAATAAATTGTAACGTTTTAGTCCAGGTAGCCTAAGTTTGAGAAAATTCATGAATACTATATTTGTAGGCATTTTTATTTGCAGAAATTATACATGTTTTGGAAATTAATACATTAAATTGCATTATTTACTTTTAGTAATGCTCAGGAAACCAAATACTTTTGCGTTGATTTGTTGAATCTTTGTTGAATTTTGTTCAATATAGGAAATTTATATATAAAAATATGGACTTTAAGTACAATATAAGCAGTGTTATTAGGTAATAGGGAAACAGTAAGACATTGACAAGTAAATCACCCACAGAATCAATCTCCTCTAGCCAAGCCATCAGAACATATTATCAAATCATTAAGTCTCCAGTACTCCTTAGAAGAAAATAAAGTGTTTGGTTAGAAACAACCTATTGTTAAAACTCAGCTATAGGGTGCTCATAACAAATTGCACTGTACCTATGCACAGATACATATAGTGCATAATCTGGCAACTTCTAGATGTAATAAGTTATTTGAGGCTTAGCAAGCTTAAGATCTAATTGAAAGAAAAATATTCACTATAAGCAAAACAACATGATGATATGATGAAGTATATTAATGAAAATGCTTTAAATAGACTGAAACCAGGAATAAATCATGAACAAGCGTTGTCTTCAGACCAGGCAATATCAATTATAACAACTCAGTAACAGCATATTGGCATTGTTTTGTCTAAATTGATCTTATATTACTCTAAATTTGCAATCAGTAGATACAAGAAATTTTTTTGATAATCTTCTTATCAACAATAATATCCAGTAGATATGCGTTGTTCTGGAAAGACTATTTTTTTTATCACGCTTTTAAGTTTAGATTACAAGGTTCTCCATCTCTGTTGTCTATATCATCTCAAGGAATGCAAATATGTACAACCCTTCAGTTGTTAAGGAGTTTAAAAAATTACTTCAAATTCCTATTCAGCTTGTATCACATGCAAAATATCAACCTCATGTCTGGATAGTCTAAGTTAAAAATAATTTATATTGTAAAATATCATTCTATAATGTCTAACATGAATGGAAATGTATGCTAAAAGCATCATTTATCTTAATAACAGTCATTGATTCATTTCTAATATTAAGATTGATCAAGTTTATGTTATTGAATGTTTACTAATAGTAAAAATTGCTAAAATGTTACTTTTCTAAGTTTTAATTACTTAAACGCTCCTCTACAAACGATTAGTCGCTAAAATCTTAGTCATTATGTAGGAACTTATTTATTTTTGTGCAACGTTCATCCTCAATATCTCAAGTATTACAGGTGCTGCAAGGTAGGCATCATAAATCCTCAGTTGGTTTAGTTTACAGCTAGAGCTTTATTTCAAATTGTATTGCATCCATCTGCAGATTATCTATAATTTATGTGTGTGATCTAGCTCATTTTGAGACCGAATAAATTTTAATTATGCTAGTAAAAGTAGAAGANCAGATATATAGAAGAACATACCCTGATAATTAAGTGCATTCAATTAAAAATGAATTTAAAAGAAAAAAAATACTAGAACAACCCTAAAAATATCGAATAAATTGTAACGTTTTAGTCCAGGTAGCCTAAGTTTGAGAAAATTCATGAATACTATATTTGTAGGCATTTTTATTTGCAGAAATTATACATGTTTTGGAAATTAATACATTAAATTGCATTATTTACTTTTAGTAATGCTCAGGAAACCAAATACTTTTGCGTTGATTTGTTGAATCTTTGTTGAATTTTGTTCAATATAGGAAATTTATATATAAAAATATGGACTTTAAGTACAATATAAGCAGTGTTATTAGGTAATAGGGAAACAGTAAGACATTGACAAGTAAATCACCCACAGAATCAATCTCCTCTAGCCAAGCCATCAGAACATATTATCAAATCATTAAGTCTCCAGTACTCCTTAGAAGAAAATAAAGTGTTTGGTTAGAAACAACCTATTGTTAAAACTCAGCTATAGGGTGCTCATAACAAATTGCACTGTACCTATGCACAGATACATATAGTGCATAATCTGGCAACTTCTAGATGTAATAAGTTATTTGAGGCTTAGCAAGCTTAAGATCTAATTGAAAGAAAAATATTCACTATAAGCAAAACAACATGATGATATGATGAAGTATATTAATGAAAATGCTTTAAATAGACTGAAACCAGGAATAAATCATGAACAAGCGTTGTCTTCAGACCAGGCAATATCAATTATAACAACTCAGTAACAGCATATTGGCATTGTTTTGTCTAAATTGATCTTATATTACTCTAAATTTGCAATCAGTAGATACAAGAAATTTTTTTGATAATCTTCTTATCAACAATAATATCCAGTAGATATGCGTTGTTCTGGAAAGACTATTTTTTTTATCACGCTTTTAAGTTTAGATTACAAGGTTCTCCATCTCTGTTGTCTATATCATCTCAAGGAATGCAAATATGTACAACCCTTCAGTTGTTAAGGAGTTTAAAAAATTACTTCAAATTCCTATTCAGCTTGTATCACATGCAAAATATCAACCTCATGTCTGGATAGTCTAAGTTAAAAATAATTTATATTGTAAAATATCATTCTATAATGTCTAACATGAATGGAAATGTATGCTAAAAGCATCATTTATCTTAATAACAGTCATTGATTCATTTCTAATATTAAGATTGATCAAGTTTATGTTATTGAATGTTTACTAATAGTAAAAATTGCTAAAATGTTACTTTTCTAAGTTTTAATTACTTAAACGCTCCTCTACAANACTTAATAATAATGACTTTAAAACAAATGCACAAGATTAGATATTATAGATAATGTACAAACTCTGTATGGATTTGCAAATTATTTATATCAAAAGAAATTCATATTGGTAGGCATGATAAAATCCTCCCTTTTTTCTGTCCAGGTAATAGTATTCACACTTTTATGTTAGGGAACTGCAGATATATAGAAGAACATACCCTGATAATTAAGTGCATTCAATTAAAAATGAATTTAAAAGAAAAAAAATACTAGAACAACCCTAAAAATATCGAATAAATTGTAACGTTTTAGTCCAGGTAGCCTAAGTTTGAGAAAATTCATGAATACTATATTTGTAGGCATTTTTATTTGCAGAAATTATACATGTTTTGGAAATTAATACATTAAATTGCATTATTTACTTTTAGTAATGCTCAGGAAACCAAATACTTTTGCGTTGATTTGTTGAATCTTTGTTGAATTTTGTTCAATATAGGAAATTTATATATAAAAATATGGACTTTAAGTACAATATAAGCAGTGTTATTAGGTAATAGGGAAACAGTAAGACATTGACAAGTAAATCACCCACAGAATCAATCTCCTCTAGCCAAGCCATCAGAACATATTATCAAATCATTAAGTCTCCAGTACTCCTTAGAAGAAAATAAAGTGTTTGGTTAGAAACAACCTATTGTTAAAACTCAGCTATAGGGTGCTCATAACAAATTGCACTGTACCTATGCACAGATACATATAGTGCATAATCTGGCAACTTCTAGATGTAATAAGTTATTTGAGGCTTAGCAAGCTTAAGATCTAATTGAAAGAAAAATATTCACTATAAGCAAAACAACATGATGATATGATGAAGTATATTAATGAAAATGCTTTAAATAGACTGAAACCAGGAATAAATCATGAACAAGCGTTGTCTTCAGACCAGGCAATATCAATTATAACAACTCAGTAACAGCATATTGGCATTGTTTTGTCTAAATTGATCTTATATTACTCTAAATTTGCAATCAGTAGATACAAGAAATTTTTTTGATAATCTTCTTATCAACAATAATATCCAGTAGATATGCGTTGTTCTGGAAAGACTATTTTTTTTATCACGCTTTTAAGTTTAGATTACAAGGTTCTCCATCTCTGTTGTCTATATCATCTCAAGGAATGCAAATATGTACAACCCTTCAGTTGTTAAGGAGTTTAAAAAATTACTTCAAATTCCTATTCAGCTTGTATCACATGCAAAATATCAACCTCATGTCTGGATAGTCTAAGTTAAAAATAATTTATATTGTAAAATATCATTCTATAATGTCTAACATGAATGGAAATGTATGCTAAAAGCATCATTTATCTTAATAACAGTCATTGATTCATTTCTAATATTAAGATTGATCAAGTTTATGTTATTGAATGTTTACTAATAGTAAAAATTGCTAAAATGTTACTTTTCTAAGTTTTAATTACTTAAACGCTCCTCTACAAACGATTAGTCGCTAAAATCTTAGTCATTATGTAGGAACTTATTTATTTTTGTGCAACGTTCATCCTCAATATCTCAAGTATTACAGGTGCTGCAAGGTAGGCATCATAAATCCTCAGTTGGTTTAGTTTACAGCTAGAGCTTTATTTCAAATTGTATTGCATCCATCTGCAGATTATCTATAATTTATGTGTGTGATCTAGCTCATTTTGAGACCGAATAAATTTTAATTATGCTAGTAAAAGTAGAAGATGCTCTAATTTAATAACAATACTGGTAGAAATATTAAGTGTAGTAAAGCAGGAGCTTCCGATAAGACTTAATCCATGTAGGTATCATATGCTTTTTTAGGTAGTAAAATTATATGGCTAAAGCATATTTTATACAAGTACCGGGTGCTGCTCATCAAGGATTGTACTTTTACATTTACATGCTTCTTCAACTAATGTTACATAATTTTGTGCTACAATTTATCAGGTTTCAGTTCAAGATTACATTGAATTATTTGACTCACAAGATGTAAAAGGGTTAATTAGTGCCGCATTTATAAGTACCATCAAACATAACTTATCACCCTCATTAATAATAGTTTTTGTGTAAAATATTCTAATAAAGTGAACCAACTATAGACTTGAGATAAAGAGGTTGCATATCAATAAATTTTCTGAAATTGCTACCAGAATTGAATGTCTTAATAACGATATTAAAAATAATTATGTACTCTTAGTTCTGGCTGTTTAATTTAGGAGGTCTAATCAATACCCAGCATATAGATCTTCAATATCAGTTTGATTCCAAGTGATTTACATTTCCTTTTAGTGTTGTAATCATTCAAACATCGTAATTGAATAAAAAAGCAAAAATTTAATCATCAGAAGACACAAATCGTATAAAAAATCTTGAGTAACAGCCCTTTAATCAAAAGAGATAAGCTTTGCTAGTAATTCTAATCTTCAAGAATGGAAAAAGTCTTGAGGGAGAATCAAAGGTGCATTTATTGAGATGACAATAACACTCATATTTAGTTCTGATTATGATTCAAACAAGATAACAATCAGTATGAGTTGAACTCTACGAAGATTACTGTAACAAAAAACAAGGAAGCAAAACAACAATCAGCACATTCAGTGATAGAAGAGCAGGTTGATTCTTTGCGTGCCAAGGATCGGCGGAATAAGAGCTCTTTATATAAGTGAGACTAAACTGCAAAGGTGCAATCTCCATTATCATGATTGTATGCATAACACAAGACATCATCACAAAATGTAGCAGTAATTGTAGTTGTAGCCTTCAAATTACGATTAGCAAGATGTTCATCAGTTGCTTTTTTAAATATTGCTAAATCCTTTTTAGTTATTAGTACCGCTACCATCTCTAGATATAGACTGTGTGCTTGATATCGGGACTTCTCGCATAAGAAAGTATTTTAGGCATGTTAAAGCCAGTTGCTTTCTTCTATGCACTTGAATAAAATAACAGCCAGTACATTATTAATAATAGTTTCATTAATAAGAAGACAATATATATAGTGTTCAAGATTTAGGAGTTTAAAATACATTAATTGCACTTTAACGGTAATGATTGGATTTGGAAAATCGTCCTAATAAACAAAAAAGAATCCTAAGAAACCAGATAACCTTGAAATATTAACACTTCTTGATAATTGCACACGTATACACGATATTTCTAAAAAATAGTTATTTTCAAAGATGATAGAATTGCATTAAGAAACATGGTAAAAGATGGAAATCAAGATGTGATAGCAATACTCAATACTTATAGGAAAATAAGTAATTCAAAATAAATGTCAACTGAACTCCGTAAATATTTAAGAAAAAAAGGAGAAAAGGAAAATGATACAGCACCTCAATGCTAATCTCCTAAGTCGAATAAAAACCAAAAGTTATTTCAATAATAACTTCGCTAATTTCCAAATAGTCAAAAGAATTCATGTCCTGATTATTGCAAATTTGCAGATACTTCATCTGCTAAAATTATTAATCTTGCAAAAGTTAAAGAATTAACAAATGATGTTTAACTGTCTGAAATTATACTTTCAGATAGAAATCAGAATGAATCCAAAGATATTGAAAAAATATAGTATTATACAACTAATACTCGACAATATATTCTAGAATTGCAACCAAATTTTGATAATTCTGAGATAAATTCTAATACTATTTAATAAGAGAGTGAAATTTAATATAGTTAAAATTAATAATTTTTGGAGAAGGAAATTGATATCAACTAGAGGAATTATGATATTTAATTAGAGTCTTCAAATGAAATCATTATAAAACAAATCACTGAACCTCCTTTATAATTAATCCAAGATCAAACTGCCAAAAATGATATTAAACCAACTTAACTATTTTCCAGCAGAAACTCGAGTTATATTTAAATAAATATTGCACAATCATATCTATAACCGGCATAAACCTAACAATAAGATTAGTAGCAAAATGCAGAACAAAGTGTAGCATATTAAATCAAAGAGAAAATCATAGTAATTGATTTTCAATAAAATTATAGTTTTTTTAACTATTAAGATTGCTAAATCTAAGCTCAATCAGCTTATAAACATTATTTCACTCATTGGCCTACGCTTTTACATAAATTAGATAAACCAGAATATATCCCAAATTATAAATCAGGACTATATATAGATACCACACCTGAATATTTATTTACCCTACTATTTCCTAATTCATCTTATATCAGAATTAATTACTTCTAATTCGAAAAATAACTTAAACAAGCTTCTTTATAAATAAATATAGATGAATTGTTTAAAGTACTTGATTAAGATGGAGATGATTGGATTAATTACAGAGATACTGGTTTCATTCTTAAAAGCATTTGCTTATAAGAGGAATAACCCAAAAACTTTATTCGAGTATTATTTGAATCACTAAAATAACCGTAAAGTTCTTCAAATTCAATTACATTGATAGATCTTCAATAATTGGAGAGAACAAATTAGTTTTCGTGGGTTCGAGAGTACATTATTATTATTATTTTAGGTTAATGTAAGAAGCTGATATTTATTAAAATGGTAATTTAACAAATTGGGATTTATTTATGCATAAAGATATTTATTTGATGCAGAAAGTATACGAACTTGTTATTCAAAACAAGAATGAATCAAATAATCAAGAATAGCAATTATGATATTAAATGTATATACTAACTATGTTGATATTAATAGACTCATTTTCCAACTTTCTACTTTATTATTTAAACAAGATCTTTCAAATTAACAGTTTCTTCCTTCTTTTCGATTAAATCCTTGAATTTCACAATCTCCTATTTCACCTCATCCTCTCCTATTACAATAGCATAAGGAATCTATTGATCATTTGCATAAGTTAATTGCTTTCCTAAATTCCAATTCAATTTATAGCAAACATCAGCCTTAATTCCGTTAGACCAAAGTAAATCATAAAGTTTAAATTTTTCAGTTATCATATCGATATTTTTAGAGGGGATTGTGGCAACAATGCAATCTGACTGATTTTCACGTAAAACTACTCCGTTTTTTTTATATTTTTCTTCTAAAATAGCAAATATTCTTTCTATTCCAATTGATGCACCAACACACGGTATGCTATTTTTTGAAAACATACCAACCAACTCATCATAACGACCACTAAACAGTTTAATAAATAATAGTACCCTCCAGATATAGAACCTAATTATCCACCTAATAAAACAGTTTCTTAGATTAATCCAGTATAATAATCAAGTCCTCTTGCTAATGAGAGATCAAAGATTACATTTTTTAACCCATTCATATATTTCAACAAATTAAACAATAATTCCATCTCATCTAAGGCTTCTTTTCCTAGTTATTCAAAGATCTTTTATTCTTTAAGTTATTAGATCAACTAGAAAGGCTCTCCTCTCAATTGCACCATTTTGCTTAAGATATCTGCTTATTCTTCTGTAACTCCCTTTTTCTCAATTAATTCTTATCTAACTTCTTTCCATGGTTGTTTATCTAGTTTATCAATACTCGAGCAAACTGTCTTAAATTAATTTTTAGGAATTCCAGCAATTTGAATCATTGCATCTAATAACTTTCTATTGGAAATCTTAATTTGAAAAGGTCCTAGATCTAACTTAGTAAATATTTAATCTATTATTTTTATTAATTCAGCATCAGCCACCATAGGGTCATTCCTAGTATATAGTTTAATTGGTACTCTCCTGCAATGTCAAAATCACATTAAAAGAATTCACGGAATCTCCCTTATTATACTGATGGATTATCTCTTCTATAAACCTTTCCAATGTGATATCTTTTTAGTTTTTTATACCCATGGGTTGCAAGATACCTGGCAAATGGGACTGTTAAATCATATCGTAAAGATAGTATTTCACCTCCTTGATCTTAAAGGTCATATATCAATTTTCCTCCTTCTTCACCATACTTACCAATCAAGGTTTCTTTCAACTCAAAAACAGGGGTGTCTATTTCAACTGCACCGTGTTATTCAAATACATCTGTGATTGTTTTAAATGCTTGTCTCCTTATCACCATTTGTTGAGGTAAGAAATCTCTTGTACCTTTTGGATTTTTGACTGCTAATTATTTTTCTTTAGGTTATTGCTTAGGTTATTATTGTTATTTTTATTAGGCCTTGTTTTGAACTTGTTCCTCATCTTGCTATTCTGGTTTTTAATCCATCAATTAAATATTTATATTATTTTTTTTAATACAATATGCAAATTAGCTTTGAAATCTCGAAAATTTTCTGGTTACACCTAAACTAAGAATTCTTTTAGCTATCATTATTCTTTATTTAATAATAAAATTAATTGTGTTTATATTTTTACTCTCTATTTCCTTTAGAATAAAAACTACTCTTTTTTATAATATAAATTATCAAAAATAGAGAATAATTAAAAAACCTAAATGACTAAATATCATAATTATTTTAAAGAACTCATTGTCTTTGGCTCAAGTAGGATTTCATATGGGATTAGCGTCAAACTTAACCTCATTAGCTTCATTCTTGCACTGACATACTTCAACCAAAAATATGAGATAAAACTTAGAATAATTAACAAACCTAGTCCTGTTATGTATATGTATAATTGCATAATCGTTGTGGCTTATTATAATTTTGATTAATTTTATTCGAATAAATTGTCTCCAATGATTTGCAACAATTTTCCAGAGTCAAGAAAATATTCTACAAATTGATTTATGTGAATTTGTGTTTTTAAAAATGATACTGCTTCTGAGATTGTTTTCACTTGCAACTATTTTGATTAAATTTCTTTTGAAAAATACAAATTTAAAGTTTTTGTAAATTCTTACACGCATCCTGTTATACCTCCAGACAAATAATCAAAATTATTATCTTCCAGCCATGGATTGCCGTAGGTTGCTTTGAAGGAATCAGGAACAGAAAAATTTTGATTCGATACTCTTATAGTACAAAATGGTATTTCCTCACTCATATAATTACAGAGACTATCCTCAAAATACATCAAAAGTTCTTTCTTCTGAGATTCTAAGAGTCCAGATTAACTAGCAAGCGAATCATATATGCCTCGCATAGCATCCTAAAATCCATTAGTTTGCTCACTAAAGAGATCTAATATCAGTTAATTATTCATATCGATGTTAAAATTTTCGAATTTAGCCTTAAATTAATCGCTAATAACTTATTGAGTTTTTAGACCTTCTCCCAATACTATCAGGGTGTCAAATCTAAGTTTAAAGCGAATTAATTATAAATTAAGATTTAAGGTCGGCTTAATATCTGAAACTTGACTGATTGTGACTAGAATTCCACCAATAATAAATAAAATCGCCAGAAACCAAAGAAAAAATAGAAAAATAAGATTTGAAGGGTAGCTTAAGGTTAAATCATATATTCGCTAAGCCAATGAATTACTCTAAAATGACCTTTTTGATTTTATTTTTGACTTTTATCCAGATAATTCATTTGATTTAGTAACTGATTACGTCTTAATTGATTTTGCAAACAAAAGGCTTACTACTTATTGATTTTATTGGACTTGCTCATAATTAACTTCAAAATAATTCACTCTTTTCCATAACAGTTATGAAGGTTCAATCAAAATGGTTTTCACATCCCCTAGTTTTGAAATAATTTCTTCAGCTGTTTTATGGGAAACCCTAGTAATCAGCATCAAAATCTATCTCTCATATTAAGTCAGTAAATAAGTATTATAAAGTATATACAATATAATGCAACTATCCACAGAAATAAAAGTCATGGTCAATATTACAACGTCATTTATGATTCTATCCTCATAGTATATCAAATTTTCATTTAGTAAGGTGATATATTTATAAGCAAACTTGTAAACATATGGAATATTTAATCTAAAGAAAAGACTGTCAGAGAATATGACCCCTTCTTCCGCATTATCTATATAATTAAATGAATGCAGCTGAATTTGTTGAATCAATTAAGTAAGATCTAGTTATTATTCTGAAAAAGATAAGTCATTAATGCTTACTAGCTTAAGTTCATCATTCATTATTTATTCCTCAAATTATATAATTCCTTAGTACAATTCATTTAATTTTACATCTATTATTGCTCTAGTAGCTGTCAGTTCTTCTAATTATTATTTTTTAATGAACTCACTATATTTTATTATATCAAGCCTTTCCTCCAGACTAATCCAAGCAAAAAAGGCTATTTTTTAGAAATAGAAATTTAAAGTTTCAGGATAAGTCACATAATTAATATTAGTTTAAAGTATGTCATAATTATCTAAATTATTCATGAAAATTACTTTGAATGATGCTTAATTTCACAAACACGAGACAGAATTGTAAAACAAGATACAATAATATAGCAAATATGACGGACTTAATTCCTCCTCCAAATGTACTTACTTAATACAAGGAGCGAACAAGCAAGGAAGGGGACTTTGAAGTACTAGTTCTTGATGAGCTTGCAATAGACCTTTTTTTCTTCTCCTCATCTTCATTATCATTTTGATTCCTAAAAATATAAAGAGGTTTAGTTACTCTTATTATAATTTTTTATTCTCAACTAATAATTGAATAAAGTCTTTCTTATTAATATTTTAGTTTGAAGAATGTCTCTCAAGGTTATCTTCTATTTCTTACTATGATTCATCCTTATCTTTAAAATCATCACTTGATTTTTCTCGTTATAATTATTTCTCTTCAACTTTGAACGATTTTTCCTAAAATTGCATGATAAATTATTACATCAAATTGCTTATGAAGTTGAAAAAATTCATCCGAATCATTATCCTAATCTACTTGAATAGGTATACCACTAAAATGTGGTCTACATGGATTTTGTGGTAATAAAATTTCTGAGGGTGGTGCTGAAACGTCCTAAATTTCAATTGCGCTTGGCTTGTCAAACAGCCTAATTTAAGAATGATCATTTCCAAATAAGATGTTACTATCATCTTATTAAATTAATTATTTAATTTTATCATCATTAACTTTTGAAGTTTTATTTATCTGTTTATTTTTTTATTATTCAACGACCACTACATCTGGTTAAAAACTAACTGGTTTGGTATCATAAATTGATTTTTCTGCACTAGACGGTACTGTTTCATTTAAAGATTTATGGTTTAAGGCAGAAGTGAACATTGTTGTGCAAGCCTCAAAATTTTACCCCATTGTTGGATATCTGTTAAAAAACTTATGCTAAGTGTTAATCTCATTCATATGTTCCAATTCAATAATGAAGTAAGGATAAGAATATCTCTTTACTTTCATCATCTAATAAGACATCTTTATTTTGCTTCTGATTATTGTGTACTACAAACTTAGATCATAATTCAATACCTTATCTAATTAATCTTTGTGCTAATTCATAAATTGAAAATGAAAATTTATATTAGATTTATCTGCAATTGGAACTTTCTCTCCTAATATTGTTGTATTGCCTCTTTCAAGCCCTAAGGAATGCTCGCTTTTCATTGATCTTTACGCAGATTTCCACGATCTCCAAGAACTCAGATTTTAACTTTCCAGTCCTTCTTAAAGTGTGTTCCCAATTTTTTCATAGGATTCTCTAACAAATAAAGAATTGAGTTCGATAAGATTTGAAGGTATATAAAATAGATGTTCTTCATCTTCTATAAATTAGTGATCTAGTTCACTAATTTTATTTAGGTTTTGATTCAAAATAGATAAGAATGATGGGAAAATAAGAAAGAAATGACAGAATTCTTTGAAAAACTCAATGTTTAATCCAGGAACCTTAGCACTAATTGTTTTATATAGTTCTTCGCTGATTCCTATGATTTTTCCTTCCGCATCAACCATGATGATCTAATTAGATATATTGCATTTGAGTATTGAAGCTGTAATAACGTAATCATCCAATTCCTCAAACAGATTCCCTAATTTCACATAGCATTTCTCAACAAAACCTTTCTTATTTTCATAATATCCTGAAATCTTTCGAATAAAATATTCGCTATGTCCTTTCTAGATGAAAGAATCTATAAGATATTCATGGCCTTTCATCATAGTTTTCGGGAGTAAATTATGTACTTATGAGACTGATTCTTTGAAATCATTTGCATCAACGTAATGAAAAAAATTAGCTAGAGCTAATTGATTTTTGTTGACTATCTTTCCTTTATTCTTGACAATGCTGACCAAGATAATAGTGGTGGAATCATTATATAGAGATATGTTGTCTATTATATCTATTTCTTTTTATCTATCATTGGATGTTAAGTCCTTCACATACTGTTCGACGTACACCGACTAATTTAGATCGCATTATTACTCTGTCGAAATCATTCATTACTAAAGAATAAAACATCGAATATAATTTTAATGTTATTACATTAATATTTAGTTGAGCATGACTCAGTTTTTTTACAGAAATACCTTTAGTTGTGGTTGTTTTCATATCAAACCACTCCTAAGGTACGCCTATATATTTATCCAATGCAATCCTAAGCTAATCATATGTCCATACATTACATTCATGATTTTTTCACATAATTTTTATGTATTATATTAAAATGGATTCAAACTAGGATATCCATTTATTAAATTTTACCAATGTTCTATTTTTTAATCTACCAAATTTATAAATGTTTATAATAAATTTTCATACAGATTTTGAGTTTACCATTGTTGAGTTAGTGAAATTTCAATTAGTTATGTTCTTTATTCATGAACTAAAACAGCTTTTGAGTTTTATCTCACTTAATTGTCTGTGATTTGTTTTTTTAATTGATCTGCCAATTTATTAGTGATCTCAACAAAATATGTTGAATTGTTATTCAATTTATTGTTCTGATATTGTCTCAATTCTAAATAGCCCAGTAATGGCTTTTGAGCAATTTCTGAAACGAAACTAATATACTATAATTACAACTGCTCAAACTACAAATCTGCATTGAGATTATGACTATTTTATTAATATAAAGAGTACATAGAAAACAGCCAGTTTTGGGCTGCCTTAAATATACATTTGATGATGCTCAGAGTGAGTATGTTAAGATCCTTCTTCTAATCTACATTCAAGGTCTAAAAGCGTTTGGCTTTGGAATAGCACTTATTATTTTTGCAATACAAGCGATGGATCATTAAAAACTGAAAATATTGTAATTGAGCGTAAGGGTCCTAAACTCAATTACTAATATCTATACTTTTAAATAGTCAATATGGTATTTATAGAACTAATCAACTGCAATAATAATGTGTTTTTCTTCTATCTGAATGCTAGAGTTATAATTCAATATTGCATGATTCTGAAACAAAGAGGATAAAGTTTCGCCAACAATGGCTAATCCTGGCAATGGCAAGACAATGAAGAAAAAGAGGTTTTCTTCAGCAAGCAGACCAAATTTGAAAGCAGTAACACATAATACTATCCAAGCATATACTAAGGCCAATCTAATGGATGGGATTCTGATAGGATCTCTGTAAGGGAAATTAGTCAATTGATCTACAATTTAATTTATGGCAAATAGGTTAGCCATTGAATACTTCAAAATATGTGCTACTTCAAACTATTAATTCATTGATATCATTTTACATCATAAATATAATGTGAAAAAATCTCTATCAGAATTACTGTGTTATTTAGTAATAATAAGGAGGAGTATCTTCTTTTTAAGGAATTGGGCTCGTGAAATCTGTGATTCCTCATTATGTAGATCAATATCTGTCCATTGATATAAGAAATCACCAACGGAGTAATGGCTAGTATCTGAGTTCCTATTCCTATGTCGCATTCTGCTTTTGGAAAAATGCTTACAGAATTGCAGGTAAGGGAACTGAAGGAAATTACTGCAATTTGGAGATAAATTACAGGATAGAGGACAAAAAACCAATGAAGAGTTTCATTAAAACTCATGACCCATTATTAAATTTGGGAATTCATGTTATCACTTCCTGTGATATCTCTTCTAATAAGGTTGGCTGTCCATATTCTAATGAATGTGGAAAATATCAAAAACATAATGAGTATTAATTGGGAGGCAAATGAGATCGCAATTAATACAAATGCCAGATTTGATGTCATTGAAGACCTCAAGGTGTTATTTAAAATAAAAAACTCTAAAAAGCTTTGTGAATAGGCTAATTTAAAGTCGCTATAAGGTTTATTTTAATTTGCATTCACGATAATAGACAAATATTAAAAATGATTGATTAGATGCAAAATAAAGTAAAATGTGCCGTCCATCTAATTTGATAAATTCTGTATGATACTTTAAACTTAGGTCTTTCTTCAACTCCATATAGCATTGTCTGCATATAGCCTCTTGCAAATTTTCGAAAATTATGCATGATGTTCTACTGATATAAATTATAAAATATTAAATAATAATATAAATTACATAAGTCTTTATTCTCAGTCTTGTGAAACTTATGAAGAATCAACGACTGCATTTCTAACTTCAAATTTAATTCAAAAAAGTATTAGAAGAGAAAATAAAAGGAATGATTTAAATTTAATTAATATATAAACCATTAAATTAGCTATGTTTTAAAAATATCCTGATATGACGAATTGAAAAGAAAAAAAGGAAGGCAATTTAAACTTGCCAAATATCTCTTATTTATTTTATTAAACTCATTTTCTACGCAGATGACTCATTGTCATTTTCTCTATTTTGGTTGGTTCGTGCAACAAGATGGAGAAATCTAGACTGTAGATCAGAGTGCCATTCACTCTTAATAGAAAAGTACTCCATACATGGACCAAAGTTCATTTCATAATTATCATCGAATACATGATACTTATCCAAGCTCATTGAAATAAGTTCGCTTTCCGTACTATTCGCCTCAAATCCTCTCAATCCTTGACTTAGAATATTATCTTAAGGTGCCGTTAAGAAAGTATCTGGGACATTTTATTTGTAATCGATTCTTCTGATTCCAGTGGTGCTTTATTCCTTGGGGAAACAATAGAATAAGTACTTCAAAGTAATTGAAACCTCTTGAATCGATACCACCTTATTTGGTTATGGCTTTTGATCCTGTTCCTACTAGAATCACAGCCACTTTGACATATCTTACATGAGTAGTGTCTTTGGTTTTAAGATTTAAATTGACGTTTTGCATTTCTGGATCTAGAGCACAATTTATTTAAAGAGCATAGGGTCCGTTTTCTGGATTCATTTTGAATCCCACAAGAAAAGCGCTAACTTTTGGAGATTGTATGTTGCCATTAACAGGATGAGTGAATGCGTCTTCTCTTACACCAAACCCTAGTGATGTAGGAGGAGAGGAGTATACCTTGACGAAGTTCTCTCAATTGCATGAAATTGAATTCACGATAGGTAAGTTGTACATTATTATCCACAAATGCTACCCATCGGACTTTAAGTTATTGGACTCGTGCAGGTCCTCCTAAGCGATACCTTAATTCGAAGCCTAAAAGGAGAGTTTATATGTTCTACCAGATTTGGTCACTTGTCCTAATGAAAGATTAATATCGACATCCAACATTGATTCGAAGGTTACTTGTTCAAACATGAGCAATACTTCAGGCACTCTTTTAAGAGAGAGATACATACTCTGAGAATTGCTTATCAAATAGGATTTCGACTTGGGTGTGGATTGGATAATTGCTGGTGAGTGTTAATTAAGGCTGGTTTTTGATCACATGGTCTAAACCTGTTTACCATTCAGCTCCCAAAGTTAAAACTATGAAGAGTACAAAATGAAATGTTTTGTGCATTATATATTAATAAAATGTAATTAATAGATGCCATTTTTGAGGATCAATTCAGGCCAGCTCTGATTGAACACTATAAACAATATAAGATAGTCAGGAGGGCTGATTATCTTTTAAAGGCATTACAATCAGTCGATTAACTGTCTTTAGAAGATTAATAACAATTTTACGATCATTTAGAGAAATAATTATTACAATGCACCCCATTGTAAGCATTAACATTAATTCACAATTAAAACGAGCAGATTGTAGATTTGTTATTAGAGTTGTGTTTAACAAATGAACATGTATCACCTTTACTATATTTTTCAGCATACACAATAATTATTTAGGATTATCAATTGGTTTTTGAGATCTATAACATTGACAAGGCGCAATTTCAAAGGCATGTTTATCTACATCAAAAATCAAATGTACAATTCCTAACTAACAAATGAAAAAGTTTAGAGATTCATATCACTATTATAAGTACCAATTGATTTTCATTTTATAGAAAGTTTTTGCAGAATTTCGTTATGAATCTCCATATGCCTCGTTCTACTTCAATTACATCAACAGTGGGTTAGTTGTGGACACAAGAGAAATGAAATGGCTCTTTGGTAAAGGCATTTCCCTCTAAACTTGGCTCTATCCAATTCCTATAAAATCAGAAGTTGAAACTAAAATTATGTACTTAATGTCTGATAAAAAAAAAGGGTGTCAGTTTATTTTAAATGGCAACAAATTGGTTTATCAATATGTGGATCTGAATTGTATTTTTATTCCTCATTATAAAACAGCGCCAAATCACGAAGTTCCAATAAGTTTGATTGAAATTCCCTATCAAGAATGGTCATCGTTGTGTATCCAGATTTAATCGAAAAAGTTCTTCATGTAGGAATCGTATTACTTATATTTGACTTGTGGCAATCAACAACTTCGAGAAATCAAAATAGATTTTCCTCAGATCCCAAACGACTCTCTTGTCATTGAGTTCCAATTTTTTACTAATTTTTATGGTTATGTCACATCTATGTTAATTTATAATGATGGATTTGATGGAAGGTATTAACTACTATTATGCATATAGTGATCTAACTTGTGGTGACAAAGACCTGGGCATTCAATCCAATGATCACCTAAGGAATTTACACAAATGTCATGGGAATAATAAACTAATTTTATGTTATACTCCACTGAGAGCCAGAGCCAATTTTATTACAGATCCAATCAATAAATTTGATGGGGCATTGCAATCATTCAGTGGTTCCTACTTAAGAATCACTTAAAAATAACAGTTTTCTTAATTCTGCAGAATTGAAAACTTTGTTCCTCTATTACTATTTATTAAAATCTAACCTTATGATTCATTGCTGAACGAGTTATTGACTCTTTTCTGTTAAATCATCAAGTCCAGACCAGAAACATAGCAAGATGCAATCAGAACTGAATATTTAAGTTTGATAGCCCTTAAACTAAATGATTCTGGACTTGACATGATCAACAATTAAACCATAGAATTGCTCTCACAATTGCACAATTCCATTCAGGATACAAAGTTGAAATAGCAATTCGTTTGCAATCTATTGTGGAGAATTCAAATTTATAAACTAGAGAATTTTTCAATCATTGAAGACTACTTAAAGTTCATTCGAATGATATATAATGGCAATCCTGAATTTTGTATATCGATTTTCGGAATCGGTAAAATACTCGAAATCTTGATCTACGACATTGATCCGAAGAATAGATTATGTTGCGAAGAACATGCGAATCAAATGGGTTATACCAACTTCTAATTACCTACCATCCCCTACGCTTAATTGATTGATTCCTATTTAAGTATCACCTATGTTTACATTTCTTAGATATTATTGATGCCATCCTCCATAATAAATTATTTCAATCACAATCCAAAATTGAGAAATCCAACATCATTGACATTGCGAGAGTCTTCACATTAAAATGCTCTCCTTGCTTCTATTAATTACTACTCAAAAAGCTACAAGGATTATTTTAATACGAAACCAAGAGTAATAACCCCATATCTCAGATACTAATCCAAGAGGAAGTGATGCAAATGCTATTGAATCTACTAACAACATGTTCCTGTCCAGATGTCAAAACCAGTTGCATCAAGTTGATAGCTGAGAGTATTCGCATTAACTAATCTCCAAATGAAAAAGAAATCGCTAATTGGATTGCACATACTTTAGGTAACAGTGCTGCAGTTGAGGTGTAAGAGGCATACTCCGATGATGAAGATGAGGATTTTCAACCTCGAAAGCCATTAATAAATCAAGCTTTGGTCTTTCATTAACAAGAGGAACAATAGAATTTTGATGAGGAGAAGAAGAAGCAGCCTGCCATTCAAAATAAGAAGATTGTTTAGGCAAATAGAAGGATTATTGATTATGAACCTCTATATGTTGCGATTATGGAATGGATGCTCAAAACTAGAGTTGGAAAGACCAATTCAGATACACTGATTTTAGATGAAAATCTTATCATTAAATCTGATGGTGGATTATCACTTTTGATTAGTTATTTCGAATATTGCGTGGATTCTGTCAAGGGCCGAATTATGTAAGATTTATGTATGCTAATTAAATGGAATCAAGCCAGTGCTATTTTTCTATTAAATAACGAGGAGTTTCATTGGTGGATCTTAAAGACGCTCTTGGAAATCTAAAACCAATACAATATTAGAGAGTTGGCTTAATTTGAATTCTGGGTGTGGGATAGTGGATTAAAACTCTATTGCAATGTGATCAAAGCTGGTATTCAGAACGAGAAGAATGGATTTCAGCGATTGGCTCAATTGTAGAGTTATTGCAGAGTGTTGGAAGAGATTAATGGAGAACAGATAAATCAGTAGGCAACCTAATTATTGATCAGATTGATATACAAGCAACTGCTCTCTAATTTCTCGTAATTATCATTCATTTAATAGATTAGTGATTGTTATAAGTTGGACTTATTTTCAGCCTTTTGGGTTAACTTGTATTCTGTTATTTTTGAAACCTTCAGATTAGTGACAGCTGATCCAAGGACTATTGAGAATGAGAGCGAGAACGAGCATTACTATTTATTCCATAAATTCTACCCTATTGCATTTTAGTTAACAATTTCACAGTAAGAAATGCCTAAAAGTAAATATTAATCAAATATTATTGCTAGAATGGAAGCAATAATTTGGAATTATACAATGGGTCGATCACATTCTTATTGTGAATATCTGTGAAATTATTAATCAATTTTGTGGCAAATTCTCGACACAAATAATTAGTTACTTGGATGATTATCAGATTGTTTAAAAAGGAATTTTAGGTCTTTTGGAGTAGAAGAATCCCACAGAATCGTAGAAAACATTTGCTGCAATGATGTTTGAATTCGATATAGGATTGGAATAAGGTCAATCTCCCATCTTTGTCTAGGTTTGTTAACTCTTTCTGTAATTGAATGCCGAATACTTTGCCTTTAATGTGCAGAGCAGTGAAAACATAAAGCAATTGCAGGTGATATTGAATACACTCGATAAATTAGTTAGAACTTTAATTATTGCTTCGGAGACTTTAAGGGACAAAGAGATAGACGAAATGCAAGATAAAGTAGTGTATTCGATTATTGGATCGCATTTCATATTTCTGTATTAAATGGAGGATAAAATAAAAGAGATTAATTACGATAAGGAGATAAAGTAGGAATTGTTGCAGATTGTGAAGAATTGCTTGTTCTATTCATTCAAGTTTTTGATTGTGTATGTCGATTGTTTTACTCAGATTTTAAATAAGAATGAGTCATTTTAGGCTCTCATTTTTGAAGGGTACAAACAACACAAATTGTTTCTAATGAAAATGATCAATGATTTAATTAGGAAAGACAGTTCACACATCTTTGATGCTAGTGAAACCAAGTCACTCAAATTAAACAATAAACTAATTATGGATAAAATGATAGCAGCAAAACAAGTATTTGTGGAAAATCAAACATTATTGTAAAAAATATAGCAATCATTCTTCATGAATGAAGAATATTATTTGAAAACCAAGTGTGATTTTGAAGAATCGTATAGAATTTTCTCATAGAAGAAGAAAGCCTTAGAGGATAGATTGTAATCATAACGACAAGGAATTGAGGAAGTCTTGTTTTCATAGATGTAAATTCATTAAGGTATATTACATATAGGATATCATCATCGTCAACCTATTCGTATGATTAAAAAATACAGAGAATAGACTCTGAATAAATCTATATGAGACAAGCCAGATACATGTTTAAGAAGTCATTCAACAGAGTCCGTGTATTTAATCAATGGTGGGCTCATCCAGAGTTCAAGGCATAAATCGATAAGCCATTTGCTTCGATAGATATGCATTATGACAACATCATATAAAATTAGATGTAAAACAAAGAATTTAATGTAGATTCACATGGAAGATGTGGAAATATGAAACCAAATAGAAATCCAGACCCTTGCTCAAACCTAAGTTGTATGATTACCCTCAAATTGATAACATAATGCAATCTCAATAGTAAAGTACAAGAATAATGAATTTGGCTGACTACGATAAGAAATAACCAGAGAGACAGAGAAAGAAAATACATGAAATCATATTTGATACAATCATCCCATTTTATTCTTAATAACATGAATAAGACGAGGTGATTCTCCACAGAGTCCAGTGGATCAAGACTTTAACAGTTAGAATAGGATCTTTACGAATAAGTGATACGCATTTGATCTTTTATTTTGAATCCATTACTCAAAAAGAAACCCACTAGAGTCTGATTAAATTTAGAGTTCCTGAAGACTCCTAGTTGGTGAAGTAGTGGGATTTGGAATAGATCTACGATATTTAATTTAGAAGATACATTGGGAGATGGACATCCTTGGAGTTGACTCTATTGGAAGGTAGTACACTTGTATTCAATTTCTAAAATGGGGATCATCAAAAAGTGATAGAGAAATTGATTTCTCTGAAGAAACAGCGAACCATCAATCTTAAACCCAGAATTTAATCTGGTAAATTAGATCCTGTGAGTGTGATGTTAGAGAGTAAGGCTATGAATAAGTGGTATAATTATAAGATCACGACGTTTGAATACTTGATGAAAGTCAATAAAATCTCTGGAAGGAGCAACAAGGATTTGACCTAATATCCTGTGTTTCCCTGGATCATGAATGATGGTGAGTAATTGCACAAATATCGTGATTTAACTAAAAGCATGGGTGCTTTGGGTACTAAAGATAGGATCGAGGTGTTTGAATAGAGATACAACATGATAGATCATTTTAATAAGGTTCCGCAATTTCACTATGGGAGTCATTATTCGAGTCCAGCAATCATATTCCATTATCTTATTAGATTGAAACCATTTTCTGATGGAGCCAAAGAATTATAATCAGGCAAGTTTGACTTAGCAGATCGTTTATTCTTCTCATTCATAGAGACATATCGGAATGCAGTTGAAGAATTGAGTGATGTCAGAGAATTGATACCTGAATTCTTCTATTTGCCTGAGATGTTTCTTAATTTATCAAAGTATGACTATGGATTGTAGTAAACTGGGTAACGAGTAAACAATGTGGAATTGCCTTTTTGGACTTAACAAAACCCCTATTTGTTTATTTGTGCTCACAGAATGGAATTGGAAAGTGATTATGTTTCATAGCATATTTGCAATTGGATTGATTTAATTTTTGGATATAAACAAAAAGGAGAAGAAGCAGTCAAAGCTCTAAATACATTTTATTATTTGACATATGAAAATTCGATAGATTGGGATTCGATCAAAAATGAAAAACAAAAGATATCGTTGGAGTCTCAGGCAATTCATTTTGGCTAATGTCCAAGTTAAATTTTGGACAGAGCTCACATTGCCAGAGGGAAATAAAAAGTTGTTTTTAGGATTGTAGATGAAAAATTAGAAAAGAGAATCCTTAGGTAAAAACAAAATAATCCGCAACCTTAGTCACAAAACTATTAGAGAAGCAAATCAATCATTAGAATACATTTTTCAAGTGATAACAAAGTTTGGATTATTCGCCGAAATGGAGAATGTGCTACTATTAGATTAGATTTAAAAGACAACAAATTTGATCTTGCTAATTAGAAAGAACAACCTATCAATTTTGGGAAATTTATGGATGAAAACTAATATCTCTTTGATTGGACTTGTAATTATGATGAACTCCCTGTTTTGAATAGAGGAAAATAAGTATTGATTGGAGGCATCTGGGATGGAAGACTGCTTATCTATAATAATGGTATCATCTCTGAATAGAGATTCGAATAAGAACACACCATAACAGTAATGAGATTTGACTACAAAATGAGAATATTGGCTACTGGTAGTAAGGATGGCACTCTTATTATATATAAAGTGTTAAATAACTCATACATTCCAATTAGTAAGCATCATCATCATGAATAATCGATTACAGATATCTTTATATGTAATGATCTCAAGGTTGTAATAACTTGTTCTAGTGATGGTTGGATTCACATGTATAATTAATGGTCTGGCAAATACTTAAGAAGTTATAGACATCCTAAGGGTTTGCCTATTAGCAAAGTTTGTAGTTATTGTACTCCATTGTATGGAATAGCATTTTACGAAAACAAAAACATTTATTCATATAGCATCAATGGATAATTCTTGGCACATCTTGAGTTAAAATAATATATTGTTAATTAAGGACATCTCAAAGTCGTTAAGGATTCAAAGTTAACTGATATTATTGTATGTGTTTTTTGTATTTTAATAGGTGTTACCGTTGTGCATGGAAAAGAAAATATTAATGTTAACAACTCCCTTTTTGCAGAAAAGAAATGAAATATAATTGACTGATTGCTAACAATCAATGAACGATATTAGTTCTTTTGCTTTATCACCAGATAGAACAATTTTAGCATTTGGAACATCAGATGGAGAGTTTGGATTGGTAGTAGACTAGCGAATCTTTTCATAAGATTGAGATTTTATCTGTATATCAATAATAAATGTCATTTTCATTCAACATCTATATGTCTTATTTTTCAATTTTAAAAGATAGAATATTATTTTTATATGAATTATTATATGAACAAATTCTCAAAAGACACGCAGATCACCCGATTTAGAACCATAAATAGAAATTTGTTTAGTTGCCTATACAAATCTTGTAAACATTTGGGATGAGACAATTGACAGTCTATCTAAAAATGGCAATCTATATTCAAAAACATTATTGTCAGTGACTACAATCTATCAAATTAATAATAAATGCTATACTAAAGTATTTATGGGTGATTTCTTGACTTAAATGTATTCTATATTTCCTTTGACTTGCAGTAATTGTAGCAAAAATCCGTTTATTGAATATGCTACAACCCGTTCATCATGGGAACTAAATAAAATACAAGGCAATGGAGAATAACTTAATGCTAGATAATAAATAGGCAGTCTTTTAGGATGATTTATAAATCTGTAGAGAGTGCGATTATACAAATTATATAAGAATATTGTTCCGTCTTGAGTTCCAACACAAAAGATAGTTAGCTGTTCTGAAATGGCTATTGAATTGATTTGCGAGGTTGTGTCATAGATCACATACTTACCCTTTAGTAATTCCTCTTATTTTATATCCTATTTATTTTACAGAATCTTGTTATAATAATAGACCAAACCCTTATTTGTTCCGAGTATCACTATACTTTGTTGTTTATTTGACTCTAGAACAGTTACAGTGCAATGATTGTTGATTATCTCACTTTCCAATTCGATCACTCCCTACAACTTCACATTGTCTAAGTACTAGTATAGAAGTGTTCCATTGTTATTCCCACCGAATAATACGGTTGACTATTCAATCAATACTAATATTGGTGGTAATACATATTTGATCATAGCATCAAAATGAATTCGAGGTAATTACACTTGTTTCTCAATTTAGAATTGATATTAATTCTTAACAATCTACCATTAGATTAATGTGAAATCTTCCTGTATGCTAACTACTTTGTTCTTATTACAAATTAAATAGATCAATTTACATTATGACTTTTTATTCTTTCCCATCTACCACTAAGTCTTATCGACTATCTCATTCTTTTGAGCATGTGGCTTATAAAATATTTGCTCTGGTGTTTACCCAAAATGAGCAATTTAGGTTTCCATTGCTAACTCATTGATTTCGATACTCCCTTCATCAAAGTTAGAGTAAGTTAATGGATAAAACACATTGAAGGAATCTACGGCAGCATTTCCTTGCTATTTGTATCCCCAAATCAAATCAACCCATTCATTCAATCTGATAGCATACTCACTTTCTAATGCTATCATATTCTAAGCCACATAGTAAAATGGATTCTTATTAGAGTAGTGTGGCAATTGCACATTGTTTACTAATTAACCACTCTGCAACTTACCAAAATTATGGGCATTTATGTTTATAAAAGCCTCAGGCAAATAAAAAAATTCAGGAGTCAATTCTCTCACATCCGCCATCTCATTATTGCAATCAATCCAAGATTTCATTATCGACCTAAACATTCGATCTGGAATATCGAATTTCCCATCCTAAATTGATATAGCAGCCTCTGTAAATGGACTCAATCGTACCAAATATTGAGACACCAATGCCTGACATGAATAATGTGTCCCATAATAAAATTACTCATTTTCGAATCTCTTGATGAATTGATCTAATCTGACCTCACTTCCACAGGCTCCGATTGGTAAAGAAAGATCTCTGTAATTGATCTCATTTTATATTGATGCAATATCATTGTCATCGAAATCTGATGCATTTCCCTTTAAAACCCATGGGAACACTGGATATCTGGTCAAGTCGATGTAGGAACGACAAGATAGAAAATTCAAATACATTAAATACTTGAAATTGCTCACCTTATTAAAATCACATTATTTCGGTTGTATTTTCAACTTCTCAATAATCTCCTCCTTCAATCCCTCGTCCTAGAATATCAAGTACAATGACTCTCCATCCTTGAATATGATTTCGATGGCATTTCTATTTCTGATATAAATTCTCTCATACAGCCACCTAATTTAATCCCTCCTCCACGATTTCTTAAATGGCTTGTGATTTGGTATCGTGTGAGGCAACAAAGTTATGTGATTCGCCTTCTAGGTGTAGGAGTAATAGGAGAATGTTATTTTTTCATCTCCTATTGTAACTCCCCCTTACTTTAAGTATAAGCTCTTCAACCAAAAGCATTTGTATTGTTGTTTCTTTTCCAACTGCACTTATGCGTCATTCTCAAACTGGGGATTCTTCTTAAACTTCACTTTTAAAATTGGACGTGAATAATACTTATTTATGTATTTCTCAATTTTATTTGTGTAATAAGGATTCTCGTTGAATTTGTAATCATGATCTATTTATTCATCTACTTGGAATCTACAATCTTTTGGTCTATATACGGTGATACGTAGATTATGCCAAAGTTTGCACCATCTCTATCTAATCTTGCGAGTCTTGTTCATTAACTTGTACACTGAAACTTGCATCGATGCTGCAGCGTAATTAATTTCATCCGTTAATTTTGATAATTGTTCTGATTGTGTCATTTTGATCTATTATTATTCAAGAGTCCACTTAAGCAACAAAGATTCCTGGAAAGTCTAGAAGTCTTACTAAAATTTAATTGAATCAAAGACTTGCACTTATTGCTCTGAAAGTGATTAGAGAATTAGCCCATTTTGAGTGAAGAAATATTCGATAACCTCCTTTACTTACTGATCTTAAGTTTAGGATTGGATTGCTTTAAGCAGTTCAACTATTTAAATCATGAAGAGTTCACTTGTTTCTGTATTCAGATATTACGTTTATTCAAAAAGCTTGGTGAAATAGAATAGCCACTCCTTCAGCTTATCAAGTGGACAACTTAAGTTGATGATCTTTTGAATGGCAAAAGGCAATTCTTTTTGTTCAACTATTTTTGATAACTCTTGCTCATTTTCTAGATATATTATGTACTTTATTAATTTAGTTAGAAATCCTTCAAAATTCTTAAACGATTGCACTGAGAAGTATATTTAGAACATCACCTATTGTACCTGATATATTTGCTCTTCATTAAACCTCTCAATCACTTCTGACACAATTACCAATAGTGTTTACACATCTTATCGAATTTAATAGTGAATCAAGGTTTGACTCAGGTATTGAGGATTCTAATCTAGAAGATGCATAAAAATCTAAAGAAGTCTTTCATTTTATTCGAGCTTCAATTAATCCAAAAACCAAATAGAGTGTTATTAAAGGATGAACTACTATTATTCATTGTTAATTTTCTTGACGTAATTGAAATAGTAATCTAGAATATTTTGTTATTTAGTTTAAGAGTATAGGTGCTACAGAATTTCAACGCACAAGCAGTTAATTTTTAGTAATTGAGTTAATGCATTCAATAAATTGTCAAAGTTATTGTTTACGCAGATTGCCTTGGAAATATAAGAGATCATTCCTTGACTTAAGAGGTCCTTAGTGCCATAAAGCATTTAGCCTAACAAGGTAATGGTGGCCACCAAACAATCCATGCTATCAGTCTATAGAAGAAGAAAGATGTCATTTAGGATCTTATTTTAAATGTTATGATTTCTGAATGCTATGAAATTCTCTTGATCATCTCTGAATAAGTCGGAAACCAGCCTGGTTGCACTTTAGATGGCTTTGATTTTGAGTTCGATTGAAGAGGCTTCGGCAACTTTTAAAAATAGTTTGAATTGGTCTTTCAACGTATTGAAGTTATATTGGCAGGAATAAATCATAATTTGTAGAATTTGATCTTGGATTAGACTCTTCTGATTGACACTCACCAATAACTGAGCCAAATATTAGATGGAAGTGACTTTTAAGTATTTCTGATGATCACTGATATAGAATTGCTGTAATAAAATGCAGTATTGCTATTAATCGGTGATTCTTTTGATGAAATTGACATCAATAATTAACAGCAATAGTTGATTGAGAATATCTTGATCCTCAACCTTTTATTTGATCTACAAGATCTAGCTGAGATTGGGGACGTCTACATTGATGATCTAAGCTATTTGTTGGAATAGTTTCATTTCAACTATCTAATTCTTGTTGATTTGACTATCCTGTAACAAAGTATAGAGTAAGATTTTAAATAGGTCATCAATTTAAGAATGATCGTAATATTGAATTAGATCAAAAAGTGGAATTAAAATTTTAATACCGCCGTATTCTACAAAATCGTATTTTTATAATGAGGATGTCATTTTGGTGTCTCCCTGAAGTTCGTAGACTACGTTCTAAATTCTATCGTTGACTCTTTTCGTCTAGTGAGGATCGTAGAGGGGGTAGATTTGATAGAAAGGAGATTTCAAATGCAGATCTGCAACTTCATTGTAAACCGAGATTTCCTTGACTTTGCATTATATGTTCTGAAAGTAGAGCATCTCCAGATTTTGATTCCTGATTTTGGGATACTCGATCTGTATCGTATTTTTAATCTGATTAATTGAATATATAAACTTGGGTCTGGCGTATAGTTTTCCTTATTCATGAGAAATGATTATTTCATTCCATCCATTCATTACCACTTCCCCCAACTGATTATTGGAAGAGTAGTCCTCCACAATAACTCTTTCTAGAGTGAACCTCTGGTAAACATTCTTATAGAAGACTACACCACCAATTAAATAACAATGAACTCCATTGGCTATGATTCTTTTGCCATCGATATGCGAGGATGAAAATTAGAAGATCGTCCCATCCCCTTGAGGATTGAATGTTAGGCATATCGAGTATTGCTTTTCGAAGTGCCATTAAGATTGATTGATCAGCTTTATTCCTCCATTGTTGATGACGAATTGATCCTCATTCTTCTCTTGTTTCAAATACTCATACAAACCCTCGATGCACCCAGCCATGGTTTATGGGTTGTATGTACTTTTGGAATATTCATCAGATAATTCATGAAAGTACTTTAACATGAGTATATATTAATCATAGAAATTGTTAAATAGTCTTCCGAATTGATCTCTTTTTCATTACATTTTCCGCATCCTTCTAACTGATCTTGGCCAATAGATCAACTCTGGTTAGGTTAGCCACATCATCTAGATTTCCATCATGGGAGACTTGCACTGATTGCAATCTACTCTTCATTTTCACTTCCTCATTCTTCTTCCTCCTGATATTGCTCTCTTCCTCCTCCAATTAGTCTAAATCTCGTATTGGAATCATGGGAGCCTCCTAATTCCTGATGTTGTTCCAGTCAACTGCATTGAAGAACTTATGAGATTTTACTTATTCAGCGCCTTTCTCTCCAAGTCTCTTGTGGTATTAGGGTTCCAATAATGAATTGATTAACTCATATGCTTCCTAGCTCATCATGTCCTCTCCACTGCCTATCTCTGGCCATTCGATGCTCCTATTCATTATGTTATCAAACACCTTCGGAATACTGGAATCATTGAATGGTGGAATGCCTACTAAAAATTCGTATGCAATCACTCCAAAAGCCCACCAATCTATTGAAAAGTTGGATATAGATTATCCACTGATGACTTCAGGGGGAATGTAATCAGGAGTTCCAATTATTCTATTCTATCTTTTTCCTGATTGAGTTCGCTCTTAAATACTGGTCTTACTAGTAGTCTTTTGTAAATGAAATTCGATATTGCTTTTCGTTTTGATGTTCCTCTTTGAAACATTCATTGGCAATGCCTCAGGATCAATTGAACTATTGAATCCGTCTTTCCCTTCCTTAATCTTTTACACTAATGCGATTTCAGATAACCCAAAATCAGCCAACTTTAGATGACCCTGTGCATCCAATAAGATATTTTGTGGTTTCAGATCTCTGTGAATTATTCCTTTCTTGTGTAATGATTCAATTGCTAAGAGCAATTCAGCCAAATAAAACTTAGCAACTGATTCTGAAATACGCCCATATTGAAAAAGAACTTAACTGAAATCACCTCCCATCATATATTCTAACAAAAACAACAAACAATTGTCTTAAATAAATGAATAATATGCTTTTACTACAAAATCACCTTCTAAGATTTCAAATACATTTTTTTCAGCTCTCAAATTCTGAATTTCATTCATATCCTTATTTCTACAATCTATCACCTTCATTGCATAATAATCCTTCGTCTTCTTCTTACAAACCAGCCACACTGCTCCAAATGCTCCAACACCCAACACCTGGATAAACTCAAAGTCCTAAAGAGTCACATTCAATCTAAAATATTCAATAGTGTTATATGATTTACAATTGCTTATTCTTGACTAATTTAGTTGTTTTGAAATCTCCATCACTGTAATACCCCTTAACCTTCTGTTCCTTCTCATTATCAAAATCACACTTATTGACCGCATGGTGTTGATTCAAATCCTTAAACGAAATCATATTGCTTTTCGTTTATTGTAAATTGTCATCTATTTCAAATGATTCTTCCAGTGATTTCTTAGTAATATCTTTTTTGACTTCCCTAGATTACACATCCTCTGAATCCGATTCATTGTTACTCTGTCCTGCATCCTCAGATTCACTCAGACATTTCTAAAAGATACAATCCTTTCCTACACCTTCAGTAAAGGTTTTCGATTAAGCCTACTTACTGGGTTCAGAATTCGGTACTATGTTTTACTTATTCAACCATTTGGCACCATTACCACTGTTTTTGAGCATTTCGAAATGTCCTTGTAGTGAATTTCCTAATGAAGTCCTACGATTCCCTAATTCTACGTTGTTGATCTTGAGACGTGGAGATGTAAGGTTTTCTATTTTCTCCTCCTCAGAAATCAGTTTCTGCAATCTCGATATTTTTTAGGTACATTGCACCTTCTCCTAAAATGATATGATGATTCAAATGTACTTCTATCAGTTTCAAAGTCATTTTTACTAGATCTTGGACCTCCCTTTAGAGTGTGTGTTTGATATTGAACAAATCCACTTGTATTTTTAGATCAAATTAAATTGATTGAGTACCATGGTTTGTTTTAAGAGTTTCTTCAGTATATTTAGTGATGATGGACAGAGAGTCTAACTGTAGTCTCAAATCTTTCAAAATTTCAGTGTTATCACTATTGGATATTCATAAATATGTACTCGAGAGAAAATGGACTACCCATACCATTCGATATTGGGGAACTTATTTGTTTGATTTCTGGAGAATACACAAACTTATTTCCTTGTTTCTATTATTCTATTTTCTTTGATAACTTTATCTATTGTTTCATTATTTGATCGAAATCCTCTCCCGTAATTTACTATTGAACAGTCTAAGTCACACATTCCTACTAAGTCTACTCTTGGGAGGCCTCGTTATTTGCTAAGCTTGCTCCCAAGTTCGCAAACCTCGATTTCACTGCGCACTAAAATCATACAAAGGCTCTGCACTAACCTTGTTTGTTCTTGAACCCGTCTCCTCACTTGCACACTCATCTGGTTGATTCAATTTCAACGGTGCACTGCTTCTCATCCCACGATTATCCTGGTTTGTATATCTAGCCTGCTTGGACTTATGAATTTGATATTTTGTATTGATTGTACGAAAGCTGTTCTAAGCAGACTCAGCTAATTTTTGAATTTGCACGTCCAATTGATGCAAATGCTTTCTAGCCTCAAAGATTTGTTAGCAATTCACTAAATGATTCTCAATCAATGAAGCATCTGTCTACAAATGTTATACCACACTCATACTTATTTCTCACATATCCTACACATTACCAATAGATCTTCACTACTCTAAACTTCAGCAATCATAAAATATAAATTTATTATAAACTCAATGATTCTCCATTATCAATTCATCATTTTAATTCACTTTCATTTACTCTTTAAGAAAATGTCAATTGCCCCATTTAATAATATCCTTTAATATTGTTATTGTTTAATTTTGGATCCATTATATGAGGTCTTTCCCAACAAATTCATATTGGTATTTTTTTTATTTAATTTCGAAACAATTCATTTGAGAACAACAATTTTCTACATTCTTATGTACATTCTTAGATCATAAATATTCATAATCCAGCGTTGTAATCATATTATAGATTAATTAGGATGAACAAAAGAGGACTATATCTTTCATATGGAATGCTTAGCCTATTTCAAAGTTAAAAATTAATTTTTATTCAAGATATCTTTAGGGCATTGGATCAACTTTTTTATTTAATTTTGTGAATGAATAAATTGGCAAGCAATTATTTCTATTAAATTATTTAGCTTCTATATCATGCAATTGAATTAAAAGGTTCCCTTTAATGTCTTCATTTTTTAAAGGGTTTGAAATTATTTTGCCAATTTTACGGAAGTTTTTGTTCATATAATTTTATCATATTTATTAAATATATATATAGATTCTTAAATCATTAATTTCTTCAAATTGTAATTCAAAGTTGAGTTGGCAAACGCAATGATAATCTACATTTATAAATAACTAATACCTAATTGGAGCAGTTCGCTTTCTCACTCTGGATGTTAAGGTCTAGCCTTCAGTATTTGGAATTTGAGATTCAGACTTAGATTGTACATTAGTCTACAACAAGGAAAGTCGATTTTCAAAAAGTAGTTTGGTTCTTTGAGTGTTGCTCTCATCAAATACCTAGACTAATTTGGGAGATATCATTATGAAAGGTTTTTTCATTATTGATGTTGACTTTTATTAAGGCTGAATACTTGGCTTATGATTGTGTTTTCTTTGTATATTAAAAATGCTATTACCTTGAAGTCTGTAGAGTATTGAGAATGAAGGAAGTACTTGAGGTTGTAGTTTTGTTGCTTGAAATCGACTTTGAAGATTTCATTAAATTAATAAATAAACAATTTAGGCCTGATATTAAAACTAAGAAACTCCTTATTTTTTTCAAGGTCTATTTTTAGTACTATTCTCCATTGGAATGAATCATTTATTAGTTGCTTAGCCTTCTGAATCAGAAAATACTAATTAATGAGTTATGCATAATCAGAATTCAATTTTTGGAACTAAATTTAAAACAATTTTAAATACTGTGATTTAATAATTATGGTTTGTTTTTTAAGAGTGATTATATATACTTAAGGATTACAAAAATAATATTTATTAACACGTTCTTATTTACAATATTAATTTCATTGCTTTTTAATAAAAATTAATCATCATAACACTAAAATTTATTATTTTTGACTTACCAAAAAAGGTAAATTAGTTTCTGAAGAAGCAATATCATTCTGTGAAGTCTACATTAAAAGTGATTGAACATGATGTAGAAATAATTTACTTATAACTATGACTCTAGAACTTTTGAAAAAATTGGTCGAAAGAGTTTTCTATGTATTATGATAGATTGAAGAAATATTAAAAAATAATGTAAAATAAAATAGTTGATATTGAAGAATGAATCAGTTACTAATATACTAATACTTAATAATTGGAACGAGGAAAAACACAAATTGGCGACAATGCAAAAACTCAATATTTAATGTTGGCTGAGGAATAAAGTTTCAGGAGATTTAAAACATTGATTTTAATGTAATAGATTCCAACAATACCTCGTATTTACACCTAATGCAAATATATCTAGAATGTAACAAGGAGAAAAATTTCTCGAATTTAAGATTTTACATAAAATTTCAACAATCTATTTTATCTAAAAGAGTTGATGTTGATTAATGTGTAAATGAAAAACGGAAAGTTAAAGATGGCTTAAAACAAATAGTCGATAATTATCATTTTATACTCAGATAGAACATTAAGCATAGAATTCCTATGAAAAGTTTACTTTAATTACTTAATTATCCAAACTTCGTAATTATTTGAATTGGTTCTCTATCAAAAACTATAGAAATTTAGAATATCTTGGGAATTTGGTTTTCTTAAGGTACTTTAAATTCCTGCACATTTTAATTTAAATATTAATTTTGACTACCCCACTATTTTGTGCTTTTACGTATTACAATATCATACATTGCATTGATTATAGGCTAATACATTATGAAAATATATTATTTATAAAAATTAATTTATACTTAATAAAACTTATGTTTTATTTGAATCACAGTTCTATTTATTCAATTTTCGCATTGGATTTTAGTAATAAATTTTATTATTTTTTATACGCATTTTTGAAGATGCAAAGTGTTTATTTCAGATTTCAGCTAGATTTTCTTATGAAAAAATTAGGTATCAAACCTAAATTTCATCCAATTATTTTTCGATAAACAGTGTGAATCATTAATTTACTTAGGGTATTTTACTGATAAATTTTGTGCTTTTCAAGAGAGCTAAAATTTATCGTTTTCAATTAATTTCGACTAGTTTAAATTGTATAGAGTTAAATTTTAGGATGAATTTATATTAATGATAATCCTAAATAATTCATTGATTCTTTAAACCTTTATTGTTATACAAGTAAGCGTCATTGGATTTAATTTAATTGCTTTATCATATTCTATAATTGATTCTTCAAATTTATATTACATTTTATAATTCGTCTTTTGTTACATTTTAATTAAATAATCTCCTAATTATACTCTTTGAATATTTAAACCTTTATTTTAATAGTTTGCAGCAGACATTAGATTTCATTAAATTGCTTTTTCATATTTCATATAACAAAAATCCTATTAAATTAATAAATTTTAGTAGGAATTGAATCGGCTTCTCATAATTGATTCTTCATATTTATTTATACTTTATATATTTTACTTTTCGTAGCAATGCAATTAATGGATTTCCTAATTTTGTAATAAGGCTTTAATACCAATAGGATGATAATAGTTTCCATAATTTGGATTCAATTTATTTGACTCATCAAATTCTTTAATTGATTCTTCATCCTTATATTTATGTTTTGCATTACCTAATAGATTTACTTTTGATTGTCACCTCTTTAATTAGCATATTATTCTTGTTATTTATGGATTTATTGGTATATTTATAGAAACTTGATTTAATGAGGGAGGGGGAATGAGGATGGTTTTTGTTTGTATAAGCTTGCTGTTATTAAATTTTATTAAACCCCTTACAGGAATTCAGAAGTAGGCTTCCAGTAATTTCTGGGTTAATATTAAACACATAATAGAAGGTGTAGTAATTTTAAGGGTAAAATAACAATATAAAGAAATAGAAATTAAAATAAATTAGAACAAATAAAATTTATTTGAATATGTTTATATATTTTATTTCATCGAATGATCAATCTTTGGCTGCCTTGTAAATTTTATTTGCTGCATCCTCGAGTAAACCTAATAATGATTCTTGCGATTCTTCTCTTAGTTTCTTCTCCTCTTCTATTTCACTCTTTACTCTTGATACCAGATCCTTGAGCATCTCAAAGATGGCAGTTTCTGATTCCTCCCTAAGATAGTTCCACAATCAAGATTTACCTCAATTTCTTTTGATTTGCCAATCCTTCATTAAGACGACGTATTTCATCTCCAGCTCTTCTCAAGGTACCATTGTCACTGTCTTCTCTATCTTCTCCTTCTGTTTTCACCATGTCATATAATTTTGGTAGATCGTTCTCTAAGGATGTAGTAATGTTCTCTATTTATTCTTATCTGATTTTGCCTTCAGTCTGGATATCAGATTTCAAGTATACAACCTATAATATTAAGTTTTATCTGAAACCTTCTCATCCAAGTATCCTTGTAATTTTAGATTTCCATCTCTTCTCAATGCTATTTCTTATTCCAATTTGGTTGTGATGCGACTTTCAAATGCTGCAATCTCTCTTACTCTTTGTTCAAATTGAGTCTCAAATGCATTGTTTTCTTCTTCAATTTATTTTTACAAACGAACTATCTCATCCTTTAATGAGTGCTAATCGATTCATATTTGATCAAACTTACAAGCTTTCTATTGTAAGATGTGATTGTGTCTTGAGTTCTCTCTTCAACTGCTGTAATTCTTCCACATATTGTATCAATTCGATGAGCCTTGGAGTGATCATGTTGTAATGGGATCGAATTCAATTTCTCTTGAATCTTATGGAAGCGTTCATTGAAGGGTGTATTTGGATTCATTTTAATAACAAATTTATTTAAAAATTATATTTATTTTAAAATGGTTCAACAGATTATATTAATAGAAATCAAGTATACTAAAGAAATCCATAAACACGTACCCATTGATCTGAATGAAACTGCGCTCAAATTCTAAGAGACCCTTCAAGAATTTCTTAAGTTTCTGATTGAAAAATATAAGATTATGATAAAGGGATCTCTTTTGAAAGCAGACTAAGATCTTTTATAAATCGAATCTCAAAAGCGTATTTGGCATTTCAATCTAAGCGTTAATAATTATGGTTATGGGTGAAGAGCATCTTTTAAATTTGAAATAGTGCAATTAATCTTTGAACAAGATCTCAGTCCAGAAGAAAAGGAAATCCTTTTGAAATAGAATGCAGTACTACTTCAATCTCTACAAATTTCAGATTTTTCTATCAATAGGATTAGTCAATTTAGGAAATACATCTTATATCTATGCCTCAATTTAAATATTGAGGGCAGTTAAAGAGTTGAATGAATACATAAGGAATAACAAAAGCAAGGATAAGGAAATAATATAAAGTTGTTTTACTCATTAATTAATGTCTTCTAAAACTTGAACTCAATGGTGAAGCAGTTCAACCTCTAATTTTATAGGAGTAATCAAATTCCAAATTAATTCTCGATCCATTTAATTATATCCTGATTCACTTAAAGAGAAAATCAAATGGCATTCAAATAATAGGATGCTGATGAATGCTTATAGAATGTACTTAAAAAAATGGAGAATGAAGAATGACAATAACGAAACTTTTTTAAAGATTTGTTTAAATAGAATTGAAATCGAAACTTGAGAATTAGGATTTTCCATATGAGCCAAAGAAAGAGAGCATTGATAAAGGAAAAAAATTGATGTATATAATTGATAATCAGATCAAACCAGTCAATACCTTATTGGAAGGAATTACAGTGAGTTTGGAAGAATAATTAGAGAAAACATCTGAGATAGATCAACAAACTCATGCCTCGAAAAGACACAACGAATTTGTAAATTTTGGTATGATGCATCTATATACATTAAAATGTCAAGTAATTTACTATGTTGAATGGTAGGATTTTTTGGAAATAGGGTGTAAGGCAAGGAAGGAGAGGAGGCTAAAATATTGAGAAAATTTGCATTCCCTAAAATAATAGATACTTTTGTGCTCCTGAATTACAAGGATTGTTGCAAGCTGGAAAAGAGGACGAAAAAGAAAAGGCACTAGTTGGAATAATTCAAAACGGATTTAGAGGCATCTGGAATGATACCAGAGAAACTTACAAGTAATTTAAGGCGAAAAATTAACAAGAGGAAACTCGATGACTTTTATATAGGAAACATGGATTTGTATTAGATATGAAAAATTACTAGTTCTAAGTAATGAATTGCATAATTTATAGCTCATACTGGAAGAGAGGCCGACTCTGGACATTTTAATACATGGGTTCATCATTCAGGGGATGATAAGATCTAGAATGATGATGAACAGACAGCAGAGGGGAAATAAATCATATTTTTGGATTGAGAGGAGGTGGGGATTGGCATATGGGTTATTATCTACTGTATAGAAAATTAGAAATTGAGTGATATTATAAAAATGAATAATTATCATTATTTATTCAAGTTCATTATTGTGGGAGATTCAAGTAATTGAATTACTTAGGTTAGCTGTTGGAAAGAGTTGCTTATTGTTGCAGTATACAGAAGGCAGATTCCAAGTGGGATATGATACTACCATTGGTGTAGAATATGGATCTAAAGAATTCATCTATGATGATAAACTCATCAAGTTATAACTGTGGGATACGGTATAATTTAATTCTATTCAGGCAGGCTAAGAGTCCTTTCGTTCTATAACTAGAGCATATTACAGGGGGTATTTAAGTGCTATTAATATGTTTAGATCTATTGGTTGTTTCTTGGTCTATGATATTTCGAGGAGAATAACATTCGATAGAATTTAAACATGGGTAAAGGAAGTGTAATAAGACACCAATAATCAAATTGAATTTTTTTTGGTAGGCAACAAATGTGATTTAAAAGATCGAAAGGTTAGTTATGATGAAGGGAGACAATTGTCAATACAATTAGGGTGTGAATTCTAGGAGACATCGGCCAAAACTGGAGAAAATGTAGAATTTATATTTGAAACTTTAACTAAAAAAATTTATGAGAACATTAAATCAAATAAGATTGATCCTCTTGATCCCAATCACGGAATAAAAATAGGAAAGATTCGAGAAAACGAAAAGGTTACAGAAATTCCTAACTAAAAATAAAGAAGTGCTTGTTGTTGAATATAATCACAAAATCAATATTTGTTAAATGTATTAAATATTAGAATTAATTAATCTTTATACAGACTTTAATTCATTACTTTTTCTTTTGCTAATTAGGACTTTAACTAGGTTTTCTCTTCTTTGGACTAATCATAGTATAATTTTGTACATTGCCACTCCTTTTTACTTAAGCACACCGTATTTTTTAGAAAGAGGAATTTCATCGAAGTTTTCCTCAAAAACTGAATCTCTCCAACCAACCGTCTCGGCATAAGAATTCTATCTTGCATTTTTATTTCCTGTTTCCGCTGTTTATTTCATATTCTGACCAACATCCTATGGAGAATTGTCATCGCACACTTTGGCATCAAAAGCGATTTGTGAAGGTTGATATTTTGGCCTTATTGAGTTATAAGTGCTCAACATCACGCTTCCAGAAACCACGCTTGGCTGTTAGGAATCTTATCTCTTCAATTAGGAAGGTGGAATTAAAAATTAGTTGTTGCTCAACCTATTGATAAATCCTTAAAATTACTGTCTTATTAAATTCGATCCTTATTTCTCTATTGATTTCTTCATCTCTGCAGACGCAGGAGGCTATAATTATTGTTATGTTGTCGATCTTTATAAATTGTCGTGATTTTCAATGTTTTAGGAAATCTTCATCTATTACTTCTAATCCCAATCATAGATATTATCCAATTTGATTCCTTGATTCTCTGCAGCCTTTTCCAATTGATTACGCACAAAATAATAATTAGGTTCGCTACTATATTATAACTATCTCAAGTGTCTATAAATTTATGAATATAGAGTTACTCCAGAATATTAGCAAATTCTGGCGGTACATCTTAGCACAATTCTCGAGGATCCATGTTCATTTTCATTTCACCGACTTTGACAGTTCTTTCTTCATCACTGACATTCTGCATATTTTGCCATGGAAGCTGCCTAGACTTCTGATAATTCAAGATTCCTTTACCCTTTCATGAAATACAATAACACATATATTAATGATTCGATATCATCCTTCCTACTTAATTCATGGCCCTTATGTGCAGCAATCGATGCATACCTTGTAGTACCGATAAAGGAAGCATTATCTCTAAAGGGTCTAAACTAATAGCACTAAAGAAGTTACAATATATTCCCCTGAGCATCTAGGTATATTTTGCTGATTCCAAAATCGACAACATATATTTTAGAGGATTCATCTTCAATCCCAAATAAAATATTTTCTGGCTTCAAATCTCTATGCACTACACCTTTATTATGGATCCTCTCTAAGACGTGTACTATCTGAATGCCCAACTGAATTGTTGTTTTAAAAGAAAACTTCTTCTTTGATTTTATGAAATGGGATAGATCCTTTCCCAACAACTGTAGAATTATTACATTGAATTCATCCTATTGTCCATGCCAAAATAATTTCGGCACTCCATCGGTTCCTTGCAATTTTTCCAAAACTTAAACTTCTCTTTCTAATGAACGAACATCTTCATTTTCTTCTTTCTCTATTTTGATTGCCACATCAACATTTTTCTCTTTATCGTGTCCTAATAGCACCACTCCAAATGATCCAGAAGATATCTTTTTTTAAACTACGTAGATTCCATTAAAAATTTACGAAGTTTACATAATGATATTTTTATAAATATGTTATTTTTTTTTTGTCATTTTCGATTTAATGCTTGTGTATTTTCATTAATTGTCTACTTTAAAGGACTTATATTAGAATTAAATGATGTGAGATATCCTGGGAATCTCAAATTTGCCCATTAACCGGACAACATTTGAGGAATATATACAAAACGAAGGATCAGGTTTTTATGCACATCATCCTTTAAATTCGAAATAATGTTTCTAATTATTTTGAAGTACAAGTCGTATAACTGTAAAAGTCATATTTTAGTTGATTGTTCATTTGAGGCTAAAGGCTATTGTGAGCATCATGCTTACATAGTATAAAAGAATATTATCTTAGGAGTTGAATGTAGCTTTCAATTATAAGAAGAGAAGAAATAAAAGATATAAATAATTTTAGATCAACACTTTAAAATATGATGAATATTAATATTTCCTATTCTATATAGATAGATTTTCACTTGGGGAAATCCTGCTTTAAAATTGAGAGAATTTCATCAAAATTTCTAATTTTATTAGACTCAAATACTTAACGATTTAATTTTAAGAACCTATAAGAGCTCGATTTTATTTTAAGTATGTTGATAAAATCTACTCTTTTAATCTTACTAACTCTGGGATGAATTAAATTTCCTATTGATTTTCTTCATGGATACTGATGCTGCTCTTTTTGATTAATTTTGAAGAATATTGCTTACTCTTATTGTTCTAATTATTTGCTCCATTCTATTGATTGTTGAGTTTGGTTTAATCAATTTGTGATATTTTCATAGGGTTCTGTAGAGACTGTTCTTTAAAAACAAGAGGTGAAGATTTCGCATAACTTCCTGCATTGATTTTTGTTGTTTACGGTCTTTGGAAATTATAATTATTTTATTTCTTTCCCTTGTTATGTTTCTTCACTTCTTGGCTTTCTTCATTAAAAATTTAATACATTGATCTTTGTTACTCTTGGTAGGGGCAATAAGATGCATAGGAGTCTTGACCTGCTTGGATTTATTGTTTTAAACAAATGGTTCTGTTTCTTCAGTAAACAGGACGTCCTCCTCTATGATGATATGAGGTTTGTTGGAATCCTTGTTTTGGATATCCAATTACTAGGCTGAACGCACGTCATTAATTAACTTACATGGTGCAACTACATTTGAACTTGAATGCAAAGATGATGAATTTTTTTGATGCTGCCAAGTCGTAATTAAATTTTCCACCTTTTGGTTCTGCGAACTTAAGTTCAACTTATAGAATATTTTTCATTCCTTACTTGTTTTTCAACGGAAAATGATTGTGCTTTATTCCTGTGTCTTGGATTTTCTATAGAAAACTGTAATTATCTCTAATAGGTTTGTGGCCTTTCATTCGAAAGGTTTCTAGAACGTGAGGATTATTGACCTAAAATGGATGCCTTTAAGGTTTCTAATTCCTCTAATTAAGTTGATTAGCGCTAAGATAATAATAGCATTTATTATTACTATAAAATTAAATTATAAAATTGCAATATTTTGATAAAGAATAAAGCAGATCAATGGATAGTTGAATTCGATTGTTTCATAAAAAATAAGTCTAGGATTCTTTAAGTGAGAATAAAAATAATTTTTGAGATTATTTAAATTTTCTTAAATAAGTTGTGCATCTTGATGGATTTACCTCCACTTTCTGAACTAGAATTGTAGAATATCTACTCTTGGGTAAAATATGAATATACTAAATTTCAGATTGATAAAATTCCACTCTCAAGACCGAAAAAGAACATTCAAAGAGACTTTGCTGATGGAGCCATGGTGGCTGAAGTTGTTTATCATTATCTCCCAAAATTGGTGGAAAAGCATAATTACCCTCAAGCACATAGCGTTTAATAAAAGTAATACAATTGGAGCACTCTCAATTTGAAAGTATATTTATATACAATCAATCATTAGGTATTCAAAAAACTTGGATTCCAGTTATCTAAAAATGATATTGATAGTGTCATTGCTTGTTCACCGGAGGCTGTTGAAAGGGTGTTAAAGTTATTACAAATTAAGATTGAAAAATATTTAGAACAATAGAAAGAATTGGAAAGGAGAGCCCTTGAATAATAAAAACAATAGTAATAATAATCGCAACAAAAATAGTAGATGTAGGAAGATCCTCTACAAAACTAAGATTTAAGATTTATTCTGGCTGAAAAAAATTAAGCAATAACAGAGTTGAAGGAAACTGTAGAAATTTTATAATTAAAAGTCAAGAAGCTTGAATAACTATTATAAATCAAAGATAATAAAATTTAAGGATTAATCAATCAGTTGCAAGGTAAATAGTGAATTCTTATTATTTTCAATTATTTATAAAATTCATGTTCATGATTTATTTGCATTTGAATATCGCGTATACTTCTATATATATAATTTTAAAATTGACATTAAAATAGACTTATGTCTAGTTAAAGCGAGGAGAGCGATGTATAAGATGATATCATCCATGACTACACTAGTAATTATACTAGTGAAAAGTCAAGTCAGCATCCTTATTAGGAGTCCCATGATGATGTTTATGAAAAAGTGCAATATGTTGAAGGTATACTTAAAAGTGGTATTTGGTATTTTCTAGTAAATATTGTTCGTAAGTCAGAAGAAAATGATTCGCATTAGTAATCCCCTTCAATTCAATCGGTTTCTTCAGCAGAGCCTCCCAAAACTGCTGAAGATGAAGAAACTGTTAAATCTTGCATGGAGTAGGCATCAAAAATAAACGAAAAACTAATGTACTAAAGGAAGTAACTTAAGGATCAATTCAAAGAGTTTTAGAACGTAATTGTTTTAAAGATGAATTTAAGACTATGAATGCTGCAAGAAGTAACTTAAAAGATTTTGATATGCCATATCAAACTGCGCATTTCCCTTTATATTTAAAGACCTAAGAGAAATTTGTGATTTTGCCAGCACAAAATCTCAATATCAGGAAAGGGACATTGGAATCATTTATCAAGACGAATTTGGAAAATGAAAACTCTGTGAAGAAGGCAGAATAGGACAAAAGAGTGGCATTTAAATAACGTAGGCCATACTAGAAAAGAAAATTCGACTCTTGATTATGATGAAGCATTATATTTTCTTCCTTGTTTACAAAAGTAACATCCATTTATAAAATTATTTATGTCTGCTAACTCCAAAGATGCTCCATCATATTAAACTTTAATTTTCATAATAATATATCATACAATTTTGAAGATATAACATTGATTGATAAATCTTACACATTAAAAAATAGTTATGGAGGATGGTTAAGTAAAATGACATGTACATAGCAATTTAATGATATTTTCAGAATAAAACTATTGAATGAATTTAGTATCGGAGAAAAGATACAAGAATAATAAAAATTGTACTAACTTAAGAATCAAAGCTTAGATAATGTGTTCTATGATGGAGTGGTGCGTGATACAAAAGTATTTAATGGGAGCAATAAGGCTTGTGAGAATCAACAAAAAAAGCCAAAGAATATTGAATTCTGTTAAATTACTAGAAAGAATTGGAGGTGGAGGATGCTTTATTGAAAAGATACGTTGAGCTTTGTTAGGTAATGATTTATTATTATATAAATAAATATCTTGTTATAAATCACATTATTAAAATAATATTTTCTTTAAATTTAGAATGTGTATTTAATAATTATTTATAATATGGGAGTTTGTATTAGTAAAATTACAGGGCCTCAACCTGAAATTACCATGGATCCCATGCCTATAGTTTAACCTCAAAAGGGAATTCACTCGATGAGCAGTTTGCCAGCTGAAGTATGTCAAATGCAAATATATCAATAAAGCCAAGAAGAGGGGACAAGAAACGTTAGGCTAAAATAGAAGTGCTGGAAGAATAGATACATGAGAATGTTGCAAAATAGCCGAAAGAAAAATCTCCTTTTGATTTTCAGATGATTTTGAATGCTTTTGGAAACCATTTTATGTTTGCTCAACTTGATAATGACGATAAGTAAAGATAAGCACTATGATTAGAGCTAAATTAATTGATGATATGTATTACGTTACGGCCAAGAATACAGATTACATTTTTAAATAGGGGGACAAAGCAACATTATTTTTTATAATTGGTAGAACTTCATGATTAATAAGTAAGAAAGAGGAGATTGTAAAATTATCCTAAATGATGAAGTAAAGAGAGTGTTGAAAACTCCGGCGTTTTTTGGAGAATTGGCTTTAATGTATCATGCGCCAAGATCTGCTTCAGTATAGGCAATAGGAGATTGTGGATTTTGGGTATTGGAAAGGAAGAAATTTAGAAAAGCAGTTGAGGACATTCAACAAAAGGCTTACGAGACAAACAGAAAGTTCTTGGATTAGGTTAAATTTTTTGGTATTGTGTTGTGTATTTAATGGCTAGACTTCATGACTGAGGAATAAAGAGACAGCATAGCAAATGTGTTGATAACATTGAAATTCAAGCAGGGGGAGCTAATTGTTAATGAAGGGGACATGGCAAATTCATTTTACATTATCCAGAAAGGAATTGTATCGGTCACAAAGTAGGGATAGTTCTTGAGATACATGAATTAAGGAGACTCTTTTGGAGAATAAGCCCTTTTTGGTAATTGTGTAAGAGGAGCAACTGTGAAAGCCAATGAGGAGGATGTGAATCTGTTATCGTTGAGTAGGGAAGATATTACAACTATTCTGGGAGAGAAGATTCAGGTACCATAATTGCATTTATTTAGTTGAATAGTTAATCATTTATACAAATATGCAGAAATGGGCATTTGAAAAACATCCCTAATTAAGGGATCTGACTAAGATGTAAATCTAAAAGATAGTGTCAAACTTTAAGATTAAGACTTATGAAAGTAAAGAGTATTTATTCTCGAAAAATCAAATGATAGACAAACTTATTATTATTCTTGATGGTTAATTAGAGTTTGATGGATAACTATATAATAATGGTCAATTATTTGGGGACAAGTTCCTCCAAGTTGAGGAATCCAAAAGAAAAATTAGTTCAGATATCGTAACCACTCGCAAAACTACGTTATCTGTACTTCCTTTTAAGTAGTTCTTTGAATGCATCGGAGGAGAATTGGAAACTGTGGTCAAGAAAAACAAGGACAGGGCTGGTTCTTCAAGCTTGTTAGAGAAACGATAGAAGAGCAATTACTCTCTGCTCACCTTGGATGATTTCATTGGATTGGAACTTTTAGGAGAAGGCACATTCGGAAATGCTTATTTGGTGAAGGACATCCCTCAATAAAATTTGCATGTCATGAAATGTATTCCAAAAGTAAACATTATTGCAAACAATACTGAAAGACATATGAAAAATGAGAAACAAGTTTTGGAACTGTTGAATCATCCCAGTTTGGTCTGTTTTCATAGATCATTTAAAGATCAAAATTACATATACTTATTGACAGAGTACGTCAAGGGCAAAGAACTATTTCATGTTATCAGAGATCTCGGTTTGCTCAATTCTTATGAGACTCAATTCTATATTGCTTAGATGATTAACATTTTAGAGAAGCTTCACTCTTATCACATTATATACAGAGATATAAAGCCAGAGAATTTTATCGTAATGGAAAACGGGTACTTAAAACTTATAGATATGGGCACAGCCAAAGTCTTGAAGTCCAGGGCTTCGAAGACTTACACCATTGTTGGCACACCTCATTACATGTCTCCTGAAATCCTGAAAGGCAAAGGCTACACATTCTCCACTGATCTGTGGTCTTTGGGAATTTGCTTTTTCGAATTAATGTGCGGAGAAGTTCCCTTTGCAGGCAATGAAGATGATGACCCGTATCAATTATTCTTATTTAGATACATAATCTAAGAAGCCATTCTCAATGGGCGAGTTGAGTACCCTTAGTTTTTGAAAGACTTTAAAGCCATTAAACTGATGGATCAATTGATGAATAGGACACCCGAGCTAAGATTGGGCGGATCATATGATGCTCTCAAAGTTCATTCTTGGTTTGATGGATTTTAGTGGGTAAATTAATGATTCTATAATTTTAAAGGAAGAATTAGAAATGATGGAAATCAAGCCTCCACACATTCCGAAACTTTAACAACTGAATTATTAGGAAATTCCTTTCCTTGAAATGATAAAAAGAGATACATGTCCAGAAATGATCTGCACAGTGACAGTAGATTGGGATTAGGAATTCTGAAATATATTTGCTCATTTATAATTGTAAATCTTTTCTTATTATTAACCATATTCTATGATAAATCATCTCAGAGTAGTGTATCAGCTATTTTCTTCTTCTTACAACAATATACTATGATTCCAATACCAAGCACCCCTCCTGCACCTCCTGCGGCATAAAGCAATATATGAGAATCCTCTTCTGGGTCTTCGGACTCAACCTCAATATTCAACGACAGCACTTGACTGTTATCTTGATTCTCAACTGAAATATTTAAGACCTCTGATTTCATGGTTCCGTTATAAACTATCTTGGGGGAAGGATTAACTTCATATCTTGTTAGTGTACTAAAGTCATAACTATTAAGCAAGACATATTCCTATGAAATTAGAATGATATTTACCTTATTATTCAATTGATAGGAAATCAATTACTTTTCTTTCCTAAGATAATCATTTGAAAATTCAAGTGCTCCAAAGAATAGAATAGGAACGTGTTTCTAATTATTCTTTGGAAGCCGATAAGCAGCCAAAATTTTATCGTCGTTTGCCCAATAGCAATATACAATTAATAGCAAATCATTCTACAAACTTATCGTGGGAATATTACTCACAGTATGGCTCTCAAACAAAGCAAAGTCATGATAACCTTAGATAACTGCAAAAACTTCTTGATCTTTTAATTCACATCTTAGATCTTAGCAAGTGAAATTAAAATTGATTCCATAATGAGCACCATTTCTGGCAAAAAACAAAAATTTCCCTTGAAATAGCTCATCCACTAATGTAGTTGATAATACTTCAATTTCAACAAAATGACCTCCCAGATAATATTCCTTATCTAAAAATTCATCCATATCAATAGTAAATTGATTAAATATACTCAATTTTTCATCTTTTATCCTGAACTCTGTTATGAGGAAGTTATAATCATTTTCGCTAAATGAGTATAAATGAAAATGGTTATCCTTAATCTTCACTATTGTATTTGAAGATTATTATCTATCAAAATATTTGTAACCAAAATATTTAGCTTTCTCAAGGCTTAATAATGATTCTTAAATGCCCCAAGCATATATTGAGAAGGTTTCGGTTAAAAACAAGTTGTTGTCAAATATGAATGCCTTATCAAAAGCATAAACGATTGGAAGGCCTTTGCTACTCTAGCATTCTTGATTCTTGCAAACGATCCCAAATAACGTATCTTTCTTACCTTACATGCAGGAAAGTATAAAATTTAATCTTATCCATAAAGAATTGATTTGCAATAGACATCATTATCTTCGAATGTAAACTCTTTAATAAGATCTCCATTTGCTTTGTCTACCAAACTATAGGTCTGGTTGTAAAGAACAAAAAATGTAGTATCATCAAAGTTCCTAATTGATTTTGAACCTTTATAAAACATATGTTCAGTCTCCTTTATTTATTCAATGATCTATATGTTATTATTACTGTCGTCATTTAGCAATTAGAATCGAACAACTTATCCAGAGTACCAATCAGATCCCATATCTTGAACGAAATTATCTTACTCTGCCTCATCAAGTTTTGTCACTATGTTGAGTTTTTCAGGGTAAACTTCGATTTTTGTATTCGAGTTGACATATTTGAATTTCTATTTTATGTTCAATTTGCTTTTATCATTTGAACATGATACTTGAGTTTGGCTATAGGCTATATTGCACAAAAATATCATTGTTCATATTAATTGTATAACTGAATTAGAAATCTCTATTTGGACATTCTATCATGAGTTTTTGTTTTTAAAAATATACTAAACACCACTTTACAAAAAATATATCCTTCACATCTTTATCAATACTAAACTCTCTCAATAAACTATCATGCCTAGGATTGCTAAGACCATACATCAACACCTTATCTTAACTTTTCACAAAGACAGCATCCAAATATAGGCCGGGTACAATATTCTCGAGTAAGTTTTCCATATCATACTAATATTAGGGTAAGGACTTATCGAATACTATATTGCATAAACTCTACATGAAATAACTTAAAATTTCATGCTTTCCATTTTTCCTCTTCTATGCAAACACAATATTCGGGCTTACCATTAGGAATTTGATGTTTTCAACATCTTTTATTTAAATCTAATTGACAACATAATGAAGACTAAAGTCTAAATAAAGAATCACCAATAATTGATCTTATTTATTAAACAAGAAAAGCAAGCAACTCTCACTTTTACTAAGCTACTAGATAAATAGCTTATTCGGTTTAATAAATTCATAATCTTTGGATGAAAATGAGTATAATAAGTTCATCTACAAAGCTATTTCGTAGACATATACGACTTATTATTTCGATGAGGATAGTACTAAAGTAAATGTAAAAGATGTCATTATATCTATTTCTTTTTCTTTATCCAAAGTGAAGATTTCCTTTTAAACATCAACAGGACCCTTATAAATAATTTTTGACAGTTGTTCTGATGATATCAAAGTCAAAATTGAAATTTAGTCTAAGTAGCTCGAAATACACGTGTTTTCTTTCGTCAATTTATAATCAAGTTAAGTTTATAAAGCTGTTGAGCATTCATTCATTCCATATTGGCATTCCTGGAAAGTGAGTTTCAATTTATCATCTTATGATATCACCATAATTAGACTTCCTAAGTATTCAACAGCTTGTAAGAATGCATAGTTTGAATTAAATTAAATATCTACAGCGACATTATAAGATTTGATTTAATAGAAATTATCTAAGATCTTATCTTATTCGTCTAAAACAACAATACTTATATTTGGACCTTAAACAATTTTAAAATAATGACTGATTTCAGTATTTGGTTAGGCGAAGAATGGATTCCAAAACATAAATTCATCTTTTCGTACTTATATCAATTATTAGCTATCAGAGGCAATAGTTTAATATTCAATATTCAAAGTGCAACCTTGATGAATTACCTATGCTTAGTAGACATTCAAGTCTGTCTCGTCAATAGGATGGTAGACCAAATTAACATAGTACTAGTTTGTGAGCCTTAAAATTCTGTTTCCTTAATTGAAAATATTTCATTGCTCTATGAATCAATTAAGACTTATGAGAAATCACCTACCATATTGTATGTAATTTCATTATTTATTATTTGTATTAAGGATTCAGAAGAAGCTAAATTGCTATATCTACCAATTAGATATGTAGTGTAATTACTTGGATCAAAGGGGAGTTTCAGTAAATAGTTTGGTTATGACGATTCATAAAAAAATGATTTTCCAATTCCTATATACTTTTTTTGCTAGAAATCAAAATCATAGGAAAAAATTTTATATTTACACCATTATACTTCTAAATTCCATTCATTATTATAATGTTATAGATATACAATATTNTTGCATAAACTCTACATGAAATAACTTAAAATTTCATGCTTTCCATTTTTCCTCTTCTATGCAAACACAATATTCGGGCTTACCATTAGGAATTTGATGTTTTCAACATCTTTTATTTAAATCTAATTGACAACATAATGAAGACTAAAGTCTAAATAAAGAATCACCAATAATTGATCTTATTTATTAAACAAGAAAAGCAAGCAACTCTCACTTTTACTAAGCTACTAGATAAATAGCTTATTCGGTTTAATAAATTCATAATCTTTGGATGAAAATGAGTATAATAAGTTCATCTACAAAGCTATTTCGTAGACATATACGACTTATTATTTCGATGAGGATAGTACTAAAGTAAATGTAAAAGATGTCATTATATCTATTTCTTTTTCTTTATCCAAAGTGAAGATTTCCTTTTAAACATCAACAGGACCCTTATAAATAATTTTTGACAGTTGTTCTGATGATATCAAAGTCAAAATTGAAATTTAGTCTAAGTAGCTCGAAATACACGTGTTTTCTTTCGTCAATTTATAATCAAGTTAAGTTTATAAAGCTGTTGAGCATTCATTCATTCCATATTGGCATTCCTGGAAAGTGAGTTTCAATTTATCATCTTATGATATCACCATAATTAGACTTCCTAAGTATTCAACAGCTTGTAAGAATGCATAGTTTGAATTAAATTAAATATCTACAGCGACATTATAAGATTTGATTTAATAGAAATTATCTAAGATCTTATCTTATTCGTCTAAAACAACAATACTTATATTTGGACCTTAAACAATTTTAAAATAATGACTGATTTCAGTATTTGGTTAGGCGAAGAATGGATTCCAAAACATAAATTCATCTTTTCGTACTTATATCAATTATTAGCTATCAGAGGCAATAGTTTAATATTCAATATTCAAAGTGCAACCTTGATGAATTACCTATGCTTAGTAGACATTCAAGTCTGTCTCGTCAATAGGATGGTAGACCAAATTAACATAGTACTAGTTTGTGAGCCTTAAAATTCTGTTTCCTTAATTGAAAATATTTCATTGCTCTATGAATCAATTAAGACTTATGAGAAATCACCTACCATATTGTATGTAATTTCATTATTTATTATTTGTATTAAGGATTCAGAAGAAGCTAAATTGCTATATCTACCAATTAGATATGTAGTGTAATTACTTGGATCAAAGGGGAGTTTCAGTAAATAGTTTGGTTATGACGATTCATAAAAAAATGATTTTCCAATTCCTATATACTTTTTTTGCTAGAAATCAAAATCATAGGAAAAAATTTTATATTTACACCATTATACTTCTAAATTCCATTCATTATTATAATGTTATAGATATACAATATTTTGGAAATCATCTAGGAAAGTAAATTAATAGGTGTCACTGCATTTGAAATCCAAAATTAAAAAATTTGAGTAATCTGTATATAATAAAGTGAAATCATTATCTATAAAAAATTAGCTATTTATTGTTGCAAATTTGTGAGTTCAAGGGTTTCAGAGTTATATTGAAACATTTCCACTTAATTCTAATTATTATATTGATTCTTCTTAGTAACTCTGTATAAGTACTTACTTTGAATATATAGTTGTCTTTCTTAGTTTTTAGAGTATGGATAATCATTTAGTATTTTTGACTTTTTAATTTAATCTCCAATTTGAAATATATAAAAATAATTGGTTTCTACTTCATCTATCATCTCAATACAATCTATGATTACAGATTTACTTGTTATCCAAACAAAATCATAGCAAATAATCTAATCAGTGGATCCAATATTAATTGATTTATCAAATTTAGGCATCCTGTCTTCATTGCTGTACCATTATTCTAAATTATATATTAATTCATATTAATTCTTAACAATTCTCAATATACCATATTAATTAGGCCAGTATCTATCCTTCCTTTAAACTCCATCGAATTTGATTATCTTATTGTCCTCTACAAATATAATAAAGAATTTACATTGTGTTTCATCAACTATACCACTACTTAACAATTGAATTGGTTAGTTTAATTAAAGTTTATTATTGTGATCAATCAATTCATAATCAGCAAAATCTTTCGAATTATGGAAAGCTTAATCTATTTCAAACGACAAATATTCATTATTGTTTCCACAGTAGTTTTGTTAACTTTTGCTATGACCGTTATTCATTTAAGCTTTACTAAAGATTTTATTAATTTTCCCCTTAGTTTCACATAATCTCCTTCATAACGAGTGCATTACAAAGCAATAGCTTTCGAAATGAAAAGGAGCAAAAACATAATTTATTAATGATTTAATAGTTTAATTGGATACTGATAAATCTAACAGATTCTATTAATATTATAATAAATGAAAGCTAATTTATATTAAATACAATATATAATACACACAAAAATTCCAATTAATCAAAGAATTTATTTAAAAATATACTTTTCTATTTTTAAATCTAGTTAAGTTCATAGTTTAAATGAGCTAATAAATCAAATAAAATGTGAAATGAGATTTCATTATTATCATTTGATAATGTTATAGATGAGATAATCTTATTTTTATTTTTTTGTTCCTTCAAATTATAAGCTGTCTTTTCCTTTGGACAATTTGAATACAATTTTATTGATCTTATCACTCAATATATCTAGAATTAGGTATGAATTATTTTTATAAAATTTAATATTTTTAGATATTCTCCATAATTCAACCAATATATAGAGATTCAATTATTCTTTTTGAATTTGTAAATATAGAATACTTGAATTTACTTTTAGTTTTATTTTTGGTTATTTCTCCTAATTTGCTTTGTTTTCTTATTCAAAGTTTCACTTGGGATAGGATTGCTTATATTCTATTGATTAGGTTTTAGATCATTTAAGAATTGGCCTTAACTTATTTCCAGTAAGATGTATTGAAAGTTAGAATGATCCTATTATTATTCAAAAACAGTAATTTAGATCTAATTATGTGATGATTGTAAAAGAGCAAATAGTAAGGATTTAGTATAAAAAGAACATTCAACATTTTAGTTCATCTAGAGTGTGCTCTCATCAAATCCCAAAAGTTTGCTAACTATTATTTATAATAAATTATTTGGAAGCATGTGTGAGAGTTTGCTTTTGAAATTAGTTACCCTATTTTTAGTTTGAGAAACCTAGATCTTAAAGTAACTAACTCTACATCATCCTTCTGAAAAATTGAATGGCTTTTAAATAGCCCAAGCCATTAATTTTAAATAAATCATTTCCAGAAGACAATCTCATTTCAATAGATATCTTGACCAAATAAGCTCTTATAAAGAAAAAAAAGCCTGCAGAGATTAGAAAAATAACACATTTATTTTCATAAAAAAGATATGTTTGACTAGATTAGAGTATAATCGTTTTGGAGGATAAAATTAAGTCTCCACACCTTCCTAAACTTTAACAACTGATGATCTGCAAAGTGATAGTAGATTGGGAATAGGAATTTTAAAATATATTTGCTCATTTATAATTGTAAATCTTTTCATAATATTAACCATATTTTATTATAAATCAACTCAGATTAATGTATCAACCTTTTTCTTATTCTTAAAAAAATAGACCCCTATTCCAATACACAATAGCCCTCCTAAAACGCCCAACAATATCCAAAGCCAAAGATAAGATTTCTCTGCAGATGCTGATGACTCAATCTCAATATTAAATAACATCAGTTCATTTTTGAAATAATTTCTAACTGAAAGGTATTCCACCTCTTTTTTCATAGTTCCGTTGTAAACTATCTTGGGGGAAGAATTAACTTCATACCTTGTAAGTATACTATAATCATAATTATTAAACAAGAGATATTCCTATTAAATTAGAATGATATTTACCTTATTATTCAATTTATACGATGTCAATTACTTTTCTATCCTATAAAATAAAGCTGAAAATTCTAATGCTCCAAAGAATAGAATGGGAACGTTTTTCTAATTCTTCGACGGAAGCCGATAAGCAGCTAACATTTTCAAACTGCTTCTCATATCCTAATATAAAATTAGTAGCAAATCATTCTATAAACTTATAGTGGGAGTATATTTCTCGAACAACCAAAAGTCCTCATAACCTTAGATAACTGAAAAGACTTCTTGACTTTTGAGTTAACATCCTTCATCTTTGCAAGTGAAGTTATAATTCATTCCATAATGAGCACCTTATTTGGCAAAAAATAGAAATTTCCCTTGAAATAACTCAGCCTCTAAAATGGTTGATAATACTTCCATTTCAACCAACTGATTATCCATATAATAATCACTATTTAAATATCCTAGTACATTAATCAAAATTTCATTAAATTAAATCAATGTATCATCTAATATCTTCAACTCTCTTATCAGCAATCTCCCAAATATGTTAAATGAGTATAAATGATAATGGTTGGGCTTAATCTTCACTATTGTGTTTGAATAACTATCTGAAGCAAGCTATATATAACCAAAAAGTGTAGCTGCCTCGATTTTTAATAATGATTCTTTAACCCCATAAACGAATAAATAGTTTTAACCGATCAAAAACATATTGTTTTCAAAATAGTATGCTTTTCTCAAAGGATTATCAATTTGAAGGCCTTTACTATTCTCGCAAACTTAGTTCTTGCAACTGATTCCAAATACCATTTGTTTTGTATCTTAATTACAGGAAACTATAAAATTTTAATCCTACCCATAAAGAATTGATTTACATTAGAAATCTTTATCTAAGAAAGTGAACTCTTTAATAAGATTTCCAGTTGCTTTGTCTACAAAGCCATAGGTCTGGTCTTTAAGAACAAATAATGTAGTATTGTCAAAATCCTTAACTGATCTTGAACCTTTATAAAATATATGTTCAGTCTCATTGATAGGTTAAATGATCTGTGTGTTCTTGATAACATCGTCATTTAGCAATTAGAATCGAACAACTTATCCAGAGTACCAATCAGATCCCATGTCTTGAACAAAATTGTCTTACTATGCCTTATCAAGTTTGGTCACTATTTTGAGTTTCTCAGGGTAAACTTCGATTTTTGTATTCATGTTGACATATTTGAATTTCTATTTTATGTTCAATTTGCTTTTATCATTTGAAAATTATACTTGGGTTTGGTTAAATTGAACAAATATATCATTGTTCATATTAACATTATAACCAAAGGAGTATGAGGTATAGATGTCATAAATTATGAGTTCTTATTTCTAAACAAATATTACATAATTCATGATGCCAAATATATCTTTCACATCTTTATCAATAATAAATTCTTTAAAAAAAGTATTATGACTAGGATTATTAATTTGATATATGAATAACTTATTTTAACTTTTCACAAAGACACTATTTAGATATGAGTTGAATACAGTATTCTCAAATAAGTTTTCAAGAGCAAGCGAATATAGAGGTATAGATTTTTCGAGGAAGATATTGCAATAGTTTTCGATGTTATAGATTAAAATCTCATGATTGATATTTTCCTTCTCCTAAACAACTACAAATTTCTAGGATCCAATTAAAACTTAGATGTTTTCAACATCTTTTAATTAAATCTAATTGGCAACATAATGTAGATGATAGTCTAAATAAAGAATAACTAACAATTGATCTTATTTATTAAATAAGAAAAGCAAATGAACCTACTTTTAGGTTTCTTGCTACTAGTTAAATAGCTTATTAGGTTTAATAAATTCATAATCTTTGGATGAAAATGAGTATAATAAGTTCATCTACAAAGCTATTTAGTAGACATATACGACTTATTATTTCGATGAAGATAGTACTAAAGTAAACGTAAAATATGCCATTGTGTCTATTTCTTTTTCTTTATCCAAAGTATAGGATTAAATTCTAAAATAACCAGGTTCATGGTAAAGCATGTATGATAATTTTTCTGATGATATCAAAGTAGAAATCGAAATATATTCCTCGTAGCTTGATATAGCTGTGTTTTCTTTTGTCAATTGAAAATCTAGTTGACTTTCTTAAACTATTGAACATGAAAATTTATATTCTTTCTATGAACATAATTATAAAGTGAGCTTCAATTTATCATCTTAGGATATCACCATCAATTTCTTAACTTCACTTCTAATGTATTGAACAATTTCTAAGAATACATAATTTGTTAGAGGTGGGATATCTACAGCAACTTAATTAGATTGGACTTAATAAAAATTATCTGAGATCTTCCCTTATTCGTCTAAAATGGCAAAACTTGTATTTGGTCCCTAAACCAGATTATTAAAGTAATTGATCTTAAACATTGAAGAAGCTAAGAATGGATTCCAAAACATAAATTCATCTTTTCGTACTTATATCAATTATTAGCTATCAGAGGCAATAGTTTAATATTCAATATTCAAAGTACAGCCTTTATAACTTACCTATGCTTAGTAGACATTCGAGTCTGCCTCGTCAGTAGGATGGTAGGCCAAATTAACATGGTACTAGTTTGTGAGCCTTAAAATTCTGTTTCCTTATATTGAAAATATTTCATTGCTCTATGAATCAATTAAGACTTATGAAAAATCACCTTGTTTAATAAATGAAATTTCATAACCTACTATTTGTATTAAGGATTCAGAGGAAGCCAGATTGGTAAATTCACCAACCAAATATGGAGTGTATTTACTCGAATCAAAGGAGAATTATAATTAGGACCTATACTCTGAATAATAGAAAAAGGATTATCCAACTCCTATGTATTCTTTAGAGAAGAAATCAAAATCGTAAGAAAGAATTTTATATTTACACTTGTCTACTGTTAATGTCCATTCATCACGATAATTCGATAGATATACAATATTTTGGAAATCATCTAGGAAAGTAAATTAATAGGTGTCACTGCATTTGAAATCCAAAATTAATAAATTTGAGTAATCTGTATATAATAAAGTGAAATCATTATCTATAAAAAATTAGCTATTTATTGTTGCAAATTTTGTGAGTTCAAGGGTTTCAGANTAGTTAAATAGCTTATTAGGTTTAATAAATTCATAATCTTTGGATGAAAATGAGTATAATAAGTTCATCTACAAAGCTATTTAGTAGACATATACGACTTATTATTTCGATGAAGATAGTACTAAAGTAAACGTAAAATATGCCATTGTGTCTATTTCTTTTTCTTTATCCAAAGTATAGGATTAAATTCTAAAATAACCAGGTTCATGGTAAAGCATGTATGATAATTTTTCTGATGATATCAAAGTAGAAATCGAAATATATTCCTCGTAGCTTGATATAGCTGTGTTTTCTTTTGTCAATTGAAAATCTAGTTGACTTTCTTAAACTATTGAACATGAAAATTTATATTCTTTCTATGAACATAATTATAAAGTGAGCTTCAATTTATCATCTTAGGATATCACCATCAATTTCTTAACTTCACTTCTAATGTATTGAACAATTTCTAAGAATACATAATTTGTTAGAGGTGGGATATCTACAGCAACTTAATTAGATTGGACTTAATAAAAATTATCTGAGATCTTCCCTTATTCGTCTAAAATGGCAAAACTTGTATTTGGTCCCTAAACCAGATTATTAAAGTAATTGATCTTAAACATTGAAGAAGCTAAGAATGGATTCCAAAACATAAATTCATCTTTTCGTACTTATATCAATTATTAGCTATCAGAGGCAATAGTTTAATATTCAATATTCAAAGTACAGCCTTTATAACTTACCTATGCTTAGTAGACATTCGAGTCTGCCTCGTCAGTAGGATGGTAGGCCAAATTAACATGGTACTAGTTTGTGAGCCTTAAAATTCTGTTTCCTTATATTGAAAATATTTCATTGCTCTATGAATCAATTAAGACTTATGAAAAATCACCTTGTTTAATAAATGAAATTTCATAACCTACTATTTGTATTAAGGATTCAGAGGAAGCCAGATTGGTAAATTCACCAACCAAATATGGAGTGTATTTACTCGAATCAAAGGAGAATTATAATTAGGACCTATACTCTGAATAATAGAAAAAGGATTATCCAACTCCTATGTATTCTTTAGAGAAGAAATCAAAATCGTAAGAAAGAATTTTATATTTACACTTGTCTACTGTTAATGTCCATTCATCACGATAATTCGATAGATATACAATATTTTGGAAATCATCTAGGAAAGTAAATTAATAGGTGTCACTGCATTTGAAATCCAAAATTAATAAATTTGAGTAATCTGTATATAATAAAGTGAAATCATTATCTATAAAAAATTAGCTATTTATTGTTGCAAATTTTGTGAGTTCAAGGGTTTCAGAGTTATATTGAAACATTTCCACTTAATTCTAATTATTATATTGATTCTTCTTAGTAACTCTATATAAGTACTTACTTTGAATATATAGTTTTCTTTCTTAGTTTTTAGAGTATGGATAATCATTTAGTATTTTTGACTTTTTAATTTAATCTCCAATTTGAAATATATAAAAATAATTGGTTTCTACTTCATCTATCATCTCAATACAATCTATGATTACAGATTTACTTGTTATCCAAACAAAATCATAGCAAATAATCTAATCAGTAGATCCAATATCAATTGATTTATCAAATTTAGGCATTCTGTCTTCATTGCTGTACCATTATTCTAAATTATATATTAATTCATATTAATTCTTAACAATTCTCAATATACCATATTAATTAGGCCAGTATCTGTCCTTCCTTTAAACTCCATCGAATTTGATTATCTTATTGTCCTCTACAAATATAATAAAGAATTTTACATTGTGTTTCATCAACTATACCACTACTTAACAATTGAATTGGTTAGTTTAATTAAAGTTTATTATTGTGATCAATCAATTCATAATCAGCAAAATCTCTCCAATCATCGAAAGCCTAAGTTATGGGATAGTGCAAGTATTCGTTGTTGTGTGCAACTATCTTCAGATAGTCTTCACCATAATTTGTGCATGACAAAGCAATAGATTACGATATGAAAAGGATCAAAAACATAATTTATTATTAATTGATTGGGCCATTCCAAACTTAAAAACTAACAAATTCCGTGTTGTACAAATTAATATTATTATAGAATGAAAACTGAATCTATAAAATACCATATAGAATACAAAAAATTGTTATTAGTACAGATTTAATTTTACATTAGAGTAACAAATAACCAAAGAATTTCATAACAACTAAATATAATTTCCTAATTTCTAATCCAACTAAGTCAATAACATATATTAGCTACTAAATCAATTCAAATTTGAGATATAAAAAGAATTAGATTAAATTTAAGAATATTGAGATATATCATATGTTAATTTATCGACCTGAATCTCAACTTAATGTATAAATGTATAATTTCACTACATTTATAATTTTATTTCAAGCAGAAAGTATATTCAAAGAAAGTACTTATAATACATAATAGAGTAATAAGGATATATAGGTTACAGGTATTCATTTGGTATCAATTCTATTCTTATTTGTTTAGCATGATTCTGATATTAAATTACAGAAATTTCGAAAGGGCATCAAAATTATAACCGTGTAATTTTATAAATGTAGATAAAACATAAAATTTAATTTGCCACATCTAATTCAACGACCAGAGTATAGATAGAGAGGGATGATGTGAAGATTTTGAGTTAGAGTCTCCACATGATAATTTTATAAACTTTTTTAGATGTAGATATATCAAATTTTGATATAATTTTAAGGTGCAATTACAATATTCTATCTACTCTTGAAGAGCAGGAATGGGTAATGGATATTCCTTCGAAAACAATGATAATCTAATGATTGCTTGAAATGAGAATTGATATTATATTCCAAAATTGGAAGGACAATTGATTCCTAAATATGATAAACTTATAATCTACTCTTGTAGTATCGATTAACAGGTAGTAATAAAGTCACTCTTTAGTAGAATTAATATTCAATATAGATTGCTTATATATTTTTGATCTATTAGTTTAGGGGCGTTGAAAGATTAAGTTCATTGAATGTGTTGTGGTTGTTAGGGGAATTTGAGAGAGTAATTTTACATTAAAAATATTAATTTAATTTAATCATGATTTTCAGAATGTTTAACTTTATGAATTCGCGGATAGATGAATTCATTGAGGAGAGAAAAGATATCAAATTAATATTGGATGAGTCTTCGCTATTGTAAGATCTCTTGATGCCCTAATAACAATACAAATTGCTTAATTAGTAATGATGGACATGATTCATAGCGTCAAGGACCATCCCGAGCATTTGGAGACTCTCATCGAGTACATCACAGAAGTGGGAGATGAGACTAACTGCCAGAGAGTATTATATAAGTATGAGTCTATTCAAGAACAAACTAGATATCCCTTTTTAGCGAGCGAGATCTTGAGCAAGGAGAATGATTTCTTTTAAGATTTCCTTTTTGAGGAGCAAAATCTCCATTTTTTGAACAGACTGTTTTCCCTTCTGAATGAGGATATCCTCAACATTACATAAGCAGGTTACTTCTCTAAAGTTATCCTCACTTTGTTGAGGAAGAAACATTTCAAGGTATTAGCATTCATAATAACTTAAGGTGTTGCAATACTTAAGTGACAAGGACATCTCTAATCTTCTTAAACATATTGACATTCCACATATTGCTGAGATACTTGAAAAGGTCATCATTCCAGATCCCAATGATGAGAATTAATTACTTGAAAAACAGAAATCCATTTTGCAGAGAGTAATGAAGATCTCATTGCATCGCTACTATGAAACTGAAGTATATACTTAGATATAGAGATTTAGGTTTTTGACAATTGCTTGCTCATCATCAATAATCTAATAAAGAGTCAGATCAATCCGGATTAGGAAGAGTTGATAAAAATCTTATTGAACCCGTATTACTTTCTCACCATTTGTGTAAATATTATTTGCTCATTTCTTTAGTACTAAAGTCAGAGAACTGCAGCCTATGAATTAGTATCCAATCTACTGTAATATATTAATAATTCAGGCAAGACTGATTACTTTCTCTACTTTATGAATGTGGCTAAGCATCTCCCCAATGCATTCACCACTTCTAATTTATATGCCATACCTCATCAGACTAGTTATGGGTAGATCATCACTCCTTTGTCCTCCAACAAACTCACATTACTCCAAATATTTTACTTACTATTACTCAGTGAGAAAGAAGAACTCTTGTCTGAATTGATCAACAATCAATCCTTCGAAGTTGTTACCAATGTCATATTGACACATGAATTCAACAATCAAGCTCTCATTTGGTTCGATAAGATAGTCATCTTTATATTCCAGAAATTGCCTCAGATGCACAAATCCATCTCAGAGTTCTTGGCCTCAATCATTATTCAATACAATAGAAATGAGAAAAAACAAGTTGGATGTCTTCAAAACACCATCAAACCAGGATATCAAGGCATCCTAACCAAAATATCCAATCTATTAGTGGAGAATCATTTCACCAGTGAAGTTTGGGATCAATATGTGAATGACACTCTCAGCAAAATTAATTCCGTAGAGAAAAGATTGTTGTGTGGCGTTGATCCAAAACCCAGACAAATGCCTTATTGCATACAGGAATCAGTCACAATTGAACAGCCAATAGAGAATGATGACAAAGAAGAAGATGAAGAAGTAGAGGAAGAAGACATCCCTGAGGATGATAATAATAAGGAAAATGAAAATGATGATTACGAAAAAGAATAAGATCAGGAACAAGAATAACAATAAGGTTAAGAACAAGAACAAGAAGAGAAATTCTATGATTGCAACGAAGAAGGACGATTACAATAATTGCAAGAATTACAGCAAATCCAATAAGAAGAATCTATAGTAGCATCCAAGTATACACTTCTATTACATTATTAGACATAAATCAAGTTCTGAGGAGTAAGAATTAATAGATGAATAAATTGAAGAAATGATTTCTGATCCCCAAACCAAACCAGAATAAGGTATTATTGTTGATTCTATGGATTAGTTGCTTAAATTATTTAAAATGAAGAAGTTCTTATTGATGACATTGGACCTTTAGAACTAGAAAACAAACTAGATCATCAAGTCAATGAATATTACAAAAAGCATGATGATCCTAAAAATGAAGAATGATATAGATATATATTTAAGCTTTTTAGCTTAAAATAAATATTATAAAAAATAACAAAGGAAGCATGAATCAACCATGTTTTTTTTTTAAAAACAATACTTCATCATCATCATCAATACTAAGGGGTAAACTAATGACACACCTGAAATGATGATAATTATTTAATCAATCTAAAAAAAGTTATTGGATATTGTACATATGAAAAAATTACAAAGCTAAACATAATAGAGCTCAGGGTTGTAAAGGTCTTTCAGTAAGTTAAGAACTTGGATCTAATCAAAATCAAGAAAAATCCATCCTCTACAAATTACAAGAAACCTAAGAACCCTCTATCTCTTTTTTCAGATTATAAATATTACAAAACTATTCAAGACTTTGTGAAGATGGAAAACCTTTTATTTGAACTCATTATGCGAAAGATGTTTTAGTTAAGCATATGCTCATGAAACATTTCTTAATTATATCTTGTTTATAAATATTGCGACTTTGAACTATTATCATACTAACGGTATCTGTCGTTGAGATCTCGAATCTTAAAACTTTCTATTCTTAAGATAATCTAAGGATTCCCTTTTGAAAGCAAATTAATATGGATTTAGTACTTTACTAAAATAACTCATCTCATCCAATCAAACAGATAATATGAGTGTTAGTTATATTCTGTAATAGTACCAATCAAATATATACATTACAGAATATTATCAGAAATCAGACTGATTCTAATTAATTTTTAATTTAAAAAATCTAAGAATTCAATTTGAATGTACTCTTTAAGCTTCAATATAATTTTAATTACTGAAAATTGCTGATAATTTAAACAGTATATAATCATTGAGGTTATTCAGTAATTTGAACAAAAACAATTTCCTATAAAATTGCTATTAAATGACAATTGGAGTAGAGTATTCGGGTGGGAAAAACGATCAATTATATGTTTATTTTTGATTGAGTTTATGATTTTATTTAAAAAATTAAGAATCAACAATATGATTAAAATAATTATAGAATTGTCTAATTTTGTAATTTAATTAATATCTATTATGATGCATTATTACAAACAATTTATTGAATAATTAAATCATCATGATTATTTAATTTGTATGCAAAATATGAATGATATTTACTCTTTTCCTGTTGAGGAACAACTTAATTATATTTAAGGTAAATTCAACATGTTTGTAGATTGAGGATTACCTTATAAATGTGAATGCTTTCATCCAGGATATACTTGTGAAGCCCAAATACTTCGCATGTATAATTACTTTTTATACAAAGGTTTCCGATCTTATTTTCTCAAAACGCTAAAGTCTATCTTCCAGTTCATTTGCTGCCTTTCTTGATTTATAAGAGGAAAGCCTTTTTTAAAAAGTATATTTGAGTTTCTTAAACTTAAGTCCAATTAGCACGACTGCGAGATCATTGTTTTCATACGCAAAGAGTGTGTTGTTTTTAAGTCTTATGGTTTAAATTATGAGATACAATTGGTGTAAGTAGGTAAGATTTCGTAATACGGTTGACCCGTTCATCCCAATATCTGGTGGTTTGATGGGAGCTTTCGCTTTGTTGTTGGAATCAAAAACGAGGTAAGGGGTGCTATGTAATTGAAAGGGCTTAGGAAATAATGCTGAGCATAGTGCCTCGATATTTTGAGACAATCTTGAATCTGATGAAGAGAAAGGGTTGGATAAAAAATATTCCTAAAGGAGATGTGTTGGTATTTGCAATTATATTGGCAATAATTCATTATTATTATTAACATGATGTAAAAATACATGCGAATTACATTAGCCGAAGGCTTTGAAAACAACCTATAGAGGAATGTTTGGTAAATTCTGGGGAAGGAATTGATTGTACATATATATAATAAATATTTTAATGAATGTGACGATTAAAAAGTAAAATTAAATTAAATCTTTAATTCATGTCCATAAAATTACATTCCCCATCTGGATAAGGAAGAACACACAAAATCTTGGTGGCAGCCAAATTGGCTAATCTCCAATTGGAATTTGTTGACACCTAATTGAACGAGAAGAATTTCTAAGTATTCTAAAACAAGTTTCCATTTGGAAAAGTGCCAGTCTTGGAAACTCAAGAGGGCAATCTTTTCGAAAGCAATGCCATCCTCAGATACATAGCAANTCTTTAAGCTTCAATATAATTTTAATTACTGAAAATTGCTGATAATTTAAACAGTATATAATCATTGAGGTTATTCAGTAATTTGAACAAAAACAATTTCCTATAAAATTGCTATTAAATGACAATTGGAGTAGAGTATTCGGGTGGGAAAAACGATCAATTATATGTTTATTTTTGATTGAGTTTATGATTTTATTTAAAAAATTAAGAATCAACAATATGATTAAAATAATTATAGAATTGTCTAATTTTGTAATTTAATTAATATCTATTATGATGCATTATTACAAACAATTTATTGAATAATTAAATCATCATGATTATTTAATTTGTATGCAAAATATGAATGATATTTACTCTTTTCCTGTTGAGGAACAACTTAATTATATTTAAGGTAAATTCAACATGTTTGTAGATTGAGGATTACCTTATAAATGTGAATGCTTTCATCCAGGATATACTTGTGAAGCCCAAATACTTCGCATGTATAATTACTTTTTATACAAAGGTTTCCGATCTTATTTTCTCAAAACGCTAAAGTCTATCTTCCAGTTCATTTGCTGCCTTTCTTGATTTATAAGAGGAAAGCCTTTTTTAAAAAGTATATTTGAGTTTCTTAAACTTAAGTCCAATTAGCACGACTGCGAGATCATTGTTTTCATACGCAAAGAGTGTGTTGTTTTTAAGTCTTATGGTTTAAATTATGAGATACAATTGGTGTAAGTAGGTAAGATTTCGTAATACGGTTGACCCGTTCATCCCAATATCTGGTGGTTTGATGGGAGCTTTCGCTTTGTTGTTGGAATCAAAAACGAGGTAAGGGGTGCTATGTAATTGAAAGGGCTTAGGAAATAATGCTGAGCATAGTGCCTCGATATTTTGAGACAATCTTGAATCTGATGAAGAGAAAGGGTTGGATAAAAAATATTCCTAAAGGAGATGTGTTGGTATTTGCAATTATATTGGCAATAATTCATTATTATTATTAACATGATGTAAAAATACATGCGAATTACATTAGCCGAAGGCTTTGAAAACAACCTATAGAGGAATGTTTGGTAAATTCTGGGGAAGGAATTGATTGTACATATATATAATAAATATTTTAATGAATGTGACGATTAAAAAGTAAAATTAAATTAAATCTTTAATTCATGTCCATAAAATTACATTCCCCATCTGGATAAGGAAGAACACACAAAATCTTGGTGGCAGCCAAATTGGCTAATCTCCAATTGGAATTTGTTGACACCTAATTGAACGAGAAGAATTTCTAAGTATTCTAAAACAAGTTTCCATTTGGAAAAGTGCCAGTCTTGGAAACTCAAGAGGGCAATCTTTTCGAAAGCAATGCCATCCTCAGATACATAGCAAGGCACTCATAAGGATTATATGGGTATTGTAATATTAATAAATTTAGAAAAACATTGTATTAATAGGGTTTAGTTGATTAATGGTTGGATGTGACAACTAATGAATTGGAAACAGACGTTGTGGCAGCTGCTATTTAAGTATTGGGCCACATCCCAGTGATTCCTGACTAAATCAAGACATCTTTCGCTTAAATTAATTACACATTGGCTGTCGTAAATACTCAATTGGGCAAATCCAAATACATCAGTGGAGACTCTTTGACCGTCGCCGATATTGCCTTGGCTTAGGTTGTTACATTCGCATTCACCCTTTTGTTTGGAGAAACCGAGAGAAACAAGTATCAGCATTTATTAAAATGGTTGAATGAAGTTACTTCACTTCCAGAATGGAGAGCAGTAATGACATTTGTTAATATTATCAAAGGAATTCGGTAGACCAAGATTCCCAAAGACTGCCTTTGTAGTGAATGAAGTAGCACCTTAGGAGAAAGACAAAAAGGAAAAGAAAGAGAAAAAATAAGAATAACCAAAATAGAAGGAACAATAAGAACAACCTAAATAGAAAGAGTAACCTAAGTAGAAGGAACAACCAAAATAAGAGGAAGAGGATGATGCTCCTAAAAAGAAGGAAGCAAATCCACTTGATTTATTACCACCTTCAACTTTCAACATCGATGATTATAAGAGAATATTCTTCGCAGAAAAAGATATTTAAAAAAACATTGAAACTCTATTTGCAACTATTGATTTGAATGGATGGTCATTATGGTTGGTCAGATACAATAAGTCAGAAAATGAAGGAAAACAATTGATTCTCACCAACAACTTAATGAAAGGATTCATCAACTAAAGATTAGATCAAAACTTCAGAAAGTATGCCTTTGCCATTCATGGTGTCTATGGTGATGAACCCAACCTCTAATTAAGAGGAGCATGGCTTTGGAGAGGAACTGAAGTGCCAAAAGAATGGGTACATAATAAATAATATCTTTTAGAAAGATCATGTCGCTTATGATTATCATGAATTCATCAAAGTTGACGTTAATAATGCTGCTTAAAAATAATTATTTGTTGACTATTGGGTTAAATAAGAGGAAGATGTCTCTGAAGTTGAAGGATTAAAAGCCAGAAGTTTAATGTATTTCAGATGAGATATATATAAAATAAAACAACAATTCGGACATCATTCGCTATCATTCTTTTCCTTATAATCATATTGTTACAGATTCCTGAAATTCATTTGAAGAGTCTTCCCATGAATCAAAAATTTGGATTAATACTCTACACATGATCTTGACCTTCTTAACCTTGTGATTTAATATATTTCATATCAAAAATTTATGATAACAAATCATAATTGATTGTAGAATTCCTCGAGAATGACGTTAATTTTCTTAATGTGGAATTAGGAGAGATCTTGTTTATAGAGTATTTCTTTACAGGTGAAATTGTGGAGGATGAAAACCAATGCACATATAATATTGACAGTCAATACTCATAAAAAATGTACTAATTTGCAATATCTTTTGATGGTTGTCCATTTTTGATTTCTAATTTCATTATCTCCTATACTGATTTATAACTAAAATTACCATCATCCTATTGAAAAATATCATATATCCTAGGATACATGTCTTAAATTCCACACTATTTAAAATACCAAAGTAAACTATTGCTCACCCACACAATAGGTCAATCAGCTATGGGAAATTATTCATTTGAAAAAGAATAATTGACTATCAAACTCTTGGCTACAAATGTGATGATACTGTGGAAGAAATCTAAAATGATCTGAGAGACCATCTTTGGGCTATTACAGTTTAGTTCATTTTATTAAATAAAGGGATTTTGGAAAGTAGAGTAGAATAATAACAGCAAAATAGAGAATTGTTTTGATTTGATTGATGACAATTTCATGACGCTAGCTATGATTCGTTTAGAGATTTAATGATTTTAGAGGTACTATGAGAGGATAACTCTTGAAGGAGTTGAAATCAAATTTTCTTCATCCTCTATTTAATCGTGTAGCTTAAACCTACTATTGCTGTCAACCGAATAATTTCCATAACAAAAACATAATTTTATATTCCTTAATATTTTTGTAATTAACACTAATTCGTTATTTTTTTTATTGTATGTTTTGTCATCTAATAAAATTTCTGTAAGATCCCTTCAATTCAACTCAATTATTATTCAGATGTGGATAGAACTTCAGTTTTCTTTGGAAATAACATGGCAAAAGGGTATTCTTAAGGTAAATGTTAAAACCAAGAGGTAATAGCTACACTAATAATTGCCCAACAATCCAACAAAGAATCAATAATAACTAAACACCCTGCACTCATTCCTCTCTTTAATCCCACTTAATACCCTAAGACATAACATTATTTTTATATTAAAATAACCAAAGCTATCTGTTTTTATTATTATAATAACAAATGAACGGATCTGAAGGTGCCAAGTTCCTCATGCATTCCCAGAGTACTGTTGACCAGCCATCTGATAAACTAGGAGATTGCAACTATCAAAATGGTAAGAAGATACAATTTACCTAGCAGAAAGTAAAAACAAAAAGAGCATCTTGGATTAAACTGAGATGATACCCAAAAACCAAAAAACTAAGTTGAAGCGAAATAAAATTTGCATCAATAAAAAAGTCAGAAAAACCTGGACTGCCTAAGAAGACTTATAGCTACAGCGTTCTATTTAATAACATGGGTCGAATTGGGTTCAAGTTGCCGCATCAATGGTTAATCGAAATCCATCTTAATGTACTCAGAGATGGAAACGAATCAAACCATAAGCTGTAATCTCTGTTAATAAGTCTAGTTAAGAAAGAGAAAGCCCTTCTCTCAAGAGGAAGATTAACTTATATTGTAATTAGTGGGCAAGTACCAATAAAATTGGGGGAAAATTGCCCAAATGTTCCCAGAAAGAACGAACAAATAAATAAGAGAGAGATATATTAATAAACTGAATCCACTAAATAAGTAAGAGCCATTCACTGAAGAAGAAGATCAGATTATCTTAAAAGCATATCAAGAAATCGGATCGAAGTGGACTAAAATATAAAACCTTTTGGTTGGTAGGCCTGTAAGTATATTCCTCCCTGATTATTAGGAAAACATGATTAAGAATCGTTTTTACTCCTACCTCAGATAAAGATTTTTGAACATTAAAAACCCTTACTATTCAATTCCGTCCAAACCCGAGAATCCAAGTATAGATCAAAAGTTAAAAGTGGAAAAAGATGAGTAATTGACAGAAGAAAAATAACTGAAAGAGGCTGAAGTCCAACAAATAAATAAGGAACATTATAACCAGAGAAATACTGATATTCAAGAAATGTCAACTTAATTACCACTTCTCTAGTCTGACCCATATAGTTAAATTCCTCAACCTCTATTTCTTGGAAATTTCTCTTGTAATTACTCTTCATTTATTCAATAGACCCTTAATATTATCTCTATTAGGCTCCTGGTGCCATAGTTTACATGCCTTGCTTACAAGGACCCTATGCTGGATTTCAAAAGCAGATATACATGGTTCAACAAGATACTAATTAATTGATGCATTGGTCAAACTCTTGATAGAAACTGAATATATATTTTTATAAAGTTAGTAAAATAAATATGAAATTCTCAACTAGTTTTATTTGATCGCTTGACTATTCGCACTAAAATATCAGCTAAATTACTTAGCTCTGATATATAACTAAAATCAATTTCTATTAATACCCTCTAGGAATTTATCCTATTTCTTAAGTTGACAAGGATTGAAAATGAGATGTCATTCTTACAATGTCTGTTAAAGCAATCTTTTCGATGAATCTGTTTGAAAGTTCCGGTGAGTGATTTCTTTAAAAAGAATTCGATTTTTAAACATTGAAAGCATTATCATTGAAGGAGAAGGTTTGTTTTTTGTGATCAAACAAGTTCTTCTTTGGAATTTGATTTAGCTATATATTAGGAGAGCTTTTATCGAAAAGTCCTTTTGAAACCTCATTTATATATCTGTAAAACAAAGGTTTGTCGCCTTATGGAGAGACTCTATTAGAAATAGATTGGTTTTAGAGTTTCAATTAGACTTCCAGTCTATTATCGAAATTCTTAAATCTGTCTAGTTTCTCCTTGGATTTTTAGGGTGAGTCCTTATAACTTGATCCCAAAGTAATATTTTATCGCGCTGGTTTTGGGAATGAAGTAAAGGAATTGTCATAGTAATCCTTTTGAGGGGATCTTTTAAACAAGGAGTCTATTTTATTATTATTTTTGGTTTTCGACTAAGGTGCTCTATTAGTAAAGATTTCATCATAATTTAATCCACCGAGAAGTTTGGACTTCTTAGGTGACTTTCTGCTGACTTTTTATTCTTCCCTAATTGGTTAAGGATGATAAAATACAGAACAATTCTTTCTGCTTTGCTCCAGGAAGCAAATAAAGTAGAGGATCTTTCTGATTGTGAACTAAAAGGTTCTCTGGATGATACATTGGTACGAAGATCTTTTCTAAAATCAGCCAGTTATTTAGAATTCATTTGAGTGGTAGTTTAAAATGTTGTAAATCCAGTTGGATTGCTTGACTTTTCAAATCTTGCTTATTTTTATGGTGAGAACAATGATGGTTAACGCATGAGTATAACAGACAAAAATTATTAATAAAATTATTGTATAAATAATTTCACATATAATCGAACATTTCTCCTTATATAAATGGGTACAGTCCTTTATTGAATTCAAGATGATAAATGTGAAATCTATTCAAATTCATTTATTTATAAATAAGTACTCGCTTTTAGTTGGGCTTAGTTTTTTTTATCTTCTTTCATACAGACATGCTAATTAAATCAATCAGAAGAAAATAATCTATGAAATGTTCCAATTTATTTTAATTTAATTATGAACTTATAAATAGAGATAAATTTAAAAATCTCTGTTCTTTTGGTGATTTAGTTTTTATTATACTTTTGGAATAATATGATTTTCTATTTATCTATAATTAAAATGATCAAATAATTATAAGCTTTGGTTTTGAAATATACTACTCTTGAAAGATATAGACAGGACAGTTTCAATTTATCAACATATAAGATTATCAATTGATTTCAGAAATGCTGTGTAGATTATTGAATCTCCAACATTAAAGGCGTTATATAATATTATAAAGTCATTGAATATAGTTATCATAATCCGCATATTAATATTGTCCCGTTTTGCTACACATGTATTTTAATTTGTAATCCAACCTGTCTCTTTGGTTTTGAATGTCTTCACAATCTTATTGCAAGGAGAAGATCTAGTGTTCGAATTGAGTGTTTTACTCTTGTTAATCCTGGATCTGCTGAAATAAGTGCTTTAGGAGATATTAAATCAAAGATTACAGATTTCAATTTGTTGGCATTGACTGTCATTTCGTATTCAGTATTGAGAATGTCTCGCTGTTGTGCGTGTTCAAGATTGCTCAGACTCAACTTCATTTCTTGGATATTCAGATGAAGTCGATTTCTGGTTTCCTTAGTCGATTGAATAATATCCTCTATTTAAATGATGCGCTAATACTCTTATGATTCTGATGTGATCAGTGGCACTTTTGGCCATCAAAATGAAGGCAATTGAATCTTCGCATAGGGAATGAGGCAATCTGGCAGTGGTTGAATCCAAGGCTGAGTCCATCAAACTTGATTCGTGCATTCTAAAAGTGCTGGATCCTGAGTGTTTCATTTTCTTATGCATTTTGTTGAGATCAAATAAATTTATATAAAGATTATTAATTGGGTTTGTTTGGGGGAAGTGCTGAATTTGCAATTATTAAATTTATAATGAGATAAGATGATTATTTTAGAGTATTGGAGAAGGAGAAGAAAAAGGAGGACCTAAAGCGATAGGAATAGCAGAGACTGGAGGAGGAAGAGGCAAGGAGACAAAAAGAATAGGAGAAATTGATTAAAGACAAAGAGGAGATCGACAGTGATTCAAAGGACAAGGACAAATCAGCTAGAGATGACAAAAGCATCAAAATACAGATCGATGAGGAGAGGAATACCAAAGAAAAGGAATAAAGGAAGAAGATGCAAGATAAGAAAGCAGAGAAATATGATAAGCAATTGGAGACTTTGAGACCAGAACAATTGGTGGAGAATGAGATAGGCAAGCCTTATTATTTAGTGCCTGATGATACAAAATTAGAAATCAATGTAGCATATTCTATTCATTTTAGAAAGAACTAATAGAGAGGGAGGATAATAAGGTTAGAAGATGGAAGGTTTTTATCAACGAAATTAGATTAGAAAATCTACAAAAGGAATAATTATCAGTTTTCTTGAATTTCCGAATTGGTTAAATTGGGAAAACGGCTAATAAGTATGCAGATGTGTCAAGTGGTGAAGTTTTTTTTAAATCTGAAATTTGCAAGGATCTGAAAAGAAGTGAGGTCAAGGTTATTAAGGTTATGTTTGAAACAGAAATGCATCTATCATATTAGATGCTTAAAGAACGATATTTCGTAGTAGAAGTGTGGGAATATAGACGATTTCGATTGAATTTGTTTTTGGGTAAAATTCAAGTGTCCTTGCTCAACATTGCCTCTGGAAATATTAAGAAATAAGATGATATTAAGAAGGCATTTGGAGAAAGAAGATAGTTTGCTAGGATCTACTACAATGTCTTATTTTAGGAGGTGTGGGATTACAAATTGACATTCGAAGCCTGGAAAGGGTCAAACATCATAGCAGATCAAGGGAAAGAACATGACCCCAAAATACAATTGACTTTGATGACTGATGAACTAATTTAACCATAAGTTGAATCAGAACAAATAAAGAAGACCAAGAATCCAAATTTTAGAAATCTCAAAGGGTATATGCATTTTAGAGGAACCATGGAGGACTTGACTTAATAAATGATGAAAGTTACCCTATTGTTTGATGCCTACTTTAACAAAGCTGAAAAATTGGTTTCGTTAAGAGGAATACAAGATACCAATTACTTGAAGGTTTAATTTAGATTAAAACTTAAAATACCTCCACCAAGAGTGAAAATAGCCAAGCAACCAAAGAAGAAAAATAAACAAAAAAAGAAGTGGGATGGGAATGAAGAAGATGATGACGAGGATTTAGGAGACGATGAAGATGCCTTGAGAGATGAAGCATACATAGCAATTATTGAAGGAAGAGTAAATCTTAATAAGGTACCGCGATATTCTCAAAATGGAGAACTCAATACCTACATCCCAGAATAATATTATCTAGTAGTTACAATTAATAGACTAAACAGTGTATTGAGTCCAGATGATAGAGGAGTTATCAACACATATTTGACTGTGGCTTGGAGAGATCAGGCTAAAACAACCAGAATGATAAAGAATGATCCGAATCCATCTTATAATGAGGAATTATACTTTAGGATACCGATCCTTAGAAGAGAAAAGACTTTTGAAGATATAATTAATTAAAAAACAGACAAGGATCTACTTATAGATGCTTTGCGTGAGGAATTGAAGTCAAGACCAGATATTACTATACAATTATGGTTAGATGGATAAGATATATTGAGTGATGAATCTTTGGGGTATTGCAGAATTTTTCTATCTGAAATTCAAAAGGCAAGCAAATTCAAAAAGACTTTGTTGACTGATGATAATAAACGATATTAGTTTGATACTCGTGAAGCTACATTTACTAAGAAGTTTGAGAGTGGACTCTTTAACGTTAGTCATATTTAAATTACTTTTTAAGCTTTTTTTGCCCCTGATTTGCCTGAAGAATTAAATTTGGAGGAATTTTGTGAGGTTCCTGATGATATATATCCCTATCAAATTTCAGATCAACTCTCTGTGAAAAAGGATCATGAAGATAATGAGGAGTATCAGTCATGGGACAAATATGTAAGAGGTAATTTTTCATAGTTTGGTTTGGAAAAGACTGCTTATAACATATTTTTTAAGAATATCTTTGTTAGAGATCAATTTAATTATTATCATTTGGTTTGTAAGTATCTGGAGAAATTCTACATTAAGTTTTAAAGTGAAGAGGCCACTAATGAATTGTTTGCTAATCCCAAAGATATTAGAATGAAAAACTTACATGAAATGTGTCATTTTGTTAGAAATATACCATTTATTTAAGACTCCTTTTCAAGGAATGACGTTTGGAGATCACCCGATTTCTTGTTGAAAATCCGAAAAGGGTTTATCCATGATCATGCCATCTTAGGAGCTTGTTTGTTTATGGGATTTGAAAGAGAAGATAAGAAGAGAGAACATGAAAAGGATTTTCATAAATATATCCCATTTGAACACAGAGTTTTTGTTTGTTTGGGTACTCTTAAGCACAATTCTTAATTCCATGCTTGGCTTATGGTTTTTTCACATGATTTATCTGGCATTTCATTTTGGGATGTTTAGGAAGATTTCCATATGCATTTGGATGGAAGAGTGAGAAAAGATAAGAGAGCGGCATTAAGAAAGTTTTTGTATGCTGAAAAACCAGTGGCCAAGAAGGATGGTGGATTTGGATTGGGAGCTCTGGGTAATTTAGGGAAGGATAAAAAGAAACCGATATCGAAGAGGAAATTACTTATGGAATAGAAGAAAAAGGAATTAGAAAAAGCGTAATTGGAGTAGGCTTAGAAAAAATAGAAATAAAATGAAATGCTAATGTAGTAATAAAAAGAAGCTGAGGAGAAGAGGAGGAAAGCTAGAAATAATGCTACTTTCTAACCTGAAGATGATGGCAGAGGAGATCAGGATGAATAAGTCATCGAAACTATTTAGTTAGAAAAGTTGAATGGAAATATCAAACTGAAAAACCCAAGATAAATGGGGGAAGTGAAATAATCAAAGGAAAGAACGAGTGAACAAGAGGAGGAGGACGGCAAGAAGTCTACTGTCAAAGGAGCAGGATCAGTTGCACAAAAAAAGACATTTACAAACCCTCTGTTTGTTTATAGAGAGACTGCGAAATAAACTGCTATTGCTAAGAAGCAGGAGGCTGAGGATGAAATCTTAAGAGCCAATCCTATTGCCAAATTTTCAAAGATTGATCGTTTCTTTGATAAAAATGGAAAAGAGTATTTTAATTATCGTATATCATTAGAGTTGTTGATCCTGGACAATTGCCATATGAAACCATTGAGATTATTTTTAATAACAAAAATATGTAATTATTCATTATTGAGAATTAGATTTGGTAATATGGCTAATTAGAAACCCTAGGAAATCTTCTATCATCTACATGACAAAAGGTTATGGTATCCTTTCATTAAGGAGACTGTTCCAAATAAAGAAGAAAGTGAAGAAGAAGAGGATGATGAAGATGATGATACTAATATCTAAATTGATGAAGAAGAACTTTAAGATCAAATGAAATAAAAGGGGGAAGAATTCATATAAAAAACTTGGAATCAAAAAGTTGGAGCGTTTTATTCAGCTCAAATTCTCAAAGAACCAATTAAAAAGAATAGAATCAAAAGACTATTAGAAGATATATTCATGGAAGTAAAATAAGGAGTAGAAAAGGCCAGAGGCAAAAGTTCACTATTTACTAAATGGAAACATGATTTAGATGGCATTAATAAAAAAATGGAATAATATTTGAAAATATTAGAATATAAAACTACTTATAGAACAATAAAAGTAGTGCAATAGAAGCACGATGATGAAATGGTTGCTAAATGGAATCATATCTATAAAAGTAGAAGTTATGAGGAAATCATTGAATAATGGAAAAAAGAAGTCAAAGCAATGCTACCTTTAAATACACATCTATGTCTACTACCAATGAGGTTTAATTACACTGAAGTACATATCTTAATAATTTGTATAATAGTCTGAAAAAATTCGATCTGTTATTGTTGAAAATATGGATCCTTTTTTTATGAGAAGAGATAATAAAATCATCTTTAATCTAGCAGGAAAGATCTTTAACTATCCAAATAGAGTACATTATCATATTAATATAGATTGTATGTGTTCGACTGATTCTAGGATATTCATATTGTTAAAATTTAGATGATATTAAAAAGAAAGAGGAAAGCGAGGAGGACGAATAAAATCAAGAAGGTGAAATTGATATTCAAAAACCAATGCTCGATGACCTTGATGCAGATGAAGATGAAAACGCAGATTTATTAAAAAAGAAAAATGCGGATAATTAATAGTGAAATGTTAAATTGGTATATATCCTATTCATAAATATTATTTTAATTAACAAATTTCCTTTTTTAAAATCTCTTTTTGAAAACTAGTTAATTAATCTGAATGCTTTTGATAAAATTAAATCTTATATTCAAGCATAATGCAATATTCAGATTTATTATCCGAACTGTTTTACATAGTCACTTTTTCAGATTACTATTGTTTGGTTACAAAATTGTCAACATTTTGTTTATAGCTAAAGTAAAAGTCTTATTAATCTAGTTAAAATATGTATTTTTTCCAATTAAGAAATGATTTCAAGAGTAATTTTGAAGAGTGAAATGCATCAGCCATTAAATTCTTTTGTAGTTCTTTTTAATTGGTTAGAAATTTCTATTCTTTTTCATCAGTCATTTTTATTTTCTCTAAAAATTCTTATTTGCTTTATTTTTCATTTATTCGAAGAGATTTGAATGATTTACTTAATATTCTATGATTATAATAATTGGCTGCTTTTATCAATTTTCTACGCTTTGCTTATCTCTAGAGAACATTATCAATTAATAACTTCAACATTCTCATTTATTGTTTACATCGATATTAATTATTCACAAAGTTCTTAATCTCCTTCATTCTAACCTTTCTCACGTTCGCAAGTTGCCAATTAAACATATATGTTTTCATTAATCTATAGTTATTTCTCATCGAAATCACTTTTAATTATCTTTTCTATTACGCATTTACCATAAGAACTTGTAGAAAAAGGTGCTTGACTTTATTGTGTTTTTTCATTAAACTTTCGTCAATTTTCATTTAGTTTATTAGCGTTGAAATTTGTGTTAGTCTTTTCCATTACAAAAAAATTTATTTTAGTAGCATTATTGTAATTAATAAAATTAATAATTATTAAGTGCTTGATGAATTTATATAGAATCATCCAAATGATATTAGATAAATTTCAGCAAAAGGATTGACTTATAAGTGTACTTAATTTCAATTTTCATAAATCAAGTTTGTGATTTCATAATTCATAAAAGTGTATTAATATGCAAAGTAATAAAGAATAACATATATACTTTATAAATTCTATTAAATTTGGATTCAATCAAGTCTTAATATTCTCTTCACTTAAGTAAACAAAAGCTATTATTAAATCCCTAAATTAAAACAAGGTTCATAAATTGATTTTTTAGATAGTTTTGTGATCTATTCTGTATTATTTTATTTTTCATTCTCTGAATTAATTATTATTTTATAGTAATCTAAAAATCAATTTTTAACATAATTTAATAATATATGTAGATTATTGTTACTATATTGTTATAATGATACCATTTTAAATGGATAAAATAAAACCATTATGAAAAGTCTCAATAATTAGTAGACAAGGACATTTTTAAATTAAAAGCAAAAATAAATATATTTAATTTCAATCTTATCCAATTGACATTCTTTCTTAATTTAACTAATTTTACTGTGTATTCAGAAATTGATTCTTAAATTACTATAGAATGATTTGAATAATTACATCTAAATAACCAGGAGGGAATTTGATATTGACATTTAGGTCTGTGATGGTTTCGCCATTCTACTGAGCCTCAATGATCATCTTCTAATGAAAAGAATAGGATATGTCCTTACAGCAAACTTTTCTCTGTCGGTTTTGTTGCCTCCATCGTGTTTCAATTTGATGTGCAGATTCAATGAAACATCACTTCCATACTGTTTATTGCATTTTTCGTAAGGGCAAATAAAACTCTTCTCAATCTCTTAAGAAGTCCTCCTATTTTTCTTTTTATGACGATAACTTAAAGCAATATGCAATTCTTATTATAATTTCTTAATAATATCACTTAGATTTACATCAATATCTCCTAACAACTCAAGCAATTTTTAATTTTAAGAATGAAGTTCATTAACTTTTTTTATAGCCATCTCATTTAGAATGTAATATCTCCAAAATTCCTTATAATAATTAACATCGCTATTATACTCTAAATTTGAATTAGATTATGCATACCCTAATTCTAATCCTTATTCTAAAGTAACTATTCAGTCGATTAGTCATCCAATTATGATTTTATTTCATGTAACTATTTTAATTTTCGATTTAATTCATCATCTACAATATTCCAATCCCTTGACTTGTTCATTAACTGTAATATATATATTAATAATTAAATCAAAACTTAATAAATAAACAAGGATTGATTTCAATTCACTTTATCCTCAAAGCAAATGTCAAAGAGATTACCAAATAAGGGTAATTTGAGATCTATAATTCATATACGATGAATGGAATTCATAGCAAAGTGAAAATAATTACAGAGTTCCCAAAAATCATCTCATCAACCCTGCTTATAATCTTTCACATGTTTAATCTAAAATAAATTATAATTATTTACTGATTATCTAATAAATTAAGAGCACGCTTACTTATAAAGAAGATTAAATTCTATATGGCTATAAAATTAATATCAAACGTTTTCTTTATGATGCTCGATCTGATTCTTCATTTTGATGAAATACATTAAATTGTAAAAATGGAACACCTTGAATAAATATGAAAACCTCATTTAGAAATTAATAAATTTTTATAATTAATATTAATTTATACGCATTTACGATTTATTGACTTTTTTAATAGAATTTCTAACACCTGGATATGGACATTGAGGAAGAAGAGTTAATTGAGGTTTTTCTAAAAAGATTAGTTTTTTTTGGATAAGAGCTATTAAGAATTTCAATAATAAAAAATGTATAGGGAAAACTATTATTTATTATTGATTTCATCGAATAATGAGAATTAAAATCTATTTGTTTATATATTATTTTAATTATCCTTAAAAGATTAGCAAGATACTTACCATTCCTTAGAATTTTTGTTTAAGAGAACTAATGGAGGGTAAAAATGATTAAGGAATATGAAATGATAGTTTAGATAAAATGAGAAAAAAATATAAATATTCATATTAGTTATTTCAATCATAAAAGCTTTTATCTTAAGCTGTGTTTAATTAAATAATTAACATTTCTAACATTTAACAATGCTATTAATTATTATTATGAATGTGTTATTTCATTTTAAGATTTCAGAATTCTGAACTTGCAAAGATCAAATTTTTAGGTTATATTTTTTAATTATTTAACAAAATTGTTAACAATTGGTCAAAATTAATATCAATAATAATATATTTTGGACATCATGCTTTTTTTTCAGGAGAAACAGGTTATGATTTTCTTTGTGAATGATTCTTTTAAGTCTATTGATGTTAAATATTCTTAAGTTCTATGTCATAATGATATCCTTCAAATAAGGCTAATTAATTTAGTAATTGAATATACATTGAACGGTATCTCTTCGTAAGAGTGTTTAATTTTCTACCAATTATTCATCATTTAATTGTGTTTCTTCTGAAATCTGATTTTGGAAATCAAAGTTATCATCAACAGCCTTTATTTAAAAAGAATTAATACTCCAGGTACATAAAGTGCCTAACCTTTCTTCTTTAATAAATCATCCCAGGGGTAACCTTTTAACCAAGGGTGATGTAAGATTTCTTCAATTCCATTGCTACCCAACCTTCTCTCTGGTTTTCTTAGAATTAACTAAAGTATTCTTATAAATGAGTACCTAATTCACAAAATCAAGGGAATTCTCACTCCATCCAAGAGGTAATTCCTCCTTTTTGACTTGAACTTGTTTAGCTAATATTTGTTCTCTTATATCCTGTCGAGTTCTTCCGTTGTATGGCCTTCTTCCAAGCATTAATTCATATGTAATGACACCTAAAGCATAATAGTCGGCCACAACAGAGTGATCCATTCTACACATAACTTCTGGAGCCATGTATCCAGGTGTTCCTGAAGTGTCTCCAGCATTATTTCCCTTATTCATTCTGGCTATTCCCAAATCTGTCAATCTCATGTAGCCATCTTCATCCAATACCAAATTTTCGGGTTTGAGATCTCTGTGAATAATTCCATTTTAATGTAGATATGTTAAAGCCAATAAAATACAAGCAACGAAAAATTCTTAAGTTATTATTATTTGTATATACTTGTTTATGCTTCACTAAATCTTCTCATTTTACCTAGATGAAATCTGAGATCTCCACCAGTTAATAGATCTATGATTAAAAATAGGTTTTCTCTGTCTTAGAATGCATACCACATGTTAACTAAAAAGGGATGATGCAAGTGTTCTAAAAGGTATTTTTCATTCAACACTGAATTAACACTTCTTTTTTAGATGACTTTGGCTTTGGACATTTCTTTTAAGGCGAATAGTTTTTTGTTTTTTTTCATCTCTACTCTCCAAACTCTTCCAAAGCCTCCTTTTCCAATTACATAGAGAAATTTAAAATGCAATCTACCAACTTATTCATCTATTTTCAAACCGAGAACTTGAGTTTTTTCTAAGATTTCTCCTGTAGATTTTCTTCTGATTTCACTAGATTTCGAATCATTTTAATTGATTTTACTTTTCGAGATTGAATCATTTGGAGTGATTTTGCTCTTTGTAGAATTTTCATGATTATTGGGAGAATTCGGAGCTGATTCAACTAATCCTGAATTTATAATCTATATAATTATGAAATTAAGATACAGCTGAAAATTTGGGTCCTTGTTGATTGAGTTTCAACTTGAAGGAGGTTTGAGTATTGCTAAGGACATGACTTTTTGATTCAATTCTTTTTGGAATGACTTTGGACTTAACATTATAACTGTTCTCATACAACTATGAATTACTGAGATTTCCCTTTTGATAATAGTTATTTAAAAAATTTTCCATGTTATGATAAAATTATGGCTTTTTGCTTTGTTCTTTGGGAGCTTGTCTCGACTAAGGACGAGACTCTTATAATTGTTGCAGATGACTTTGCAATTGCTTTTACAAGAACATTTATTGCATTTGATACTGTTTCTCACGGTTAGGAGATTGATGAGCAGAAACTGAACTTGTTACCTTAATTTCCCTTCTACTATCTTGATCACAAGCTTGGTTTTTGGTTGCTACCTTAACTTTTAAAAGAGGAGAAGCATTAATCACAACTCTTTTCTTCATGCATATCGTGCAATTCTTCTGATTGCAGGAGCATTGGGATATATCAACTTTTTTATCCCAATTCCCAGATTATTTTCTATTTGGCTGTATTTTGCTGACAGGTTCCCCTTTAAATTTGATTTTGCTATTGAGTTGTTGCTTAATCAACAAATCCCTCAAGTTTTTTGCTGTCGATTGACTCATTTCGTTAATTATTTTATTAAAAGATAATATAAATAATAGTAAATAAAAACACACATATACACACAAACATGAATACTCAACCATTCCCTGTTCTATCCAAACCCATGCTCACCCAATTAATATCCTCTGTAATCTATTTATATATTATCAATAATTATATTGATTAATAATTAATAAAAACAAACAATTCTCCATATTCTTAAAAAAAAGAACGTTTAATTAACAACCTATGATATTGAACTAGTTAGATCAAGCACTTTTCTCCGATTCTAGTTGATGATTAAATTGAGTTTTGGAATAATATCAAATTAATCCTTGGCATTAAATAAATACTCCTCTATTATGTCTAATTAACTGCAGATAGAGAAGAGAAATAGAAGATTATAAGACAATTGTTATTAATAAAGTTATAGCTTCAATGTCACTCTAAATTACTTCATATTAATATTTTATGATAGATAGATAAATCATTGCTGTTGTTTTAGCTTTTATTTAACTAAGCATTCTTTCAGCACAAATTCGAATTCATTGAATGAAACTGATCCATCTTTATTGTGATCAAAAAAGCTAAAAATGGATTTGCATTCTTCATCAGTCACAGAAGAATCTATACGTTTTAACAACTTGCCCAATTCTAATACGTCAAGCTCATGATTTGCTGATTTATCGTACTTGAATCAACAAGATACAATTACCTTATTAAATAAATCCAACAGATTGATGTTATATTTAACAATTGAAGTTTTCAATTTATCAATAACAATTCTAGCTCTGTCATCAAGTGATCCAGCTTGGATATCTTACTAGGGTTTCATAAGGATGCTGACCTTCTTTTTTGTTCTACTAACTTCTGAGGCAGTCATTCTACACTATAATGTATTATTGATTGATATTTACATCGTTTTCTTCTAACCATTTTTTAAATTCATTAAACTCAATTAAATTATTGCCATCATCATCAAACTTATTAAATATATATTCAATTTCTTCTCTTGTCAAATTTTTATCAACTCTTGTTAAGAATTTTCCTAGTTCATTGACATTTAATGCTTTGTCTTTGGTCATGTCCAATTCAGCAAATAATTCCCCAATATCCAATTATTCTTTGATAATCATTTGTCTGATATCATTAATGAGATAAGTGGCTTTATCTTCAAGAATACTCACATTTTTTATAAAGTCTGTGAAATGTCCTTTGAAGAGTGGGTGTCTATAGATGTCATCCCATGACAATCTATCTTTTTCCTCTGTTTATAAACATCCAATTAAGAATTCTTGAGCCTCCTTTGAAATTTGTGGTCCTTTGAATTGGAGTGGTTGATTCCTTATATTTTTAAGTAAATCTTATGGCGACCTTGCAGTCCAGGGAGCTAAACGTTGAGATTAGTATTGAAATACTTTTGCCAAACAATGCTTCGTAAAAAATAAATGCTATGCTCCATATATCAGTCTTGGAAGTGTATTTCTTGTTATCCAAAATTTAAGGAGACATATAGAGGGGTGTTCCTACTAATGATGCCAACATATCCTTTTTGAAATTGTCAACACATTTTGCAAATCCAAAATCTGCCAATTTGAATGTCTAAATGATTTTAATAAGAATACTCCTTTATCTATTAGGATGTTGGCAGGTTTGAGATCTCTGTGAATGATTCCATTTTTAATTAGCTAGATAAATCCATTTAAAATATCAATCATAAATTTGACAGCATCCTTTTCAGGCATAGTTTTTTTTTGTGACACATAACTAGTTTATGGTGTATTGATACTTTTCTATCATTTTATCCAAATCTCCACTATCACAATATTCTTGAATTATATAATAATTGTTATTGGTTTCCATTACATCCATGAGTTGTACGATGTTTGGACTCTTCAATTTCTGCATGACCTTGATTTCTGAAATCAAGCCTTCCCTTAAATAATCGTCGCTGAATATTTGTCAAATATTAATACGCGTTGATGACTGATTTGTTCAATACTTTAATGGCCACCTTGACTCCTGTCTTCTCCTCTCGTCCTCTGTACACTTGAGCATACGAACCTTCTCCGATAAGATCTTTAGGATTGAAGAGATATTTGTCGATTCTTTTCTCCCCCATTAAATAAATTTAAATTCAATCATCTTCATCATAATCATCATCCGATTATTATCTTCGAACTCTTTTCGATTTTCGTCCCCCTGCTTTCTTCTCCACCTTCTCAAACTCATCATTCCCCTTACGCTTCTTGCACAACTCATCACTCTGCTCGTCCTGCTGAAAACCCTTCTTCTTCTTTTTGCTCTCCTCCAAATCAGGCAATTTTTAAGCGTAATCCTTCATAAAATCGTATTGAGACTCCTATAAAACTATCTTCCTTCAATTTAATATCTTTTTTACAATAAACCAGGAGTAGCCTTGTTAAGTTTCCTGTCCTTCAAAGTTTCCTTGCATTTTGAGAGGATGTCTGATAAAAACAATTCAAGTGATTTTGCTTTCGATAACACTCAAAGTAATACTTAGAACATAAGGAACTACATTGTTGATTTTGCCCACATCTTAATTTTCTTGCACAATCTTTTTCACTTTAGAAACTGGGAATTTGAGTTGATTCTTTTTTAATTATTGATCTTGTTGTGTGTCCATTTATATATATATATATAATAATTTTTATAAAATATTATCCATAAAATGATTATTAATATATATATTTTAAATGACAGATTTTTTTTACATCCAAGTCCCAGCTGATGTCAAAGTCTTGTTGTTAACTGGAACTGCTCTGAATAGGAATCAATTAGATCAAGTGTATAAATGCACCAACCTACTTAAATTGGATTTGTCTAATTGCAATCTAACACTCATTCCAAATCTCAAAAAATTAACGAATTTGAGGATTCTCTACCTACATCAGAATCAGATCTCTGCCCTTTCAGTGGAACCAATCTTAGGGTGCAACCATTTAAATTATCTCACTCTATTCTTAAATCCAGTTTCAGCTCAATGTTCTCTCAGAAGACAAGTGATATCCTACATGAAATCCCTTTGGGCATTCGACTTCAATGCAATAACCGATGAAGAGAAACACAAAGAATTGAAATTAAAGCCATCCACAGAAAAGAGTCGACTTCCATGGCCCATCATAAGCATCCCAAAGGAATAAAAGGATCAATCCCAAATAGTCATGTTGGTTTGGCAAGAATTGGATGTGATCAGGAAGATTTGGCAAAAGTGTTCTGTCATTCTGACCATCCAACGTTACATCAAAAGTTTCATAACCAGAAGGAAATTCAAGAACATCGTTTTGAAATAGATGAAAATACAGTAAATAATGATTCATATTTAGAGCATTTATAAAGCAAGCAGTTAAACATTGGATAACATTCACCAAAAACAAAAAAGACCTTAATCAACTAATGGCACATCAATACAGCACCCAATTCGAAAAAGTCAAAGTGATGGTTCAAAATTACAGGCAAAGAAAAGGCAAGGCGATTAAAGAATAAAAGAGTGCCAGGATCATTTACAGATCCTTGAACACCTTCTATAAAAATCAAAAACATCAGCTAGAATCTATCGGAAATATCCATAGACTCTACTTCTATAAGGAATAGTTACACCTATTCAAATAAATATTGCACAGACTCACCAATAAACCTGAAATCAAAGCCATTATTGACTAGGCTCCTCTTTTGTATGAGGACTTCTAAAAACCTAATAAGATCTATGAATCCGAAGTCTTCACCTATAGACTACCTAGCCAAATCAACTTATATAACAATCCTATTTACTTCAGGAATATGCTCACCTACCCTGCTTAACTGGCTAAAATAAGTTGTTGTTTATAATAGTTGAAATTGAGCATAATAAGGAAATGGGCGTAGGTGACTAAATTTACCTAAGAAGTTCATGCTTATTCCTATTTGTAGAAGTATGATGAGTTGATGCCTGCTCGAAAACCCTATTTTATTATGTACAAATTACCAAAATAAGATAAGATCAAGTATGAGAACTGCTTAAAATTAATCAACAAATTCCAATAGAGAGAATATAGATAATTATATGTCATAAACTTAAGTAAAGATCTACTCTCCTCTGTAATTAAGTGTATAATTTTGCATAATAAGGATTAACCATCTCAAGTGTTTATAACACTATTTGAGAAACAGTTAAAAGAGGCAGTGGCTGCTTTGAAGATATAAAGATAATTCAGAGCATATTAGGATGTGAAGAAGAATGGCAAAACATTGCAAGCCATAATCAACATTTTGGTTAAAGAGAGATCTCTTTTGATATTACAAAAATGGTTTAAGGATTTGAAAATGCATCATAGAAATAATTTCTATAAGGTCATAGGCTATAGACTTAAATAAATCACACAAAACGTATTATATCTAAATTACTCCGTTTATGTACAACTAAGAAAATGTTCTTCAAAGTTGCAATTTCTAGAATAAAAATCAAAATTGATTCTGTCAAATTATAAATTCCAAGCAATTCTCTAATAATTTCCTAAGAAGAATATTATTCCTATTTGGTTAAGGAGATAGATTATTCAATTAGAAGAAGATAGCTAAGAAGTTTTTGCTCTTATTGAGAATTGCGATGTCTATCACCTATTGCATTTTGAGACTCAAAGTGAAATCAAGAATTTATTCAATCAAAAATGGATGAAAATTACATTCCCTCTAAATGAATAATTAAAATTGAGACTATTATTATTGGCTCTATATACATATTCTTTTAAACACTAATGTTTTGTTTAATTGTACTAAGAAAATGAATTGCTAGAATAAACTCAAATAATTAGGCAAAACGATGAATTGTTAATTAAAACCTATCTAATTGAATAGTAAACTCAGGCAGTTGAAAATTGTGATATCCCTTGCAAACCATCAATTTGGCTATCAACATATTTATCTGATAAAACAACCAATGAAGTTGACGTGAGATTTTATAAAAATGGCATTGATCAAAAGGCAAAGAAGAAAAAAAACATTTCCAAATTACCAGGATGTGAATAAATCTCAACCTGTCTTTTTTTCAGTACCATAAAAAAGCAATATAATTAATATTCTCATACTCAAATCAAACAAAACTGTCCTACTGCCTCTACTAATATTAGGACTATTACTTAAACTGATAAACCTAAAACTGCACTTCAAACTTATCTATTTCAATAGGATAGTTTTGAATAGGAATCCAGCAATGTTGAGAGATAACAATAAAGATTGAAATTAGTTACCAATCCCACTCGATAGCATCTCAGAACTAAGTCTGTTATGAACAAAAAATAAACAATGTTGGTTGAATTGCCAACTTTCCTGCAATCTTAAAGCTTTAATTTAAGCAATAGCGGTATAAGGTAAAATAATTAACCTGATCTATCGAAATAAATGTAATATTGGGAGGATAGACAAAATCAATAAAGATAACTAATTAAAAAGCAAACATTAGAAAAAAGATAAGCAAAACTACAGATTCAACAAGAAAGATCCTTTTATCAGGATTTCAATATTGGCTAAAATCTTATTAGCAGATAAGGCGATAGACATTTACTTCGTTTATATTAGAAGAAACAATAACAAATATCCTATTAGCAGGTGCAGTAACTTAAGGAACAGTCCAATCACATCAAAGAGATTTAAGCAGTAAACAGCAAAATGAAGTTGTAAGCTATTAAAGAAGCTAATTCTTAATATAAGGCTTCACTTGAATAATAACCAGAACAACAATAGCAGAAAATTATCTAAAAGCAATCAACAAAAAGAGTAGGAATTACCAATAAGTACATCCATTCTGTTTTACCTGAGGAGATATATCCAATAAAAATTGAATTTGAAAATATATGATATAATTTAATTCATAAACGCATGGGTTTTTAATGTTGTTAAATGGAACATAGAGCTAAAAATAGAAACAAAATATATTGTCAAATAGTTGTATTTCAACAATATTTGACATCATTAATATCATGAATAAGTTAACGTTTTTTAATCCTGATTCTTATACCAATTTGAGGGCAATTTTGTTACTTACAGTAATTAAGGACCCTAGCCTTTATTGTCTAATTAATATAGCATAAGATTGTTTAAGGGTATATGATGGAGTATTTTCATTTGGAGATTGTTCTTAAGTTGAAATTAAAGAATGGAAATCTATTAGGTTTGCATTCCAATTTGGACATCTTGCTTTTTAAAGAGAAAAAATTAATTAAAGCTATATTAATGAATTGGTAAAATAATTTAAAGAATCAACTTTGAATTGAGAAAATTGGATATTCAACAGAAGTATGTCATAAAAAATTATATATAAAGGTAATCATATCAGGTTTTATACTTTCCTTTGTTAAAAGTTTATGGTTGAATATACTTATTTAAGGTAGATAATTTATATTTCAAATGATAAACAACCATTACTTTGATTGAATCTTAACTCAAATTGGCAAATCATGAATTATTTTTAGAGTATAATAAACATTAGATAAGAAAGATAGTGTAAATGAAAAACAAGGATGACACTTCAGGTTTGAATAAATGCTTCTATAGCAAAATAATAATAAATACTATATTGTAGCAAAATGAAAGCCAAATAATAAATATTGTTTTATTTTTTTATTAACAAAATTTAGTATCCATAAGGTTAACAAGTTGGTAAACCACTTTTAATATATTAGGGTTATAAAAATGTTCAATGAAATACACTTGAACAATATCTCTATGAATTTTCTGATTTGATTTTTTTTAATACTTTTTTGTGTAGTAAAAATAAATTGTTATAAGATTGGTATAAGGGGAGATGATTTATAAAATAGAGATCTCTCCCCAAAAATAGAGTCATTTTATCGGTAGAGAAGTAACCTCTCTCTCTTTGGTTTCAAACTTCAAAAGGGAAAAATGATTTTGTTAATTTTCTGATATATATGTAGACAAATTTTAGAAGTAAAAGAATTGTTTCCAAATACACTAATCATGACTCGAATATCACAAGTTTAACCAAAATCATGAGGTTTTCAATAAGAAAAAATTACATGAATATTTAGAATAATAGTTTGCAATTGCATATTTTGAGATGCAAATTTAAAGAAGCAAATCAGTTTCGTTTTCATCATAAAGAGATCGACTACAATTTGGAAATATAAGGATAATTGAGTTTAGATAATTTGTTCTTTTGTCTCGATTGAAAAAAACTTAAGTGTTATATCTAGTTGGATTAAGGAGTTTTTGGTTGTAAATTAGGTTGAAAGGGGTGGATTTCGAGATGAAAAATATTGAAAGTCATGGAGGAACAAATAAATGAGTATTTTTGGGGTTCAGGTGTTGAAGAGTGTTTAAAAAATCATCTTATTTTTCAACAATTTCAATTAAGTTGATTAATAATTATAATAATGAGAGTCTCTGTATAGTGTGTGTGATGTTTGAGAGTATCAGAATGAGTTGAAAGAGGGTTGAGGAGGAGGTATTTGGAATGTGGGGGAGATTGATAAGGTCTGGGCATACTTATGGTGAATATCTGATGAGAGGAAAAGAGGAAGGGGAAATTCATTTTTGAAGGGGTTTGGAGGGTTTTTAGTTTGATTTGTAATGTTTTTGGTTTTCCTTGGGATAGTATCTTCCTATATATTCAAGTTTCTTTAATTATTAATCGATTGGGCACCCAAGAAATGAAATCAAGACCAAGACAGATCGATCCAACAAAACCAGTACTGATCTCTCACAGTCTAGAAGCATTCACTAATGCAGAAGGGCAAGAAGCAGATATAAAAAACACGGAATAAATCATCACACCTGATCAACTCTTAAAAGAAAAGTAAATTGCACATATTCACTCAATTACTTATAAGGAGCAAGTAGAACATTTCATACCACTTGATTGTGGTTTTTAACAACTTGCTCCTCAATACCCGCCATATTTATTTTTATATTATACTCATTATTATTTAGACCTAAATAATTTGATGAGCCCACATTAAAATCACAGCTCCCTGCCAAATGTCGTGAAGATTACATCGCTTACAAGGCTCCTGTCTACCCTGATGGCACAGCTTACGAACTAACCGAAGAGGACATTCATTTCCTTTCCACAATCAATGAAAAATTAGTCAACCCTGTTCACATTGAAGACTTTGAACTATATTTATCACTTCTTGACGCAAAGAGTGGCAAAGACGTAGAAATTGACTTCACAGAATTTCTCAAGTTAAAGCTACCCTTACCCAAGACCATTAATATGCAAACATAATCTACTTAGGAATAATTATACGCCTACTTTAAAAAATAGAGATAGCACTTCTCTCGCCCTCTCACCAGACATCTTATGCATCCCTATTATGAAGACAATAATCCTCATCTAGCCTTTCGTCCTCGTACACAACCAATGGATAGAACTATGAAGTTGAGACGGGGCAATCTTCAAAACTCAAGAGGAATTATAGAAATGGAGAATTTAGGATAGAAGATTGTTCTGTTGAAAAAAGATCTATTGATGGTTTCCAATTTGATTGATCAAAGTATATAGAGAGAAAAGGCTATGGAAATAGATAGGAGATTTAATTTTTGTAAATTCATCAAGGAGTTCTTGGATCAATCTAAAAGGGAAAAAGATGGCAATTCAGAAATCAAACAATGGCCCAAAGATTGTTTTGTGAGAGATTGTCCTGAAAAGTGCAACATTAATATAGTCGAAAAGGCTGAAGAGATGTTTGATCACATTACAAAAGAAATTTTGAGTTGGAAGGAACATAACGAAATCTAAAAAAGAGAAAAATATAAGAAGGAAGATTAAATTGCTAAATATGAAAAACAAATTGAAGATTTGATTATAGAAAAACAAAAATATGAAGAAAAACCCATTGTATAACCCCCTCCAATCCCCTAACCTCCTATTGTACTTCCACCTCCTCCTGTGATCCCTCAAGAACCTCCAGATGAAAAAATGGAAAGTGTTGCTAGGTTCTTAGCCACCCTATATTTAGAAGCCAGGAAATATTAATTAACTTTTGATTAGGTTCTATCAGATTCATTTCCAATCTATAAAATATAGCATCCGTAACAACCACTCAACTCTAAAAGTGTCTTCCCCTTTTCATTGATGTAAATCGAAGGAAATGACTTAGTCTATAAAGTTAGGAAGGATAGTTGTTTAGAGAAAAAGGATAAGGCCTATTGGGAAAGTTACACAGATCCATCATTATCCAACACTTTATATTATTAGAATGACTATTTTAAGGAAAAGGTTGATGAGATCATGGAAATGGCAGATATGGATTAAATGGTCTACGCTTAGAATTAGGATGATGATAAATAAGACGAGGATGATAAATTATTTAAAAAGAAAGTAAAAGGAAGTACCACCAGACTAACGGGATCTAATGGAGGATAAATTAAATGATTAATAACTAATTTAGTATTTAAAATGTTAAATATATAATATTCAAGTGATTATATTGTTTGTCTGATCATTCCAACAGCTTAATTTCATAGTTGATTATCTAATAAACAGTTCTTATTATTATTATTATGTTTATATTTATAATCCTCCTTATTATTAATTCTATTATTTAATATTTGAATTTCTTTATATAATTCTTATAATACTCTTAACCTTTAGCTAAATCTCTATTTTTTAATTGGTTCAATAAATAAATTATGCCGAAAGATTATTAATATTTTAATAATAAATAGTTGAATTTTTGAATTTTCATTCATTCTATTTTATTAATAACTCATCCACTTATTATTTTATCAAAATCTTTACTAATTTACAATGCCTTAATCTTTAATATGTATTGATCATAATTCAATCTCTCTAGTTGATAGTATTTTTTATAATTCTTTAGCATTAAAATATGACTTCAAATTAAAGTTACACTTATTAAATTAGAGTGATCATCTTCTCACCATATAATTCAAATATCTTTTGAAGCATCTCCACAAAAATAATTGTAATTACTTTATTCTATCCAATGTTCTGCTCAAAACTCTTCATGATCATTTTTGCCTATTGATTTTATTATATTTATCATTCCCCATTACTTTTAATTATCTCGCAGTGACTTAAGTTGATTGATACTAGTTTTTACAACCATTATCTATTATTTGCTTAATCTGTAAGCTTCACTTTTCTTGTTCTCCATTTAGGTATTCTTAGGTATTTATTAACACTAATACATTTTCCCCAAACTCGAAAGTTAAACTCGTAACTTTCCCTAGAAACAGCGATATTTATTTAATTATTTATATTGTATGTTTATGAATGTACATTGTAATAAAATCAATAGAAGAAGCCAAGGATTTTACCTCCGATATGTCTTTATCTAGCCTCTTCATGAGTAAGAATACCAACATTAGTGGTTAACACAACGCATCCAAATTGTCTGGCTGGTAATATGTTATTTGCCCATCTCTCAAACTCGCCTAAGGTCACATCATAACGAGGTGAGATGACTCCACATTTATTGATGCGTCCTTAAATAAATGTAATGTTGTACCCAATAATTCGACTACAATTTTTCCACTTCTGTGATCATCAACAATTTCAAACTCACCTATATATCCATGTCTCTACATCACTTGCAAAAATTTCACAACTAATTTTGATGTTGGTCTAATTAACACTTATTTTCTTCCTTGTCTTTTCAAATTAAATAATTTATAATACCTTTCAGCATTTACAATTGAACGAAGACAATCATTGAGAACATTCATCTTAACCATTTTAAATTAAAGATTTAAAATATATTAATATTTTTATATATTAATTCCTTCTTTCTCTCTCACCTGCATTTCCTACTTCCTATACATATCAATCATTTATCTACAATAACCATATAGAAATTTTTGAATCCTTTCTTTAGAAAAAATCCTGGATCAATTTGTGCACTTTATGAAATTGAACATAAATTTATAATCTAAATCTCTGTTCATCTTAGGAAATTATTTACAATACTCTAATTTTATTAAGTCTAATTGAAAATCTTATTCTATTTGCCATGCAATTATGTGAATAAAAAAACAAGAAAATTCTATATGTTATAATACCTTTCAATTCAATTTAAAAGGACTATCATAACGAAATGTGATGTTAAAGTTTTGGATGTCTTTTAATTAAATTGTTCATCCTTTTGATTTAGACCTATAATTAAGTCTTTCGAAAAATGAATGTATAAATTATTTGAGAGGATGAGTCAATTATGTAATTCACAAAGAAAAGAAGAAAACAACAAATTTTATTTATGGAGATTCATTTTTTTATAGTATATCATTATTGAGTAGAAATTAGGAGTTAACAGAATTAAAACTTTTTATCAATATATAATTGATTCTAAATTTAGAACTTTCATTATTTTAATTCTGAAATATGTAAGTTGTAATCCAGCAAAACGAAACAAAATGCCAAGTTCTTCACGATTACTTGATGCAAACATATTCACCAGCATTAGTCAATCATCTTACTTAGACTGAGTTATATTTGCAATAGGAATTATAAGATTTCCAAAAGTAAACAATTTATCTAACAATAGAGTAGAAGAGGAAAGTGATGGGATGGAAGAATTACTCTTGGAGCATAAGACAACTATATAAAAGATTGTTAAATAGTTGAACGAAAAGATATAATCAGAATAGGTATTAGAAAGTTCTATAAATAGGACAAAATGAAAAAAGCAGAAACTTATAAAAAAGGAAAGAAGGATGAGTTATCTGCCTTCTAAAAAGCTATTGACTCAGTTTCGACTGCTATGAAAGAAACTTGTTCGAAAGTATTGAAATATCTATAACGGTAGATTGACATTAAAGAGTTAAATAAGATTGGTCAGCTACCTTAAGGGATGGATCAATTCATGGCACAACTCTTTTCTATTGTTTACAATGAGGATCAAGGTAAATTTAATTGGATTGAATTCAAGAAAAAAGTGTAAGAATTAATTATTAATTAATAGTTTTGATTAGGATAAAGGAGGTGATTTTTAAAGCAGATTAGCCAATTTTTAATTTAAAGGGGTAAGTTAAGAAAAAGAAAACCTCTTACTGCAAATGAAAGCTGATCCTTAATTCCAAAAGGTTTTCTCTGATCCAAAATTTACAAGAGCATTTCTAGATATTGCAGATTGGGTTTTAAAGTATTTGTTATATTAGATTTCCTTTGCTGTTTCAGGTGTGGATACTTAAAGAAGAAGGGATCTTGTATACACTGAATTCGATAGAATCGACAAAGAGTTTAGTGCAAGGAAATTAGAACTTGAAAGTTATTATAAAACCTTTGTAATTTAATTAATAGATTTAGGAATTTTGGAATTCATAATTAAATTATTCAGAAAATTAATTGATATTTCTCAATAAATTCAAACCAAATATCAAATAGATTCAATCAGATATTACAAAAAGCAAATAGAACTTAGACGTCCATGCTGATAAGTATCTTACATAAGTAAGAAAAATGAATGAATTATTTTAAAAAATCATTTGAAAATTAAATATTCATATAAAAATCAATTTGAAATTCAGATATTCCATATCATTTTTTATTTAAATTTTTGGGTAACTCTGTTTAGGACAGCATTTTAATTCTATTTTTGGAAAATTATTGTTTTCTATTAGATGACTTGGATTATGTTCTGAGACTCTATAAGATTAAAATTATTTAAAATACTATAGGATTTTATGTCATGAAGTGCTGCCCTTTAGGAATCTCTGCAATAGAAGAATCCTTGCTTCTCTGATTATATTTGAAAGGAGTATCACTTTCATATATTCTTTCTGACATTAACATAGGAATCTGTACTTTCTACTGGATGTCATTTTTAATAGCAGGAAGATCTTTGCGATTTTCAGAAATTAATTGATCAATTTATTTGAATTCTGATTGAGCATTTTAATTCTTATCAGTGTTGAATTGACAGCTCTTTTATCTTAATGATCTATTATTTTTTTCATTATCGGATCTGTAATACTACGATGTACTTAATCTTCTAAGCCGACTCTAATACTTAAAATTAATTTTTACTTGACGTTATTCAATTTACTCTTTTTCTTACAACCTTCGTAAAATAGCGACTTATTGATGATCATAGGATTTCTTCGCTGACTTAATGAAGGCAGCCTCTTCCTATTCGTCATCATTGTCATCCTTTATCTCAACAACCTTATTATAGCATATGTCCTCCAAAGATAAAAGATTCTTGCATTGTTTAATCTTCTATTGAGCATTCAACTAATTAGAGTTTATCTTTTGAATAAGTTCTTCCCTTAATACACAATAATTCATGTATTGTATCATATTGGGAAAACTCAAGGGGATGAAATTCAATTCTTCTAGTTTTCCTTTTTTTTCTGAGGACTCTCTTACCTTTCTCATGAGTTCGGCAAACACTATTGATTTAACAGGTAAAGCTTACTTTACAATGCTTCCTGGTTCTGCAAGGCTTATTTGAAATCATTCCAATTGAGTTTGTCTGAGATTAAATGATGAGTTTACCATCTTCGTCTTAATCGATTCTTTTAAAAAACTCCTTCAGTTTGGCTTTAGTGATGTTGATGCCGTATCGTTTGAACATATCATAGAGTTCCGACCTATCTAAGAATTCTAAAGATAAGGTGAAAAAATAAAATGTAACTTGATTTGTCTCTATCAATGGATTTGAAAACAGCCTTCATCATGATTTGTTCCTTGAGTTCTTTGTCATTTAAGATATATTTTTCCCTAACCTAATTCTTAAATCGGTTTTTCAACCAATTCATTGTTTCAAAATTTTTGAGCTTTTTAGAAACCTTCTTATCCATACTAAATTAATTATTAATTAGAGTTAAAAAATCAAACAAATTAAATTAATCAAGCCTGTAATTCTTAAGCATTTGATTCCTCATTCATTTAAAATGAAATGATTTTTTACTGTATATAGTATCTTCTCAAGAAATACAAAGTGACGACAAACACGATGAAAACTAAAGATAATACCGCATACAAGTAAATAGGATGATCTTCACTACTATCTTTAGGTTTAATTTCAGGGAGTAATTCTTATGGTTCATTAGTTGGTTCTTCTCCCTTTGAATTAATAGTTTTTGAAGGTATTTTATTGTTACTAGAAGCATTGTAAAATTTTTCTAAAGCATTCAATACAGATGCAGCTTCTATAAAAGATAGCTTATTGAAATATTCTTAGACTGTTATATTTTAACTTTTTGCATTTTCAAAAAAATGTGCCACAATCATTTCTTCCTCACTCACATTAGCATGTTACCAAGAGAAAGGAGTAATATATTTAGAAGTATTTTTGTTCTTCTGATTGTTATCAAGGATGTAGGTTTGATTGTATAATTGTTTAATCAAATTGGTTTGGTTATATTTAGCAGGATCTGATTCTATCATTTCATTGATATTCATTAAGACATACTATAAGATTATACTTTTGTTATCCTATAAATTGATAGAATTGATTATACATCTGTTTGGTTTTTCCATTCATCCAGATAATTTTGAGTTGCTTGCCAACCTTCTTAATCTTATGGAATAATGCTTTAAAATTGAGAACTATTGACAATGTTTAGGATAGATTTATTTTGCTTTTGTTCTGAGGTCTAATTAATAAACTTTTCAGCGTTAACCCACAATTCTAAGGCGAAATTGGCATTTTCTTGTGCTTTTTGAGCTGTCAAATTCAAAGATTTTTCAAGGGCCATGAATCGAGTGAGGTAATAGAGTTATTGCAATTTAAATGGATCATTGAACATGGAAAAATTAAACTAGGGAGTTTATTGATGAGCTAAAGAGATGAATGTTAGAAATAGAAGTTGAAGCATATACTTATTTAATAATTGATTTTATAATATTGGATTGTAATGAATAATTATAATTCGAATTTGATGTACCCCGATAATAGGATATTTTGGATATTTAAATGTGGGGGTAACTGCTGAAATTCAAATAATTTTTTTAGAGAGTTTTCATCACATAGCACTTTAAAAATGAGAGAAGTCATTTCTATTCACGTCGGATAAGGAGGTATTTAAGTTGGTAATGCCTGTTGGGAATTGTTCTGTCTTGAACACGGAATCCAGCCAGATGGTCAAATGCCATCAGACAAGACTATCGGAGGAGGAGATGATGCCTTCAACACCTTTTTCTCAGAAACTGGTGCAGGAAAGCACGTCCCAAGAGCTGTCTTTTTGGATTTGGAACCAACAGTTATTGATGAAGTCAGAACAGGAACATACAGATAATTATTCCACCCAGAATAATTGATTTCAGGAAAGGAAGATGCTGCCAACAACTTCGCCAGAGGTCACTACACCATCGGAAAGGAAATCGTCGATTTGTGCTTAGACAGAATCAGAAAGTTAGCTGATAACTGCACAGGTCTCTAAGGTTTCTTGGTCTTCCACTCAGTCGGAGGAGGTACCGGATCAGGATTGGGATCACTCTTATTGGAAAGATTGTCAGTCGATTATGGTAAGAAATCTAAATTGGGTTTCACCATCTATCCATCACCATAAGTTTCAACCGCAGTCGTTGAACCATACAACTCCATCTTGTCAACCCACTCATTGTTGGAGCACACTGATGTCTGTGTCATGTTGGATAACGAAGCCATCTATGATATTTGCAGAAGAAATTTGGATATTGAAAGACCAACATACACCAACTTGAACAGATTGATTGCTTAAGTCATCTCTTCATTGACAGCCTCATTGAGATTCGATGGTGCCTTGAACGTCGATATCACTGAGTTCTAAACCAACTTGGTCCCATATCCAAGAATCCACTTTATGCTTTGCTCATATGCCCCAATCATCTCAGCTGAAAAAGCTTATCACGAATAATTGTCAGTTGCTGAAATCACAAACTCAGCCTTCGAACCAGCAAACATGATGGCTAAGTGTGATCCAAGACATGGTAAATACATGGCTTGCTCCATGCTTTACAGAGGTGATGTCGTCCCCAAGGATGTCAACGCTGCCATTGCCACCATCAAGACAAAGAGAACCATCTAATTCGTCGACTGGTGCCCAACAGGATTCAAGGTCGGAATCAACTATCAACCACCAACAGTCGTCCCAGGAGGTGATTTGGCTAAGGTCATGAGAGCTGTTTGTATGATCTCCAACTCAACTGCCATCGCTGAAGTCTTCTCCAGACTTGATCACAAATTCGATCTTATGTATGCCAAGAGAGCCTTCGTCCACTGGTACGTCGGTGAAGGTATGGAAGAAGGAGAATTCTCTGAAGCCAGAGAAGATCTTGCTGCCTTAGAAAAGGATTATGAAGAAGTCGGTATTGAAACCGCTGAAGGAGAAGGTGAAGAAGGAGAAGCATGATAAATCAATATATATACAAATCAAAATATAAATACACATCACAATATAATAATTTATTACAAAATGAGAGAGATTCTTTAATTTCATGTTGGATAAGCTGGAATCCAAATAGGAAATACTGCCTGGGAATTNATTTCTATTCACGTCGGATAAGGAGGTATTTAAGTCGGTAATGCCTGTTGGGAATTGTTCTGTCTTGAACACGGAATCCAGCCAGATGGTCAAATGCCATCAGACAAGACTATCGGAGGAGGAGATGATGCCTTCAACACCTTTTTCTCAGAAACTGGTGCAGGAAAGCACGTCCCAAGAGCTGTCTTTTTGGATTTGGAACCAACAGTTATTGATGAAGTCAGAACAGGAACATACAGATAATTATTCCACCCAGAATAATTGATTTCAGGAAAGGAAGATGCTGCCAACAACTTCGCCAGAGGTCACTACACCATCGGAAAGGAAATCGTCGATTTGTGCTTAGACAGAATCAGAAAGTTAGCTGATAACTGCACAGGTCTCTAAGGTTTCTTGGTCTTCCACTCAGTCGGAGGAGGTACCGGATCAGGATTGGGATCACTCTTATTGGAAAGATTGTCAGTCGATTATGGTAAGAAATCTAAATTGGGTTTCACCATCTATCCATCACCATAAGTTTCAACCGCAGTCGTTGAACCATACAACTCCATCTTGTCAACCCACTCATTGTTGGAACACACTGATGTCTGTGTCATGTTGGATAACGAAGCCATCTATGATATTTGCAGAAGAAATTTGGATATTGAAAGACCAACATACACCAACTTGAACAGATTGATTGCCTAAGTCATCTCTTCATTGACAGCTTCATTGAGATTCGATGGTGCCTTGAACGTCGATATCACTGAGTTCTAAACCAACTTGGTCCCATATCCAAGAATCCACTTTATGCTTTGCTCATATGCCCCAATCATCTCAGCTGAAAAAGCTTATCACGAATAATTGTCAGTTGCTGAAATCACAAACTCAGCCTTCGAACCAGCAAACATGATGGCTAAGTGTGATCCAAGACATGGTAAATACATGGCTTGCTCCATGCTTTACAGAGGTGATGTCGTCCCCAAGGATGTCAACGCTGCCATTGCCACCATCAAGACAAAGAGAACCATCTAATTCGTCGACTGGTGCCCAACAGGATTCAAGGTCGGAATCAACTATCAACCACCAACAGTCGTCCCAGGAGGTGATTTGGCTAAGGTCATGAGAGCTGTTTGTATGATCTCCAACTCAACTGCCATCGCTGAAGTCTTCTCCAGACTTGATCACAAATTCGATCTTATGTATGCCAAGAGAGCCTTCGTCCACTGGTACGTCGGTGAAGGTATGGAAGAAGGAGAATTCTCTGAAGCCAGAGAAGATCTTGCTGCCTTAGAAAAGGATTATGAAGAAGTCGGTATTGAAACCGCTGAAGGAGAAGGTGAAGAAGGAGAAGCATGATAAATCAATATATATACAAATCAAAATATAAATACACATCACAATATAATAATTTATTACAAAATGAGAGAGATTCTTTAATTTCATGTTGGATAAGCTGGAATCCAAATAGGAAATACTGCCTGGGAATTGCTTTGTTTAGAACACGGAATTCAACCTGATGGTTCTGCTCCAAGCTCTTAGAATCTCTAGGTTTTATTTTCAGAGTCATCAACTAAAGCAAATGTGCCCAGGGCTGCATTCTTTGATGATGACCCACTTACTATCAATTCACTTAATAGAGGACCATTAAAGAAGGTCTTGAATTAAAACCTCATTAAATTATTTAAAGATGATGCATCATCAATATGGGCATCCAAGAAGATTAAATAATACGATGAAAAAGATCGGTCTACTCGTACTGCTGAAGAAATCGTTCGCAAAATGTTGGAATCTGCAGATGCAGCCTCAGCGATTATAATATATCATTCATTAGCAGGAGGATTTGGAAGCGGTTTCACATGCTAATTATTATAATTGTTGAATGATGAAACTGCTAAAACAACAAAGTTGACAGTATCAGTATTTCCATCAACTAAACAAGACTAATTATTTACTTAACCTATTGTTGAACCCTATAATACAATACTCACTTTGCCAACACTTTCAGAAATGTCTGATTTCAATATTCTTTATGATAATGCTGCTATGTATAAAGTATGCCAGAATCAATTAGATTTTGAAACACCCAATTATAGTCATCTCAATTATATGATTGCTTAAACTATTTCATCAATTTCTCAATCAATTAGATTTNCATACACCAACTTGAACAGATTGATTGCCTAAGTCATCTCTTCATTGACAGCTTCATTGAGATTCGATGGTGCCTTGAACGTCGATATCACTGAGTTCTAAACCAACTTGGTCCCATATCCAAGAATCCACTTTATGCTTTGCTCATATGCCCCAATCATCTCAGCTGAAAAAGCTTATCACGAATAATTGTCAGTTGCTGAAATCACAAACTCAGCCTTCGAACCAGCAAACATGATGGCTAAGTGTGATCCAAGACATGGTAAATACATGGCTTGCTCCATGCTTTACAGAGGTGATGTCGTCCCCAAGGATGTCAACGCTGCCATTGCCACCATCAAGACAAAGAGAACCATCTAATTCGTCGACTGGTGCCCAACAGGATTCAAGGTCGGAATCAACTATCAACCACCAACAGTCGTCCCAGGAGGTGATTTGGCTAAGGTCATGAGAGCTGTTTGTATGATCTCCAACTCAACTGCCATCGCTGAAGTCTTCTCCAGACTTGATCACAAATTCGATCTTATGTATGCCAAGAGAGCCTTCGTCCACTGGTACGTCGGTGAAGGTATGGAAGAAGGAGAATTCTCTGAAGCCAGAGAAGATCTTGCTGCCTTAGAAAAGGATTATGAAGAAGTCGGTATTGAAACTGCTGAAGGAGAAGGTGAAGAAGGAGAAGCATGATAAATCAATATATATACAAATCAAATATTAAAACATTTCACAATATTATTTATTACAATTGAAAACATGAAATTCTTTATTATTTAACTGAATGTTAATTAGGAAATGTTGTCTAGATATTATTTTATTTAGAGCATTGAATTCTTACAATAAATAACCTTTAATTCTATTAACAATAAATTAATAAAGACCTGTAATTAGAATTAAATTAAATATGCATCATTACTATGACAATGTATTAGAAATTATTATCAAAAGAAGAGAATAAATCTCAGACTCATAAAAATTAATTAAATATTATAAGAACTATCACATACTGCTTCGGATATTAACATATTTCATTCTTTTTCTAGAAGATTTGGAAGAAACTCAAATTATTATAGAAAGTAAGTTATGAATTTTAAAATCCAATGCTTTACAAGTCTTAGACATCCAATCTCTCTCATTTTATATTAAAATATCATGCAATTTATACTTTAACAAAAAAATTTTTTAGATTTCTTATTTCAATAAATTATTTGAAAATACTACTCTATATCAAGCATTTAAAAGTAATTAGATCATCAGCATCCAATTTTTAATGGGAATGATGAAGAATTAGATGATAGACTAAATAATAAAAAATTATGGATATATATAGAACAATAAATGAGTAAAATAAATAACATGGTAAGAATAGACCAAAATTAGATGAATAAAACGTGCATGATAATGAATAATGAAGTAATATATAATTTATAATCACTATCTATATAAATAAAAACCAATTTGAAATCTTCAAAGCTACCTTTTTTAATTTTCACTCTCTAGATGAAACTCTTAAGGCAATTTCAAAAGAACCTTTGAAAAATGATTCTTCTTCAATGATTGATTTGGTTATGAATACATCTTCTCTCTTGGGTTTGTTAGCCTATGTTAATTTGAAGTTAATTCTAACTACTCCTTTTTATCTTCATTTAAATTAATTTATTTTCCAAAACTCATGTTATATAAATTTAGCAAGTCACTTCTTTAATTTTCATTCTAAACTATCTACTTGTCTTATCTCTACTCTAAAATTCGTTCTGGTGTCCTAATTACAGGTAGTCGAATGTCAGTTTCCATCCTATTTCTAGCATCAGCCGATTTGGGTATTGATTAAAATGTCAACTACGATTTAGGCGATTGCATTTTCTTTATTTTTTAGGCTCCATTGCCTGCTTCCAATAATCTATTTATCAGTTATTGCTTTTCTTTATTTTCTTGAACTAATTCTTCATTTTTCCTTTACAAATATTCAATCATTTCGTTTTATTCCTTTGGCGAAAGCATTCTTGAATTTTTCTTATTCCCTTTATCCAAATGATTTGGGCATTCCTCATCAATTGTTTGACAGTTCTTAGGACTTCTATAAGATTGTATGCTCTCTTAAACCTTATGAAACAGTTTCTTAAGAATATTGTATAATTTTACTTAATCATCAGTTATCACAAGTAAGTTTTTAACTTTTATCTATATTCTTTATTTTCCATCAACATGGTGTGAAAATTATCGGCTTTCTTTTTGAGGCATCTAAGATTTTAACCCTAATTTATTTGTTCTTGCACTTAACACATTCATTTTGTTATAGTTATCCTGAAATTATGTCAGGTTTGAATTCGTATGAGAACTTTTCATCAACTTAATAAATCTTTGTTAAATTATTTATTAATTGAAACTAAAGAAGACTCTTTATAATGTGTTAATTAAATCACTCTTACTGATATCACCTATATATATTTAATTGATTAAGTGAAATTTTCATTTCTAACTACGAACAAATACTATTTATATATTTATGAGGGATATATATTTAAAAAATGTTTTAAATTCAAGGAAGAATTTCAATATAACAATTCTCTATCGCAAGTTAAGAAATAGACTATAATAATTCCATGATAATCATTATAACAAGAAGAGAAATAACCAATCAAAATATTTTATGCGAGATATAATTAGTTCTAATTTGTTTAAAATTTGAATTTATTGAAACCTCTTCATTACGACATAACGAAGTGATTTCAAACTACTTATAGATTATCATATTGTATACATCAAGATAAAAACAATAATTAAGTAACTGTGAGTTTATTTTTCAGTTATATCCAACATGGATTATCTTAATAATTTGAAATATCATTTCCGAAATGCTTATGATTTATAATATATTATAATATATCAAAATTATGTTGAATCTCTAATATATCATTAAATTTAACAGTTTAAGTTAAGATTATAAATACTGAACACTTGAAATGCTTAAAAAAGAAAATTGAGATAAATTATTCTAATCTGTATTTATAATCTATTAATATCAACAATAATTTAGTTGTTATTTTTGGCGACTTAAATAAAACAAAGGTATAGTTACGATCTCTTGACTGATGGGTTTAAAAGTAATTAATTCCATGTGTTAATAACTGAGAGCAGAAAAATTTAATATTAATTTTATGTTATAGTTAATTAATTTGATAAAATTGAGATAATAACAGCTATGTGAACATTAGCCTTATGATCCAAAGATTGATAAGGAACGTATAAATTAAGAGAATTAATTACTCTAGATCTTGTATCGTTTCTAAAGAGTTCATATTGATGAAAAGTAAGAGAAATTATGATTTAATTTAATCAGATTGAATTTTTATGAACAATCAGCTCAACTCATGAATAAACCTATTCAACCTTTACTTCCTATGCAAGTATATGATTTTATTGGTAAACTTTACATGGAATTTTTTCAAGAAAATCAATTTCAAGATAAAGCCTAAAAGATCTAATTAATCTTGGAGAATGAGATGCATAAGAATTAATCTTTCATCATACTTATGATCAAATGGCTTCTAGAGTATTATAGGTATTAAGTTAAACCAACTGAGCCTCAAATCAAACCTGTTTAAATAATGAGGAGAAAACTATTGATGACAATTGATTAAAATAAATTGGAAGTGAAAAAGTCATCAGAGTCACAAACTAAAAGAATAAGAATGTTAAATTTATCCAAAACTCCAGAAAATGATTATAACACTCTGAGTTCGGCTAATTAACAATCAACCTTAAGGAGAAACAAAATAAATTAAAGACAGTTATATAATGTGATACCAGACTTGGATTGGGAAATACCTTGGGATCGATCATATAAATTGTTATACAATAGAAACAATAGAATATCTAAATCTATATAAAAGCATTTCAATTGAAAATTTACTATTATTACTCATTTGTTATATAAAAATATTAATTTTAGGGGCATCTAAAAATATGTAATAGAATAATAATAATCAAAGTAAAGTAACATTAAAATCATTTGTGTTGTCTTTCTACTTGATTAGAAAATCTATAAAAAAGATCTCTATAATTACGATTATCATTAAAATTATATCATTGTTGTTTAAGAATATTCTAAATATAAAAAGCTTGTAGATTTGTATATATATATAATCACAAAATAATCAGTATCAGGAACTTAAAAATTAATCTTCTTCTTCTGGAAAATGATCCTGTTCTAACTTATGTACCAAAAACCCTTCAATCTATCTTTTAATTGTTTTAAGATCTATGGTCGTGTGCAATTAAAAAGTAAAAAGATCATCAAAATCTTATTCTAAATATGCTTTTGTTTCTTAACTAACATGCACAAACCCCTTGACTCCATTTGATTCCATCTTATTTGCAATTAACACATCTGGTCCATAGATATCATATCTCACAATATCGGTACCCATGACTCCACCAAAGACAGAGCCTGTGTGAATTCCTATTCTCATGTTTAATCCATCAAAGTTAATTTGTTTTCTCACCTACGTAATTATTTTAATCATCTCAAAAGCCAAATCCACAATATTCTTTGCTTCTTAATGAGGATTTCTGTTATTGAAATCAATCATGCCAATAGCAACATAACAATCTCCAATTGTATATAATTTATAGACATTCAATTCACAGCATTTTCTATCGAATTCCACAAACAGATTTTTTAACATAACTAACACTTCTTCTGGTTTGACTTTGCTAGAGTATTCAGTAAAACCAGCGATATCAGCAAATAAGATTGTCAACTTATCTAATTTATCACAAACTCCTATGTTATTGATTTTATCATCTAAAAACTTATTTAGAATGTGCTTTGGTAATAAATACTGAAGTAGTTACGATTCTTTTTGTTATTGAGTTTTAAAAATGTTTTTTTAATTAAAACAACCTACTTATTGTTGTTCGATGAATAATATCAAAGTCAAATTATACATAGAGCTAACGAAAAGGAAAAATATGCTAATCAGTTACGATCCATCAATGATAATGATGATTATTGAATAAAAGTATGTAAAAAAACAAAATAATACTTTTACCCAAAAACTAAGAATTTATACACTACAAAAAATACATTGTATGAAAACGATCTCATAGACATGAACATTTTTCAATTCATCTCTATCTTCTAATACTACAACTACACCTGCTAATATAACCTAAAAAAATAACAAGATTTTTATTAGGATCTTCCATTTATCAAAATAGGGTTTTCTATTAATTAGAAACTGAATTAAATTCATAATGCAACATAACCATTGCAATACAATTAAGCCAATAATGTAATCATTGTAGAACTGAATCTAACAAAATTGCTTTATCATATAATATAAGGCATATAATCTTAAATTGTAAATTGTTTAATTCTTAGATTGAATTTTTACAAACTCCATATACTGATCATAACTTATAAACTAATTCATCTGTTTCTTATAATAAGAAATCTCTAACAATTGAAGGAATGAAGTTTCCTTAATTAAATTATGTTCTAGAGTGTATTCATTCTTTAATAAAATTACATTCTCTAATTAATTAAATAAACAATACCAATAACTACTCATAATCTATCATCTCATCAATTTCTGGTTCATAATTTTCTAATTGAAATCTATTCTAGAACAAAGTCACCAATCTTTTAAAAGTACTTGGTTATTAAATTTATTATTATAGTTTTTATTTTTCATCAGAACTTTGTTTCTATATAAGTTCTAGAGATTATTCTGACTTCTCATCATATGACTAATAATAGGCAGGATCAGTAGGTTTGATGCCAAAAACATTGTGATTGCCATTATCTTAAATTGATTCCCTCTTTTGATTCATTGTATCTATGTATGTCAATATAGTCTTTCTTTTTTTCAAGTTTTTTTTCAATAATTCAGGATTCTTTCTTACCACATAGTTGCTTCTTGCATCTCTGCTTTACAAATCCTAATCATATAACATGGAGTGAGTATTCTCTTTATTTTGAATTTTACATTTAAATATATAAGTTGGCTTAATTCCTAATCCTTTCATTTCTACATTTCTTATCTCAAATTCAATATTCTCATTTTTAATTTAATCAAATGCTTATTCTGACAATGTTATTGTATCCTCCAACCCTGTAGAGCATACTCTACTTGTAGTATTTACAGTATCTCCAATTAAGGAGAATTAAGGCTTGTGATAACCTATGACTCCACTAATGGCTCCTCCATAATGGATTCCTATCTTCCCAACTAGTTGTTAACCTTAAGTACCCCACCTAGATGATATATATAAATTAATTACTATTTTGATCTAATGTAAGTCATCATCTATTCAGCCAAATTTAATGCCCTCTAAACAGGATCAACCTATGACAAATATGTTAATTCTTGTTCACACGCCTTCAATCCAGCTGAAGCCAAATAAGTTTTTCCAACTGTCTCAATCTTTTACACTCCATAGATCTAACAATATTTATCAAAAGTTCTAAAAATGTCATCTAAAAATGGAATAATTTTATCCTTCTCTTCTATGACCATTTAATCAAAGTTGCAAATATCACAAAAGACTATTGCCACTAATCCTTAGTTTTAATGAATATTGTACTAATCAGCTAAATATTTGATAAGATACTATACTTTCATTTAATCTATCTCTGATAAATTTTGGCAATAGTATTCCGAGTATATCATTGATTTTATTATTTTGCTCTATGAAATTTAATTTGTTTTAAGCCTAATCTTCTTCTAATTGTATATACTAATTATAATTACTATATTATTTTTACATAACTCTTTATAAAGTATTGAGATGCTGAAAATAGAACTATAAATTGCAATATTTATATTAAGAAGGAAACATTAGATTCATTCTCAATGATGTACCAAATAATGTAACCAATTATTGTGATTAGAGCTGAGCCCAAATAAGTTCTATAGTCATAGATGGGGTGAAATTTAATGGATAATTTATACGTAATAAAATATTACATAACTAAAGCAGAACCAACATGTTCTTAAGTGTTTTAAGTAAATAGTATCGACAAAGTTGCAGCTGTTGCAATAATAAATTTAGCGTACTCTAAATAATGCTATCTATTTGTTGGTAATTGAATAAATGTAAACACAATAAACACAATAGCTTGGAGGCCAAAAATTATCAAATAATCTACCAAAAAATAATTGTTGTTATCTTAGTAGAAGTACATTATTAACAAAAATGAGCAATGATAAAATAGTNTCTATGTATGTCAATATAGTCTTTCTTTTTTTCAAGTTTTTTTTCAATAATTCAGGATTCTTTCTTACCACATAGTTGCTTCTTGCATCTCTGCTTTACAAATCCTAATCATATAACATGGAGTGAGTATTCTCTTTATTTTGAATTTTACATTTAAATATATAAGTTGGCTTAATTCCTAATCCTTTCATTTCTACATTTCTTATCTCAAATTCAATATTCTCATTTTTAATTTAATCAAATGCTTATTCTGACAATGTTATTGTATCCTCCAACCCTGTAGAGCATACTCTACTTGTAGTATTTACAGTATCTCCAATTAAGGAGAATTAAGGCTTGTGATAACCTATGACTCCACTAATGGCTCCTCCATAATGGATTCCTATCTTCCCAACTAGTTGTTAACCTTAAGTACCCCACCTAGATGATATATATAAATTAATTACTATTTTGATCTAATGTAAGTCATCATCTATTCAGCCAAATTTAATGCCCTCTAAACAGGATCAACCTATGACAAATATGTTAATTCTTGTTCACACGCCTTCAATCCAGCTGAAGCCAAATAAGTTTTTCCAACTGTCTCAATCTTTTACACTCCATAGATCTAACAATATTTATCAAAAGTTCTAAAAATGTCATCTAAAAATGGAATAATTTTATCCTTCTCTTCTATGACCATTTAATCAAAGTTGCAAATATCACAAAAGACTATTGCCACTAATCCTTAGTTTTAATGAATATTGTACTAATCAGCTAAATATTTGATAAGATACTATACTTTCATTTAATCTATCTCTGATAAATTTTGGCAATAGTATTCCGAGTATATCATTGATTTTATTATTTTGCTCTATGAAATTTAATTTGTTTTAAGCCTAATCTTCTTCTAATTGTATATACTAATTATAATTACTATATTATTTTTACATAACTCTTTATAAAGTATTGAGATGCTGAAAATAGAACTATAAATTGCAATATTTATATTAAGAAGGAAACATTAGATTCATTCTCAATGATGTACCAAATAATGTAACCAATTATTGTGATTAGAGCTGAGCCCAAATAAGTTCTATAGTCATAGATGGGGTGAAATTTAATGGATAATTTATACGTAATAAAATATTACATAACTAAAGCAGAACCAACATGTTCTTAAGTGTTTTAAGTAAATAGTATCGACAAAGTTGCAGCTGTTGCAATAATAAATTTAGCGTACTCTAAATAATGCTATCTATTTGTTGGTAATTGAATAAATGTAAACACAATAAACACAATAGCTTGGAGGCCAAAAATTATCAAATAATCTACCAAAAAATAATTGTTGTTATCTTAGTAGAAGTACATTATTAACAAAAATGAGCAATGATAAAATAGTAATTAAAGACATTGAGCTGTTTATTTTTATTTCCATTATAAAATAGTCTATGCTTTATGAAATATTTCTTAAGTCCACTAACCAAATCTACTCTAATAGTTAGGCTCATTAAGTAATACTAATAGTATTAGATAATTAATTACATTTTTGAATGCTCAAATCAACTTACTCAATATTGTCAAACAAATCATTTACTTTATTCTATAGAATAGTGACAGTTTTCCTTTTTTAAGCTGGAGCGCTTATTAAATGAATATAATTTAAATAGGACAAAAACTCATCTTCACTTGTGGGTAGATTATTTAAACCATAATTTTATAGGTAATCTGATAAAATATTTGTTAATAACAAAAATGACACTCCTAAAATAATAGAAAACACTTCTTATATGCTTATCGGAATCTGCCATTCTTCATTTTTTGAAGAGTCTACAATAGTGTAAATGTAAAAGACCAGTGGAAAAATGCATGAAGCTAATACTCGAAACTTCAATCCAAAATTTATTATTAAGTAGAGCCAATCACTAATGCTAATTGACATAAAGATATATAGGTAAAATCCTTCAAAATAGATATCATATTGAAATATGCATGAAATCAGTATCCCTTATAAAATATTCTTGATTATAATTGTTATCTATATTTCAGTTTCTGATTAATGTTTAGAGTATTTTTAAAGTAGTAATGATTAGTCCTTATTGTATTATAGTTATTTTGAATCATCAAGAAATTAGTAATGTTAAATACCAAATAAAAAGAATTGATAAATGTAAAAATAGAATATGATTTCCACTAAATAATCCTATTAATCTAAAGTGTTCCATGTATAAAGAATTGATGAAAAGGTAAAATAAGAGATAAATGTGATTGTTTTATAGACAGTTTATTATTGTAATGATCGAAACAATATTTTTAGAAGAGGACTCTAAAAAAATAATAATCTATCTAACTCTTTGAAACCTTGAATAATTACATCTGTATTTGAATTAATTTACAATTCATTAAAGTAACATTTCTCATAAATTAATCTTTGTCTCAATGATAAACTCAATTTCTTAAAGAAATTCTTTCTGCTTACTTCTCCAAATATCTAATTTCTAAATAAACTAAATTCTTGCAATTATAAAATTTAAAGCTAACATCCATTAATACACCTTAACAAACTTTGATTCTCATATAATAAATTAATTGTTTTTCCAGATATACACCATAATTCTTAGACAATATTCAATTGATCTTGTGTTGCTTAATACAAAAATAACACTTTAGTAAAATTGAGCAATAATTTTAAATGATTTTTAAAGTAAGTATTGTCCATGATTTATTAACATGTTGAATTGTTCAACATTACAACAACCTTTTTGGTTCTTGATCTTTCTTCAATATGATCTGTTTCAGTAGCTTTCTGGGCACTATGATTAGATATTTTTATGAATTAAGTACTACTTATGCTGGCATGTGAAAACTAGTTCGAAAACTCTTCCAAGCATTATTTAAAGTAGGCTCTTAAATCTTCTTCGTTTTATTGATTGAAATGAAATATCAAATCATTCTATTACAACAATTCAGATTAGTATAAAATAGATGTAGCTGAAATTTCCTAATTTTAGGTATAAATGAATAACTAATAGTCTGATTTTCTAATGTTTTTCATAAAATCTTGACAATCCTATTTTAATTCATAACTCAACCCAAATATTATGTTTAGTTTAAGTAACTATTCCATCAGAGTATACAATTAACTTTCTGAAGTGTTACTCTCTGCAGAAGATAAATATAGATTAGCTTCTTTTTGACTCAAAAAACAATAATAATAGTAAATGTAATGTAATGAGTCTGATTGATGTTTCATTACCTTATCCTCTATACTTTCATTTTTTCTTACATTAGCTTCTCTCAAAAATAAAATGAATTGATAATCAGCTTCTTGGAATTGGTCATCCATTTCGAATAACATGTAGAGTCTTTGATTTTGGATGTGTAGTTTAGTATTAACTAATTTAAATGTATAAAGTTCCTTGTTGATTTATACTATGTAATGTTATTGTTATCTATTGAATATGATTATAATAATACTAAACATTGTTTACACAGATGAATTCATAACCCATAATTTTGGCCATATTTACTTACTTTTAATCAAGTAAACCTAGATATTTGTTCTTTACTTTCTATTCTTTTTTTTCTGTTATCAATAATTTTGAGAATGCAAGATGATTCATAGCCAATTGTAAAAATAAAGGATTTAGATCATTTTTAGAAGTATTTTGAATCATGGATTTGTATAGAGTATTTTCATCAATTAAATATTTGTCTTATCTTGATTGATCCTTAGATGATTGATATATTTTTGAACTCTTTTATTGATTAGATTAACGTTAAGCTGTCAGATGATCTCCAATCTCTTAATTCTCAAATATATTCTTGTCATGTTAAGTTTATTCTTACAAAATCAGTTGTCCTTAATTTACATTCAGTTCAGATTTATAATCTTATTAATAATCGCGTGTAAATCTACATTCTACTGATTTAGGAAGTTAATTAACTACACATTCTCTTTGGCTGAACAAAATCTCAGAACTTGAACTTTACATATCATAATTTAAGACTTAAGAATTCAATTAATTGTTTATTGGTTCTAAGTTAATAATAATAATATACTTACCTTAATCTTGTTTACTCAGACCTTTCTCAGCAATTGCCAAAAACTGTAAGAATTTCTACTCTTCAAAATCACAATATTAACTATTAAAGATGATTCGTTTAAGTTTAAAGGACTATTCTATAAATGCTTCTACACTAAGTGTGAGATATTGCTTTTCTAAATATTTATCAATATGACAAGACATAATTTATTTTTAATCAATCGTGCCTATTATTTGCAATTAAAATAATCCACAAATATTATAATAGATCTTAAAGAAATGAGGAACCATTAATATTAAATAGATACAATTATCCAATATAATTTGTGTTATCGATCTCAATTCATACAAGTATTCGTTCTGATTGAAGACAATGATTTATATCTATGAAATGATATATACAAATATTTACAATCATAATTAAGCAAATCACTAAGTAAAATCCAAAAAATTAATGATTATCAAATCTCAATTTCCCTTATAGTTTTGTATAGCAAAAACAGCTGTTGCCCACTTTTACAACAATACCAAGAATCCAAGGTGTGGCCAATAGTTTCTCTTGACAAAATATAAAATTTTCAAATCCTAGCATCTTAGATTAAGGATCTTTTTTTAATTGAAAAAATCCTTTTATTTAAGAATTCTGTTCATGAAATACGATATTTCCAGTCAAAGACTTTTTAAATTGAGCCAATGTTTATGAATCAGCTAAAACTATAGATTCATATTTTACATCTATTTTAGACCACTGGCTTTCGAACAGTCGATTATGAATAATCACATAATTATTATTAAACACAGAAATTTTCATCGTTACAATGCAACACTATGATATCACATGGTGCTATTTCATTTCTTTGTAATAAAATGACATCTCCTATTTTAATATCTTCAGCATTTTGGGCTTTAATTAAATTCATTTTATCCTTTTCCATTTTTTTCAACTTCTCATTTAATGGTATTTTAGTTGTAGTTTAAATCAAATCTTTTGGAAATATGCTTGGAACCAGCTTTTTAAATTGAATAATCAATGGATCAGTTTCCATGATTTAGATTTGTTATAATTTCAAAGCCATATCTTTATAAATTAAAGGACTCATTTAATTGTATTTCTTAACATTTTCAGATGCTTTGATATTTTTGTTACTTTATTGTTATTTGTATTGGATTTATTAAAATGGAATGGAATCATTTGCTACATTGATAGATATTGTATATTACATAGAATTGATCTGGAAATTCCTTTCTTTTGACTCTGTGCATACTCAATTTTCTTATTTTAAGAATTCTTCTCAAGCTATGACTTACTCTTTAATTTTTAATTGCTCTCACTTTAATCTTACTAATCTAACCTTTCCTTTATTTTAGAAATAATTTCCTTATTAATAATACATTCATCCCACTACTTAATAATTTTTGCCTCTTACTCTTTTATCATTTTATCCATTTTTCGTATTTTTAAACAATTATGGAAATCAACCAGCCACCCTTGTAATATTAAGGGAATCGCCACAAAATACAAAGGCAAAGTAGAAAAAGCTTATAATATAAGAAGTAAAAAGTAGAAGATGTTATCCTTAATTACTCTCCAAGGAAAAAGAAAAGTATAATTAGCCCTCTAAATTTTATTTTCATTTTCTAGAAATCCATCAGATGAAACTGTCTCACCATTTCTAAATTGAATCTTATTAACTATATAAATAGTACTTGATATGTATTTTTTCTCATTTCATTATTATGCCTATAATTCAGGAATAATTATTTCATTTTAATTTATAACAGAATGTCAATCAATTAAGAACTTAGTTTTGATTTCAAATCTCAAGTCAATTTTGATAATGACCCCCAACAATCCCACTATTCCAATTTTGCAGAACAATGGCAAGAGAAAATCTCTAGTCTATAGCAAAACATTTAGGAAATGCAACAACAAAAAGAAGACGTCAAGAATGCATTATTATAAGCATAATCAAGAATCAAAAATAAGAAGTCATACATAGATGAACCAAAAATGCAATAAGTGGAAACGAGAACCTTGGAAACCAATCTACCTATTTAGAACACCTCAATCAATCATTTACTAAATGAATCTATCAACACATAAGAATTTCAAACTCCAATTAATTAAATCAATTAAGTCACAAACATCAGATAATAACCAATTGCAACATTTCTAATGGATATTAGATTGAATGATATCTACCTATAAAATTTTATAGACTTAGGCATTTATGATAATGTAAGTCTTTTGAAATCATTGCCTGCTCAAAATAAATGCAAATTTCTATTGAACAAATATGGTATTGATAAACTAGGATATCAAAGAAGAATCTTAGCTAAATTAGATGAAGGTATTATTGTATTCAATTAACTTTAGAAATGGGTTTATTTTCAAAAAAAGGTTTACTGTTAAATATTGAATACTGTTAGGAATAAATTCCAAATATTGAAGAATGGTTAAAATCTATTAATCAATCAAAATATTATCCAAATTTTCTATTGGCAGGTTATGACAACTTTGCCTATTTGATTTATCAAGAGTAAAGTCAATACAAATTAAAAGTTCAAGATTTTAAAGACTCTTTTTATATAGAAAGTGAATAAGATAGATAATTGCTTATTGCACACATAGTGATTAGTATTAGTACATTCTCTATTTATTAGTTTGTGATAAGATGATGAACTGTGATTTATGGACTGTTTAGGGAATAAAAAAGAAATAATAGGAATCAGATTTTAATTTAGTATAATGCACTCTACCTTCAAATTAATGTTTGATCTTTTGAATAATATATAATTAATTAATTTATGTTCATTTATAATAATGATTCCTTTTTATTAAATCTATTATCTCTTAATTTTCATAGAGTTAACTCAAATCCTGAATAGATTTTCCATTTCTTGTTGTTACATTTAATTTTGCACCGAATTTCAATAGGAGCTTAAACAATGATACATTTTGTTTCTTGATAGCTATGTGGATAGGGTAGAATCCTTTCTAAAAATGATTTTGATATGATTACTTCATCAGCTGAATTGATTAGAGAGACATCAAATGATTTATCTTAAAATAATAATAATAGACCCTTGATATCACAATTCTAAACTAAATTAAAGAATGATTTCTATTCTGGAGTCAAATCTATAATTTTATACTTTTCAACCAATTATTCGATATTTGCCTTTGATTCTATTAATCTTGAGGACATGTAATCAGTAACATCTTCTATTTCCATATTTTAAATTGAGTTTTATTTGCAATATTATGGATTTAAAATACTGGATTGTCTTTTGAACGATTTGGTTTTTTTGGTAATTCTCTTTTAAGGTTCCATCTTATGAAGCATTTGAAGATATGGTTTAGAAGTTTAGCTTTTCTTTGTTAGATCGTTGATGGATGGATCAACTAAATAAGTTCCGTTAAATAATTTTGAAACATTCATTTTAGTCCTCAAACATTATTTCCTATTTATTTTATAGATCATACAATTGTTCTTCTATTTAATAGAAGTTTACGTCGTTTTGATAGGATTTATTTTCTGATTTTTCGTTAAAATATGAATTCTTTGGTATTTGATGCGTTTTAATCTTTTGATTACAGAATTTATTATACTTTTGATAATATTTATTAAGCTTATTCCTATTCGATCCTACTTGTAGAAGGTTAGGAATAGAAATCGTTAAGAATAGATAGATCTGAATTCTTCAATTTGCTCATTTTGACTAAATTCATTTGAACTATTCTTTAATCTATGACTCCTGACTTTAAATAATCTTGAAGTGCTTATTTGCTCATTTTATACATGATATTGTCACTAAAATGAAACTTTTTCTTATTTTCAGTTTCTATTGATGTGTTTATTTATGTTTTAACACTTTTACTAGTTAATCTTGGCAAAGAATACATTTGTTTAGATAATAAATAATTATTTATTATTAGAATATTTAACAAAGAATGCCTTGAACTATTAATCTTATTTTCAACAATTAATCTAAAAATAAAAGTATACAATTGCATTCATTTGTTTGCTAATAAATAAAATCACAATTATACATAATAATATAATAAATCTAGGTATAATAATATAATTATAAGTATGGGTGCAACTTGTTCCAATATGAAAAACCAAAATGTATTTAACATTATGGAACTCCCTTATAAGTACAACTATGATAAAAGACTTAGTATTCATGTGATGGCATATATCTGGTCTGATAATGGACATAATTTATTTGATTATGAGAGTGATTCCCTTGTCAGAAAATCTATTGACTTTGATTTCTAAGGTATTTCCCATAAATATATAAGGAAGAGTGGTTCAATTAGACAGAGACATCTTGGCTTTAACCAAAAATGTAAATTTGCCCCCATAATCATTACAAAGGAAGTAGTAAGGAATTAAAGAGAAATCTTTGAGTTTCGCAGTAATCAGAAATCAATTGAATTATACAATTCTAAACTTGAAAATGCATTCTGGAAAGTCATCAGACCATTATAGGCATCAGATCTACCCACTTTGGACCGTCAAAAATTAGTGATAAATACAACAATAAAATTAGGAAGAGTCAAATTGACAGTTCTTGATTATAGTTTTGCTTATGAATATGATGATGGAGGAGTCCCAGATGAATTGGATGAAAAAAATAAATTAAATGATAGTGGATGTGTAGATGGATAAGTGTAATGCAGGTTTTGTTTAAGTAAACTGGCAACACTTGAAAATCCTTTCATAAGTCCTTGCAAATGCATTGGTTCCATCAAATACATCCACTTAAAGTGTTTATAGAGTTGGATAAATAGCCAATTAAAAACTAAAGCCTAAAATGGTGTAACACTATATTATTGGAAAAGTATGAAATGTGAACTATGTAAATCAATGTACAAAAGTAATGGTTAATTTAACCTTTTATAGCTTCCTTTAAGTTTAAGTAGATTCAATATAACATATGCGATATTAATAAACCTAAAGAGCCTTATTTGTTATTGTAAATTAATCACAGTGATAAAAACAAAGAATAGGGTTTATATGTAATTGATGTCAAAACAAGAGACACCATTAAAATAGGCAGAACATAAGATTGCGATATAAAATTACATGATATTTCAGTCTCGAGACATCATGCCAGCATACTAGTTAACCATTAAGAATAATCTTTTTATATTGAAGATAATTGTTCAAAATTTGGAACTTTGGTTTTAGCATAAGAAGAAGATTTGTAGATATAATTGAATTCCCCGAAAAGAGTAGCTCTACAAGTAGGAAGGATAGTAATTGTTGTAACCATAGAAAAAAAGATAAATAAAAAGAAGTAAATTTATGATGTGAATGTTAGAATAAACAAATATAGAGTGCCTGCGTAATTTGAAGTATTTAGGTAAATTAAATAACATGAAGATGAAGAGGAAGTGCAATCTGCTGACCAGTAATAATAGTCAGATGTTGAAGATATTTTAATAAATGATCCAGCATTTGATAGAGATTAAGATATGAGTAAATTTAAAAACATGAACTTTTTAACTGGAAGCATTATTTAAAGAGAGTAATAGTGATTTGATATCTTATATTGATAATGTTTCAAATCTTCTTTTATTATTTTTTCAAAGCTATTTTTTTTTTCGCTTTTTTTGATAAATACAAAAGTTTAACCACAATTTTCAAGGCCATCTAGATATTTAAACTAGTCAAGGCAGATTTGATATCCATTTCAGTAACATCCACATATTGGATATATTCATTCTGCAATGGTTATTTACCAAAATCAGTCAACCAATCATCTAAAATAATTTAATCTATTTTATATCTCTTTTCAGGATTCTTCTCCAGCATTCCTTATAGTAATTTAAGAATTGAAGGATGAAATCCAGTTGGTTAAGGGTAAGGAGGACTGTCCTCTAATATTTATTATCTTAATTCCATTGATTTTTAACTTGGAAAGGGTAGTTTACCATAAACCATCTAATATAAAGTCACTCCTCCTGCCCATATATCAACAGGTTTTCCATCGAAATTCTATCCTTGAATAATATTTGATAATGAAATACCTTTAAATACTTCTGGTGCCAAATAAGCTTGAGTGCCAGTTTAATTGGAGATTCTCCCATCTTATCCATCTTCCATAATATGTGAAACTCCAAAATCAGCTATTTTCAATTAATCTTGAATATTGACTAATAAATTCTCAGGTTTGATGTCTCTATGTATAACATTAACACATTCATGTACTTAATTAAATTTAATTTAAAATACAATAATCTAATCCTTTAATGAAATCACTAAAGTAATGTCTACATTATTCTTCGGTCAATCTTGAATTGATATTTTTATCATCGATTTCATCCAAAATATTGGATGTCTATTTATTCTTTTTAAAAAACCCTTTACTAAGAATACTACCCTTTCCCATAAATTCCATAACTAGGTACAACTTATCTTATTTAGGATCATCAATGACTTCATACAATTGAACTACATTAGTGTGCGAGATCTATGATGAATATTTTATAAATCCTACTTTTTTCATAATTGCAATTTCTCTTTCCAACATTGTATATGCATTTGATTTAGATAAAAGTTTCTTTTTTAGTTTTTTTTTGTTTGCTATCTTAATTGCCTAGAAATAAAACAGATATCAATACAAATTATTCTCCCTTAAAATTCTGAGCCTTTTTTACTTTACCAAATGCTCCCTGACCCAAGTTTTCAATTACTGTGTATTAATTAATTTATGCCATTCCTTCAACATTTATACTTTTTTCCAGACGAGATGTCTATACAACTTCGAGTGTGTTCTAAACAGCTAAAGATTTGCGAGGCTTGAGTCTTTGGGAGCTCAACATCTGAGATTCCTTAATGTTGAGATATTTTTCCATTGAAAGTTCAGCTTTCTAGATATATTGAATATAGAGACTTCCATCTTTTAAGATGATCTAACAAAGTGTATGAGATTTGTTTGAGCATATTCAATAAATGGTTTCTTTATACCAGGGGATTTAGAAATAACTCCACTAACACGCATCGGAGTTGTATTCACCTTTTTCGGTTTATTACGAATCATTTCAATGAGATTAGTTTAAAACTTGAGTTTATTCTTTTGCGACACCATGGTCGTATCCTCTAATCTATTGTTAAATTCACTTTAGTCAGCTTTTACTTTATCATTTTCTAAAGACTTCTCTTAAAATAGAGATAGCATTCTAGACTCTAGAAATTACACCATACCTAAAGTTATTGACTTGATTGTTAGACAGTCCACTTCCCATTTTATTTAACAATTAATTAATCACATTTTACATCCACTTTCTTTAGTTGAAAACGAGATATTACACATAGTATTTCGAACTACCAACCAATTAACCCAAAAAATTACTATCACATCAGAACTACTTAGAACATTCACTAACAATGTACCTGCAAACTTAAGAATACTAATAATTAAACACAGGATACATTATTAATTTATTGGTGTGAATTAATGTCTGATAGTCAACATATAAGAATTAAAAGAATAATATTTAATTTTACAACCATATATGAAGAATAATCATATAATGATCTGAAAAGAAACCGAAAATATTAGACATTAATATTCATTTTATGAATAGGATTCATTATTACCCAACGTTAGATCTTGGAGCCTATTGTTATTATTGGGGTTTTGGTTATTGTGGGATTTGTTATGGTTGGAATTACTGAGCATATTATGGAGCATAGGTTGGAGCAAAACCTTAAGGAACAACTCTAGAAGCAACCAATGGTTATGCATATGTAACTGGCTATTAAACATACTAGACTGGTTATTGATAAACTGGTTATTAATAGACTGGTTATTAGACAACCTAGACTGGTTGTTAGACAACTTAAACTGGTTATTGAACCACTTATTAAACAGGTTAAACTTATTGATGGACAACTTGTCTTTCAACTGGATAATACTCTACTCTCTCTTGATATCTGTCAACTGGAACGTATTCTACATTATTCAATATATAGGAATACCTGTGTATTTCTCTTAAAATACTTAAGGAACATATTCGGTTTAGTACTCAACAGCATAATAATCTGTCACCTTTCTCTCTCTTGGCACATATTGGACAACCTCTTATTCTTCATATTCTACAACAGCCTTTTAATATGGAACATACTCAATCCTTGATTCTCCTTTGATTGATTGATGCTAATTTGAATATCATAACATTATGTACTTAAACTGATTACACTACTGGTTGGACGGGTTATTGAACATATTAAACAGGTTGTGGAACATATTGAACTGGTTGAGGAACTGGAGCATATTAAACTGGTTGGATATATGATTATCTAATTGGGGATTATTACAATGGGACAGCATACTGTAAATTAAAACACAATTTTTACTTAGGGAACTGGTTGTTATAATGTTGGTTGACCAAATTTAGGAGCCTAAGTTGTGGCCAAAGGTTAAGTAGGTGGGGCATTGCTGTATGGGTGATTAGACATCTGATTATTTAAATAATAAAGATATATATATTTATATATTTATTATCAAGCAAAATAAAATGAAATAAAAATAATCAAATTTATTAATAACATAAAATATTTGCAGGATGACATTCAATATCCTTTCTGATTTTCAGATAACTGAATAACAAATAGTATATTATCATATATTGTACATCTCTTGCATAATTCAAAAATATCTTAATTAAATTTCTTATTAATTCTTGTTTTCCTAAAAATAAAGATGTTCCTTAACAATCTAAATCATTCATATTTAAATCTATAAACTATTTGCATTTGCTATTAGTTGCTTAAATTTAATCTTCATTATAACTTTAAGCCTTCAATTAAACTATTTTTATGAGACTCAAGAGGTCTTAGTTTTCAAACTGCCTAAATTGAATGTTCTTTTAAGTTGTAATACCCTATTTACTCCAATAATTGAGGCAAATCCATTTATATAAATTATTAATGTTTATAGAAATAAGATCCTTAATTAATGAAGCAAGTGCTCAAATTCCTAAAAAGAATATTGCTCTAGTTCACAAACACAATTAATTAAGACAAATGAATTTGATATAGAAGAAAACATGCGCTTCGTCCATCCAATATTCTATGTTCCAATCAGATTTTGGCACTTTTGATTATTAGATTGTCCCTTAAGAGAGTTCAGATTCTGAATCCATCATCTCCTCACCTTCCTAATACCCTTCCTTGCATTTAGTTGCTTCTTTATTCTTTCTAAATGCTTAATATTCTTAGATACCTTGTTCAACTGTTCTACAGGGTGGATTGAAATCAAAATTGATTGTTAAAAACCTAGATAAAAATATAGATTTAGTTAAAGTTTAAGACTTCATTGAAGCATTACCAATTAAGGGATTTGTCTTAGAATTTAAACTTATATATTATTAATCAAATCCTTGTATTATAATTTATTTGAAAACCGACTAACCATTAATTGTTTTAAATTAATTTGTGAATAAGTCAAACTCTAAGATTGCTAAATCAATTTTTGGTTACAAGTTTAGTTGTGCATAATTGATAAAAAATAATTAAGAATTTGCAGCAGTCATCATAAGAGGATTAGATGATAATTTAAATGGAAGTTAAATTGAAAAGATCATTTGTTATACTTTGAATATGGAATATAACCAATGTATCGTCGAAGGCTAAAAAACAATCATTTAAATTGAAAATGTTGGCTGCATGGTATTTGTATTGAAAGATTTGGAATATTGTGAACGAGTAGTTGTTTCTTTAAATGGAACTAATTTGAATGGATTATAAAAAAATAAAATATTAGTTAATGTTCATCCTGAGTCTGTGAAAATCAGAAAAGTTGATCTTGAATCTTCCATCTAAAAAGGGTTGTTGTAGGTAATTTAAATGTTTGATAATATAGAAATATACAAAAAACAACGATAAGGATATGAAATGAAATTAATAAAATTATTTATTATATTTTAGACTTTCCCATCATCAGAAAATAACAATAAGATGAAATATAACTGAAGTAATTTTTCTAAATATTTTGAATCCAATTTATTATTATTTTATTTATAATATAAATATGACAGCCAAAGATGTGATTATGAAATTGAATAAAGAAGCTGAGTATAATGCACTCACTGCTGAATTTTAAGGAAATGACACTAAATTTGTAGGAGAATATGAAAATGTTAGGATTCCATCTGAAAAAAAGGAATCTATTAAAGATGCATTTAGAAAGACATCCAAAGCATGTTAACCTACATTAAAAAAGTAAATTCAATTTTACATGTAGTCTGTCATTGAGATAAAATTGGTTGGATTTATAAGATAGAATATATAATAGAGCATAATACTACACAAGTATTAAATTGTGATCTATGATTCCTAGCTGATGCAAATTCTTGTATTAGTGATGCAAGAAATGTTGCTGAGGTTAATGTTTGTTGTGATAATTACATCCAAAGACTAAATAATGACTTTTACAATGATGTCTTACAAATATTAAAGGATTATTGAGATATTGCAATTATTAAAAATACACATAAAACCCTTAATATTATTTTCTGTTAATTAATCAAAATGTTTTTCGATAAAGATAGAATCATAAAATTGATGCAAGCGAACTAAATAGCATCTCCTTTATCCTTTAAACTAGATTCTCCTAGAATATTTTCAAAAACACCAAATTCATTCTCAACATTAACTTGCGACCTTACTTCAAGAGGCAAACCTAAATTTAATTTCATAGCAGAATTATCAGACAATCGATCTTTGACAAATCGTTATATGTTGAACTCAAAAAATAAAACGAAATAGCAAAAAATATTGTATTGTAAGGAGAATAAGGTTGTTGAGTCATCACTTAGAAAAAGCTAATTGTATCCATCAACAGATTCCTTACTTCAAAATATCAACATATAATCTCCTGCTTCTACTTTTAGTTAAGAGTTCATGAAAATCAATTCAAAATTCAATTCAGTTAAAAGACTAGATAATCATGATCAATTTCTACAGAGAAAGTAGAGTAACTCAGTAATTCAATTAATGAATAAGAATGTATCTTCGATCGAACCATGCAAAAACAAGTAATGTTGAAAACTATTATAGTTCTGTGATGAGATCAACAGAAAGAATAAGGTAACAATTTGATGAAATTACACTTTTGGACTTGAAAAGTCAAAATATTTATTTGTAAGTAAGAAATTATTATTAACATCATAAAGCAAGAAAATGCAACTCTGAAATCTCAATTATAATCATTACAAGACAATATCAAATATCAAAATAAGGAAATTGCAAAGCTTAAATTTAATACCCAATAACTTGAATAGTAATATGTAGCATAAAACTAAAGATAGATTTAACATCTAATTAAAGGAGAAGAATGAAAAGTCCACATCCACTATCGAGAATCTTAATTCTTAGTTAGAATTTGAAGGGTCCATGCAAGATGATCTCAGAAAAAAATTGAATGAAAAATAACAGGAACTAAAGAAATATCATCTAGTAATTTAATTAATTATTTTAAAGATTGAATAGGAAATTAAGAATATGGAGGATTCTCATTCTGAAAGTTTGAGTAAAATATTTAAAGAACTCAAGGAATAACAGATTTCACTCAAAATTCTTAATCATACTATTCTCTGTCTATCCTAAATTTCAATTCTATTATCCTAGAAGGAGGAAATTCCAATTGAGATTTTATTTAAGTATAAGTAAATCCCTTAAATTTCTCAAATGCTATTAGATTAAGGTTAAATAGAAAATATCCTAAAATCTAATTCAAAATTGATAAAGGAATTATATGATTTGATAGGTAAATCATTTGAAAAAATATCATACAACTTTGTTTAATAATTTTCATAAATCTTGCATAAGTCATGAAGATTTGAATATTCAACTATTTTAATAAATAAATTAGACTGAAAAAATATCTATACTAAAATAATGATTAATAATAATTCTAAATTCAGCAGCCTCCTTCTACTTGGTTGTCTCATCGCCATCCTAGTTTCTTGGCTAGTTTTAATTGTTATAGTTATAATATTATCATCTACACAATATTATTATTTTTGTCAACAGGATTATCTAAAATATATAAGGAGGTTAATAAATCATTCATGATATTTGTTGCATTCCTTGAAGAAACTTGATAATTATATGCATTAAGTTCCTAGATATTTTCTATCTTCAATATATTTAGCCTTGGTTTCAGCTTGTTCTATGGGATTTTCTTTCTAATTGGAAGTCAACCAGTTCCCCAAAATGTAAATTAAGATTTTGTCTCTTACTTTTTCTCTAACCATTCGATTCATCTAGGTAAGATTTTGGAAAGAATTACCAACTTTGTTATCTAAAAATGAAGATTCCTAGTAATATCACAACCAATAAAGGCAACTACAGAAAATTTGATGAATGGTGAAAGGATTACTGTTATATATTGTTACCCAGTAGAAATAAAGTCTAATTGGTTTATTAAAGATAAATAAATAGTGAATTATTTATTCAATTGGATTGAATTGTATCAAAATCTAGAGTTTTTGTGATGAAATTTAATCATAAAATTGGCGTTGTTAATTTAAATATATTTGGATACTTCTTCATCTTCAATTAGCTGTTAATAGTAAATCAATTAACAATTGAAGTTTTTCCAACAGAATAATCTCTGATAAATACTACTTTGATTCATAGGTTCACTCCATTTAAAATAATTTCATAATATATTTGTATTATATGTTTATAGCGATCACCCCCAGGATATTGAATGAAAAGAGGGGATAACAATATTAAAATATTATCAAAATTTGTAATAATTTTATAGAAGGTTTAATAATAAATTAAATAAATCTGTTAAATATGTTTCAGAGTCATTAAACGCCAAAGTAAACTTATAAGCAACAGCCATAAAAAATATACTAGCAGGTTCACTAAAAGACTCTTCCTTGTAAATCTTTGTCACCTACTTAATTTTGCAATCAAAAAAAGGGAATGATTGAATTAGATGAATAAAATCCTTCCACTCCACAGAAGTTGAATTTATCCAAAGGACTCAAGGTGCTTAATGTGCCTTCACAAGGAAATGAGAATAGTTTTAGAGGAAGCAATTAAAAGAATCTATTAGTCTCTGATAGTCCACTAATGTCAAATAATAAAGAGAACGGGGCATCAAGTAGGAGATTGAATACGGACTCTGCTCAGATGGATTTAAACTCCTAAGTGGTCTTATAAGAGAATAGAAAATTGAATGAAATGATTCAAAGATTATTCAAGGAGAAATAAGAGTTAGTTACAATAATAGATAAATAAAAGAATGCATAATGTATATTGAGTAGTTAAGGGGGAGATAATTTGAATTTGAATAATTTAAAGGAGAGAATTGAGAGATTGGAGGGAGTCATTGATTTGTAAAGTGAAGAAATTCTGTAATGGAAACAAAAATATAAACAAGCATGTGAATAAGATGAGAGAGCATACGCAATAGAATAAATGGTAAAATATATAGTGTAATTAGTTAGGAATCTTAGATTATGAAAGTGGTGGAGGAGAATGAGAGATTAAATAATTTGGGAAATGATAAGGATAAACAAATAGAAGATTTAAGTAATGAAATAATAGCTTTGCAGAAAAGGTAGTTTGAATAAGAATAAAAAATGAAGGATCAATCAAATTTAATTATCGCTTATGAAGAAGATACTAAAGAACTGAAAAGACAATACAAACAGAAATTAAATTTAATTGAGAAACTGGAGTATTAGTAGTAGTAATACTTACAATAAATACATTAATTACAGTAATTGTAGAATTATAGTGAAATAACTTCGCATTCTTCATTTCATGAGAATAGGGATCAGTCTTAAATTGTTTTGGAATAGATTCAGTTTTTAGAACAAACGTTATCTGAATTATCTACTTAATATACATCATAAACTTTAGAAAACTAGAGGTTGTTGAGACAAAATAATAATTTGAAGGAGGAACTGATATTGCAGTAAAAAGCTTTGGATGAGATCCGTAATTGTAGTAGAGGAGCAGTGAATCCAAAATTTCAAGATGCTACAAGGTGTTTAAAGTTAATGAGGGAGAAGATTGGGAAGTCATAATAGAAATGAATATATATATTTATAAAATGAGATATCCTAGATTGAAATGGGCCCTCTTTTGTTTGCCTTTTTTATTTTTTAAATAAAATGATTTAAAAGAAAGTTTTAAGCAGCAGCGACGAAAGCAGTGAAGATGAGCATGTTGAAGATTTAATGGACAAATAAAAGTTGGTGTAGGCTAAAGCTAATAAACCAACAAGAACTTCTGTGAGCGCTGAAGTTTATGGACAATTCAATAAGAAAGTATTTAATCATCTTGATTAAAGGGTCAATTCTAAGCTAAGAAAGTTAATAAAAGCGAAGATGCCATTAAAAGAATTAAACAAAGAATGAGCTAAGCATTTATGTTTAGTGCTTTAGATGAGCATGAATTAGCTATTGTTATTGATGCAATGGAAGAGAAGAAATTTAAGTATCCATTTCTTTATAAATTGTTAGAGCTGGCGATTTTGTGATCAAACAAGGTGATGATGGTGATGTACTTTACGTCGTTGATCAAGGATAACTGGACTGTTTCAAAGTATTCAAAAAGGGAGAACCTGAAAAGCATTTGGTATAGATATATTTGAATCTTCCGTATAGAAAGTTTATCAACCTGGAGAATCATTTGGTGAATTGGCTTTATTATACAATGTGCCAAGAGCAGCTACAATTAAAGCCAAAACTGATGCTATCTGCTTCTCATTGGATAGAGAAACATTTAATCATATTGTTAAGGATGCTGCTGCTAAAAAGAGAGAAAAGTATGAAGAATTTCTTAGCAAAGTTGAATTATTGAAAGGTATCCATTTCCTTTGACTCTCTCTAGATATGGATCCATATGAAAGATTGTAAATTGCTGATGCTTTGAAGGTCTAAAAATTCAACAAGAGTGACTATATCATCAGATAAGGAGAATAAGGAAATACATTTTATTTCATTCAAAAAGGTGATTGCATAGCTACTAAAACTGAAAATGGTAAATCTCTAATTCTATTCCGTTCTAGGAACTGAGAAGGAAGTCTACAGTTATAAGGTTGGTGATTATTTTGGAGAGTTAGCTTTAATTAAACATGAGCCAAGAGCTGCAAATATCGTTGCACAAGTAAATATCATATACATCTCAAGAGCGAAGTGGTTGTAGTATATTTGGATAGTGACAGTTTCAGAAGATTGATTGGACCTGTTGATGAAATTTTAAAGAGAAATATGGGTAGGTATGAAAAATATGTAAAAAAATGAGAAGATATTACATATATATTTATTTGCAAAATATTTTATCTTTTTACTATTACGTATATTATACTACAAATTATAATATTATAAAATTCATTAATTTATGTAACACTTATCAGTATATACATTTACTAACATAGTCAAATTCCTTCCAGTCGAGGAAATATACTCCAAATTGACACTCTCCAAGTCTCTTATGTAAGTATCTATTCAACTAATTATTAGTAATTACATATACAATCCCTATGTATAAAAAGTAATACTCTCTAATTATTTTCCCTTTGAGATAATCGAATAAATTCCTCCCAACAACTATTCTTAATGCATCAAATCATTAAAGGGAGGGAAACTCAAAGAAATACCCTTTTGGGGAATAGAAACTAACGCAGGATTGGCAAATAATAGTTTAAGATTTTGGATCGGAAAAACATTCATGAAAACCAGCGAGCCTTAAGTAGGTTTAAGAAAGTTTGAAAATGCATTTATATCAGGAACCTTATCTTTTAATCAAGTGGAATTCAAGAGAGCCTTTCTAGAATATGCTCAAAAATTCATAGAAATTATGGGTTAAGAAATTACAAATCATTTCTTTCCTGATTGGGATGACATCCACAACAACTAAGTGGAAATATCAAAAATAAAAATATTTGATATTTTTAGAAGTTTCTCAATATTTTAATTTTATAACTCATAAGATTGGAAATGTGTCTAATATTTAAGAGATTATGCTTATTTAAAACATGAGTAAATAGATAGCATGTTAGAGATTGATCCTTATCATATGAAGGATGAAGATTATGAAATGTACATTTTAAATCTACTCTTTTAGTATACCTTCTGGAATAGCTTTGGTGTAAGAAATAGAAATAAATATAAGAACTTAATTGATGTATACAGCAAGATCGTTGCTGATATTTACAAGTAAAGAGTAAAGCATTCCTAATCACCCCGATGAAATATATCAATGTTAAACTTAGGAGAGACTATATTAATTTATATTACAACATCCTCAATTCAGGCCTTAATAAACCAATATCAAATTATTATTAAATATTGATCCTAATATAGTTTATGAAGAATAACATTAATTAAATTATTTGTATTGCACATTCAAACCTATAAATGACAAACAACCTTTGCTCTGGGTACTATTTGTAAATCCAGATGTTGATGGAATGCATTTAAAATTTGATAAATACACTCAAAGATTAGCAAAATCAATTCAAGTGAGAATACTTGATGTGTGTTTCTAAGAAGATCCACAATTTCTTGGACTTGGTATAGCCTATGTTAGTGTTAAAGGGTTAACCTTAAATTAATAGGATTGCACTGTAATTTAAAAACTTCCAGATTGAATTATTATTATAATATATAATGAAAGTGTTATTCGTTTTACTCATCTTTGTAACAATACATTGTGAAATGCTATTGGTTTCCTAGGATGAAAAATTTATTGATGACGATAATGATTTTGTAGGTGGAGTATTTCCGACTACAGATTCAAATTCTGATGTACTAAACTTGTTATTCTTTTTAGACCTATAATAAAGCACTTTAGTATGCATAAGAACATTATGCTGAGAGTTGCAAATTGAGTGATCTTTAGTGGCAAAGCTTAGATGGTTCAAAGAATCAGATGGTTTAAGGGATGTTGTACTATGTAAATATATAGGATATCAAAATAGTTCAATGTAACTCTAAAGGGTAAGGACAGACAAGAGAAATATGAGATTCAAGTGTGGATTTAGGCTAATTAAGAATAAAGTGCTGAAATTACTCAATGTAAACAATTATGAATAGTAATATTGAAAATAATATTTATATTCAACATATGTTTGTTGATCTTTTCTTTCTTTGGAAAATATCCATGCTGATTTGGATGATGCTATTTTGACTATTTTATTTATAAATAGAGTTGTTATTGAATTTTAGTGCTGAAGATTAACGAGCAGGCTTTATTTTTTAAGAGTGTGAGAATGTATTTTCCAAGAACTTGCCTTGCTGTGAAAATTAAGATTGTGATTACTTAAGAGGTGATTGTTATGTTGGGATGTTTATATAAGGATTTTATGAACTAATTGGTCTGACTATTTCTTGTAATGGATATCTAACAGATGATTTTTTGACTAGTTTTTCAATTTAACCACAATTATTTCCACAATGGGGAGACTCATAAAGTCTATCAACTACACTTTGATTGATTCTTTTTTGTGAGTTTATGTTTGAGATGAAGGGACGATCTTGCATCATTTCTTTATAGATGGATTCTTTGAGTTTCATCCTTTTCTCTTCATACTTTTTGGCATACTTAAGAAGTCTATTCTCTACCTTTGATTTTGGAGGTTCAAGGATTTCTTCAGGTTCCTAGTGAGTATAATTACTTAATTTACTCTTTGGTATAACATGAATGTTATTATTATTAAAAAATGATTATAAATGTGTTAGTTTATGATAAATTAAAATTTCAATTGGGATGTTGATTTGAATTTTAATTATTGTTATTATTCTTTTCATCAAGCATCATCTCAACTTGTCTGTCAATGCTTAATGAAACAGGTGGAATCTCTTTGCAATCCTTAGGGTCAACATTCAAGAGGAAAGACTCTTCTTGCTGTTTGAATTCAAATAATCGAATCTTCAATGGCTGGTTTAATTCATCATTTTCTAAGGATGGCAGAAGTAGATAGCCAATCTTTTTTAAACTCCCCATACAACCTTAGTGTGAATTACTCTAATAAAAAATGAATCAATACTTCTTAGATTAAGTCAATTTAGAGTTTAGAAACTCCAGCAATTGAGTTTGAGTGAGGATTCTGTGAACATCTTAGATAATGAGATAATTGAAAATGGAAAACACGGCAAAATGTAATTGATTGTTCAAATGGAATAAGGATGTTAAATGCTATAAAATGGATAGAGCAAGTAGATACCAATAGATAATCTAGGACTTTGTGTTCGAATAAAAGATCTATCAATTCTTAATTATGAAACCTAATAATAACATCTATGGATTTGACCAGAATAAGGTTATTATTTCCAAAGAGGTACTAATAATTTTCATATTAATGATTTTGGAATATTTCTAGATTGGCAAGATTGGATTAGATTGCTAATTAAAAGGATGGGATTTGAGTATTTAATTATGTAATTTATTTGAGCACATTGTCGATTTGTTGATATTATTATACATTTTATTGTGTGAGTAATTAAGTGTTAAGGATTCCTAAGAAACAGATTGAATGGTAATATAACTTATAAACGGCAGATTCTTTTGATTTGTACTACAAATATGATATATTCTAAATACAGCGATTTCGTAATAAAATGCAGGTTTTATAATAAGATCCAGCATTTCATGAATATGTTCATACAAATGACCCCCAAATTGAAATATGCAATTCAAAAATTCAGAGACACTTTCAAGGAACTGATATTTATATAATATTAGGTATTACAATTAAGCTGTCCTCCCATTCTAATAAACATTCAAAAAGACCTTGTACTAATTCTTTTCTTTGTTTATAATGATGACTAAAGTTTTTTTTAGAGGGATGGTCCATTATTATAACTTTTGCAAAGAACTCTTGAATTTATTTAAATTTCAAATGGCTGATTATATCACTTATTATAGATCCACAAATCTTAGAGAAATTCCAAAACTGATTAATATCATTATAATTATTTACTTCAATGCAATAATTCTTAGAAATAAGATTCAATGCCTTTCCAAAGTATCCAATTTAAGTCTCATTGACATTTGAGCATTTAAGAAAAGAGAATAGCTTTTGTATTAAGTAAAAGGCATCCTAATCACCAAGAATATCAGTAGTATCAGGTAGAAATTTAACTACAATACAATTATGGTGATACTTGAACTTTAATTTTCCTCTGCCTCTTCTTGACTCTCCAATGTATCTTAATTGGCTGACAAATATTACTCAAGGGTTGTCTATTTAAGTTGCATCTCTTACCTTTTTCTCTATTCTTGCTTATTTGGGTTGTCTTCCAGCAAATAGATGTTCTATCAGCGTCGAATGCTCAAAAATTTCGCTCATTATAAAAGGATAATTGCTTTAGCAGTTGGTTGATGTCAGAAGTACTATCATCTCTTCTATCAAGTCCTTGTTTTTTAGAATACTGATTTGATATTAGTTATCACAATTACTAATCTATAAATGCATGCATTGCCCCTGCTTTCAAGTCGTTCAAAAAATCATCTCTCTTCAGCAATTCTTCTAAAGTTGGTGTACTGTGTTTTAGAATTCTTATCAAATCTTAAGATTGCCCGAATGTCTAGAATTAACTATCTATTTTAGAATTGGTACCCAAAATTCATTAATACTTAATCAATTAAATATAAGTAATTGTTAAAATCAAAACTTATATTGAATAATATATTAATAATTAATTGTATCTTATAATTTTATTTTATAAGGTAGATAATATTATCGATATCTAAATTAATAATAACAATGAATAATAAACTAACACTATTCGAAGAAGAGAACAATACTATCTCTGAACTTCTTGATTTCGATGATTATGCATTCTCTCAAACTCATCGATACAATTCATATGACATTTCAAATTAGAAAATTTAGAAATTTTAAATATTCAACCCATAACATTAGGCTACCCTAGGCTTCATCAAATTGGATGGCAAAATTACCTAAGACATTCCTCCATAAATAAGCAATAAAACCATACAAAAATAGAAATAGCCTTCAAATAATCCTCCTATATGCCATCTTTGCACTAAATCATTCAAATCACACAAAGCACTTGGTGGTCATTTGTCAAGAGCTCATCCAAATTAATCAGAAAAATTCAAATCAAGAATCGCAAAAGCAGATGGACGTAAACATGAACTTTTACGAACTAGATAACTATAAGCAATAGCATATAGTGACTTAAAACTTTTATGATATTAATTTTCAGTTAATTTTAAATAAAAAACTTAAATTTATTCATTATTAATCTTTATTGATAATTTATTGCTGTTCCCATAATCCAGCAGATTCCGTAGGCTGATAAACTTCCATTTCATTAATCAAAATCACATCCTCCTTATCAATTCGACCTCCATTAACTCAAGTCTCTACTCAGATTCCTTCTATTTCGTTCCCTTCACCCTTTTATGCCATACTTTCTCAGTGATTTATAATATAAATTAAATTGAACTTTATTCACTAAGAATTAGCTGTTAATATTTAATTTTTAATTATAAATCTTTATATACTACTAAAATTAATCTGATAATGTATGAAATTAATCAATTAAAACGAGTAGATTGATTCAGATTCAAATGACACTATTCCACAACAGGAATAATCATAAGCACTCACTCATCCAAATTTTTTGGCATAAATTGCTGCTTAGAATTGTATTTTATTCATAATTTACAAGAATCAACTGGAGTATTGTACTTAAATAGAAAAATCAATGTAAATTAGAGATTATTAAACATGAAAAGAGTAAAAATAATATGATATTTTATTAGAGAAGAATATCCAAGAAATTATAAAGTAGAAATGAACTACTTAAGCGTATTGTTCAATAAGACCTAAATAATTTATTTGATATATGATTGAATGCTGATAGATGTCAGAAGAATGATAATATTAACATATTTAATAGTCATTAAAATAAGTATTACAGCTAATAATAATCTACATATATTGTTTGACTATTGTAACTGAGTTTAATATCATTTAAAAAATAAGTAGATTTATTTATTTCCCTCTAAAACACAAAATGAAGTTCCAAAAAATCTTTAATTTCATAATATAAAGTATATTAAATCTAAGGAATATATATATGAAATAAAATTCATTATAAAATTATAACATTAATGTCTAATAGTGATAGTCCCCTATGTTTGACACCAACAGATAAAAAGAAAGTGAATGTAAAATTAAAGGTTCCTGATGAGCTTTTCAATTATACTCCTTTAGAATCAATTTCAATACCCAAGAATCCCAAAATTCGCTCCTCATTCTTTAATTTCCTTAATGGAAATATTAATGAAAAAGAATTCGTGAAATTTAAATGCTTCCCCTCTCATTAAGATTAAGGAGTCTAAGTTGTGACAAAAACAAGAAATAGACATCAAGATTTTACTTTATAATTGAAAAAATAGGCAGCAATTGATAAAGCTAGATAACGATGGCATAAATTAGCAGAAGTATTGTTAAATTAATTATGGAGGTGATTCGTTAAAATATTTAGTTACGAAAATAGATGGATACTAATTATTAATCAAAAATTATCAGTAGGATTGAACTGGGACTCAAAATATAGAATTAATAGGCTCATTAATCTATTATAACAGATGATCTAAAAAATCATCAATTAAGGACTATGACAATTATAAAAGAAAAACAATAAAAATAGAATCAATCTTGTTTCATCTCACCTAAACATTATCATTTTTCTCTATAGGGATATTTATAAAATCAATCAGATGAATATATATACATTTACCATCAAAATCTTCCTAATACTGCTAAATTGACAGATTAACAATATAACCAATTATTATTTACTTATCTAAATAAAAAATAATTATTTGAGTAATTCAAAGAGGAAACAAAATAAAGGAAAATAATTAGATGGAAGTCTTCAAAGAGCTAAAGTACTTTTTATAATTCAAGTATGAGTTCTAAATCATTCGGATTGAATGTTAATAAACCTATGCAAAGACTGTCAAATCCTCTTTATTCCTAATAATAATAACGCTAAAAAGAATATCATTTGATCAATAAGATTAATGAAATTGCTAATCCAAAAATATCTAGTTGTTTAAAAACTAAAAAATTCTTTAGAAAATAACAAATTCATTCAAAACTTAATGGAGTTGTTAAACATAATAGAATATTATCATTTAATTAGGTGGATAAGGAAGAAGATGATGTATTGGATTTATCAAATGCTTCTATAACTGAAGCTTTACTAGATCAATTGTATTTGAGTTCATAAAAGTTATAAAATAAATTAAAGTAATAACCCTCAGTCCAAAAGAAAGTAAGAGATATCCTCAGATTACAAGAGATGAAAGCCAATACAATTAATGCAAATTATTAAAAATTGCATAAGTACTAATAATAACCCTAATGATAATTATGTTTTGTTTTACTCAATTCAACTTTTTCTCTAAATTTATTAATTAAATTAATATAATTTATAAATAATCAAATGGATAGCAAAATTAAAATAACCACTTTGGCTAATGAAAATCTATATGTATTAAATTGCTTGAATTCAGGTAGATAAAAGCATAATCCTTGAATCTCCTATTTTGAAAGAAGCTTATGATAAATCAGAGAATGGTGAAATAATCATTGATTTTCCTTTTGATATTTTGGAAATAGTGTTTGCTTTCTATGAGAACCATAAACATGAAAAGGAGATAGAAATCTAGGCACCTCTTAACAAATAGTCCAACTTCTAAAATTTTATAGACAAAAAGGATTATCAAATGCTTGAAAAACTAAGCTTAAATAAATAATAGTAGTTAATCCAAACCTGCAATCATTTACAATACAATTAATTGATGAAAATCACATGTGCATCCTTAGCCAATAAATTATAATGTAAGAAATGATTCTAAATATCATAGACATGGACACAGGAGCGATCCGATAAATGTTCAATATTTAATAGGATTAAAGCAAAGAGCAACTAGAACGAACTTCTTTAGAAAACAAATGGTTAAAAGAATGAATTAGAGTTTATTTTTAAGAAATAAATAAGTATATATATAAATTATTCAAATTCGAATTTAAAATGCATTATTTTAAAGATCATCCTACAGACAATGAATTAATTGTTAATAATCTTAGATTATTGAATTATGATATCAAAGAAGCAAATACAACTTTTCGATTAAACATTGAATAGTTAACAATTGAAAATATGAAGGCACATCCTAAATTAACAATCAGTATTATTCACTTCTTTGTATCTAAATTGTATGATGATGACTCATTTATCAATTCATTCAAAACTTTGTAATTTATCAAATGAATTATAAAAAGGTACCCTCCTAGAACTTAGATTGAATAATCAGTTTATAAACAGGAAATTGCTAAATTTTTAAAGAATTCTAATAAAATACCAAAGAACTTTTTAATAACCAAAATTATGATGGATTAAAGAATCTTTATTTTTCTTCGATATATCAGTGAATTTGCTTTAAGAGCATAATTCCTAAATTTATTTCCAACTAAATAATTGAAAACCTTTTATTTGGACCCTAAAAGATTGTTGATTGAAGATAGACCCTGTATTAACGATTGTAATGATATGTTTATAATATCGAATTATCAATTTGAAAACCTATAGAATCTAAACATACCAATTCAAATAATTAAAATATTGACTGGCCTAATTGGACATTAAATTTTGCTTTAAGTAAAGAAGTTAAAGAAATTACTGAAATAAAATTGCCTATTCATTGATTCTATCTTGCCTACCATAGATCTAGTATCGTCACAACTGAAATCTGAAAGAGACTTTTCTTTAAAATTAATCCAATAGCTCTGTAAATTAATATATCATTTTAGAAATCTGTAAGAATTAGATCTCTCCGTAATATTTAAGCAAAGAAAGAAAATTAGATCGTAAACCATAATTGGATCAGTCCTATAAAGTATTTAATGGGATTCAAAATATTATAAAGTAATTTTAAGAATAAAAAATGGACATAAATATGAATTAGATTTAATCCACAATAAGATTAGATAAATTTTGTGAAGAGGATAATTTAAATAAACTACATGAAATTCATAACAATAAAATCTCAAATTTAACAAAATAAGTTGAGAAAATAGAAAAAGAAACTTGGGTTAAAGATAGGGGTAATAAGTGTATGTCACAATCTGAAGATACTTTAAATAAAATAAAAGAACTTAGAAGATTAGTTCATTCTAAAAAGACAAATAACATTTGATAAGTATTGTTTTGAATAATAATTAAATTTATTAAGGCTCAACTAACAATTAAACAAGATTTCATTTCATCTAAATCATTACTTATTATTCCTTTTATAAACTTTTAGATGTTTAACAATTGCCCTGAGCATAATTTTTAATAATCATAGACTGCATACATCCATAATAGACACTTCTATATTTAATTTTTGATATTCTCATCTTAAGTTTTAAGCGAATCTTATTTTAGAAATTGCATTTTAGTGAATAATTAGTCTTAATATAGTTAAATGTCTATAAGTTTGCTTAAATTTAAATTTGCAATTGATTCTACTTTTTAGTAATTATCTGGAAAGTTTTGAAATGCAAAACTATTGAATTATTTAACATAGTCTATATATTTCTTTTTCATTTTGTTCTTTTGATTTTCAAGATCATCAATTAATTAAAATACTCTATCATTAACACATATATATTACGATATGTCTTCATAAAAATGCATCCATATTTCACTATCAAATTCAATCTTAACATGATCATGCTTACCTAATATAGCCTTTTGTTCAAGTCGGTCTCTCAATTATTATATCAAAATAGTGGCTTATTTCAAAATATAAAGAATTTCGAATCGACATACTTATTAGATATTATCATATAAATAATCCGCCAATTACACCATTAAAGTAATTCCTGCAATTTTATCAAGAATTCCTTCCTTAATGCTAGATATTCCATTTTAGATGAATTGATTCTTTTCTTGGATCAATTTCTCTTTATCTCGCTTTTATTACTCCTCTTCTTCCTTCTACTTTTTCCCCCCAATTGGAGTATCCTGCTCTTATAAGACAATTGTCTCTTGAATTTAATCAACTTTATTAAGATGATCCCAATTTAGTTATTCTGCTTCCATAATATTTTGATATCTTGGGTCGTGTTTACAGAAATCAAAAATAGGATCCGCTAAGGCTTCCTGTGCAGATATTCTCTAATATCATATATATTGTATAATACTGCATTTTAATCTTTATTGACCATTTTGCATAATAAATTCTTTAATTATTCGGAAATCTTGTACTTTTAATCATTTAAAAGATATGGTTTTGTTAATATTTTTTATTGAACATCATATTGACTTTTACCTATATAATATAATTCTTTGAATAACACCTCATGAGTAAGAAGTCCCAAGGCCCATATATCAACTTTTGAATTATATGAATCACTATTGAAAAACTCTGGTGCCATATATGGAAAAGTGCCAAGATGAGTTTTATATAACGATTTTTAACTTGCAAAACCAAAGTCACCTAATTTGTAGACTCCGTCTTTTATTAACACATTTTCTGGTTTGATATCCCGATGAGCTATATTATTATTAGCAAGTAAGGAAAGAGCTTGAAGTAATTAAAATAAAATGAAAATGGCTTCTTTTTCTTCTATTTTTTTAACCTTCTTGATTTAATCATACAAAGTTCCTTAATTACAGTACTCTAAAATAATGTAAAAGTTATTTGCAGTTTCAAGGAATTCGTATATTCTATTTATAAAAGGACACTTTGTCTGTTTTGAGAGATTCGCTAATTCTTTGAGTATTTTGACTTCTAGCTGAATTTACTCCAAAATGTCATCGCTAAAAGTTAATTAGGAGGATAGAATTACCCATATTTTTCCAAAGCGGATTTTTTGATAATTTTAATTGCTACGACTTCATCAGTCTATTTATTTTATCCTTTGACAACCTCTGCAAATGTTCCAGATCCTAGTTTATCTTTTAAAAAATATTCATATTTCTTGCCTACGCACTTTCTATCAGCCATATTCAATTTATAATATATAATTTTTAATAATCAAATATTATCTCTCATTAATTTACTAATATCTTATTCCATTCTCAAATCGTATTTCTATTCTCTTTTTAAATCAAATAAAGAAAGTTTAGCTGAATTGTTAATTATTGTTTCTTACTTTTCATCTTTCTACCTTTATGGTTAAGGATCTGTTTTATAAATGAATATAATTACTTAAATGTTTAGGATCTGCTTATTTAATTTATTCATCGTTTTTCATCCTACTAATTTTCAACTTTTACTTTTGACTAGTGTATTCCAAAAAGAACCTTTCTGATTATAAACATTTCGAACATATCTAATGATCTTTCTATTTACATTCGACATGAATAAAATGACCACACAAATACTTGTATCCTCTATTCTCAATTTACTCATTGCAAATATCACAATAATTCAAAGTAAAATATCCTTGGAGGTGAGATCTCAAAAAGTTCTGTGATTCCAAATTAAAAAAGCGTTAAATTATAAATTTTGCATTTTAAATGAAATAGTGTTGATAAGAGAAAGTATTAACCATCTTAATAAAGTTCCCCTTATATTCCTTAATATTAATGCTGCTATATTTAGTACCTAATTGTTATGCAAACAAATCTAAAGGAGCGTGTGTAGATATATCCTATTATGTTATAAATTATTACTTCAAATAATTGTCCAATTTTTTTCACCAAAATTTTATTCAATTTAACTTCTGCAATCTGATTATTTAACTCGATTAAATTATCTAGAAAGTAATACCAACTCTTTTCTGGATTATCTGAGTGATATTAACATATTTCTTAAATCTCGTTCATTTTTTTTTCTATTTCATCATACTCACATTATTCAATATTATCAACATTTCTCTATTTATCAACCACTTTGGATATTAAATTTTTTAAAAGCATAATCTACAATTGCACTGCATCTCCAATGAATCCTAATCTACAGTATACATAAGCAGATGATTCAATATTCTAAAATTTCTTACAAATTTCCAACACCTCTTCCAAAGGGTAATGAATTTTCTGCAATTATATTAATACTCTTTCTGGTTCCAACTCACACAAAAGCTAAGAATATTATAACAAATAATGAAAATACCTCAATATGCTTCACCAAAAGGATATTACTCAGACCAAATTCAGAATTTATATCCTTGTTAATTACTGTTTCAATGTACTTTAATTGTAACTTCTTATTCTGGCCCAATTTCTCTATTACTTAGAGTTCATTATCTTTTTAAAATTAACAGATCAATTCTCTAGTTCTTTGGATGTCTAAATTTAGTAGATCTTACACTTTTGAAACAATTATCCCGTTTAGCTATGCATAAGCTTCTTTGCCATGCTTTAATAGAAAATAATCTATACCATCAATATTAAAGTATCATATAAATATTTGAATACTTACTTTTGTACTAAAATATTATTTGATCGCAAATAGATAGATACAGGTGTTTGATATTCTCCTAGATAATAGTAGAGGTAAGCTTAAATTAAAGGTATTTATTTTAAATCTGTAAATCCATTTAGTATTTCTATCTACTCTTTATGTTTTGGTGTTTAAATTTTATTAACTAGAATATCAACCAACTTAAGCATCAATCTTTGCTGAAAATACTCAATAATCTCTGAATGACTTTGGTGTTGTTCTAATTAAGCTAATTCATGTTTGTCTATCACTTCCGCATATGATCTATAATCGATATAGAACAGGAAGGACTTATTAAATGTGCAAAACATAAGAATATCCATCATTATATCAAATTCAACTTCAAATTTCAAAATAAAGATCACCTTGATTATAAAGAATGAATAGGCAGTTTAAACATCATAGTTTTCATATCCACTTATATCATTAAACTATTATTAAACTTCGAATTCTTATTATTAAAACTTCCAACGATATGTAGGATTCATAAACATTTTCATTACTTTTTAAATCACATTCCTTTAATATATCAAATTTATACAAATTTTTGGAATGCTCTAAATCAATTTAATATAATTTTGTAGTTGACATTATTTAATAAATTATATAAAACGCCCCATAGGGATCTACCCATATCATTCTTCTTAAATTATTCTCTTCAAAAATCCATACAATCATCATATCAATTGTACTCTAAATAAATGTTAAAATTGACTTACTTTCAAAGTAACGATAGGTATTTGTTAACCATCCTACAATTTGCCCTAGAGTATATATTCTATAAATGAAATCACTTTCCTAACACTTATGATTTCTTCTTCAAAGTTTTCTAATTATGATTGCTTTATGCTATAGTTCCATATTTAAAACAATGGGGTTAAAAATTCATTCTTTGCTGAATGAGTACATAAATAAATCATAGGAAAAAATAATTAGCTCTCTAAACAAGCTTATAAATAAATTGAGTAATTCACTCTATTTAGATCTAATTAATTGAGGAGCAAGAATATCTTAGCTTTCTATCCTTTCAACAAAGAAATAAGCTTTAACAATATTTCATCTGGAATAAATTTGAACTATTTATTTATAATAAAGGATTCGACGATACTCAAAAAGAATTTTGACTCATCATTCAATGTTTTTGAAAGCAAATCACAAATAGAACTTAAGTATTGTTCAGCTCCAATATCAAGTATGAATTTAACCAAGGATATTCCTCTTTTCTATGCTTCTTCATTTTTGCCACTAATGAGCAATTTGGCTATCTGCTTGCTATACAAATCGATGATCTATTACACAAATAAAAGTAACTTTTATCTATCAAATTCCATAAACACCTTTTTATGTATGCATAATATCAACTAAAAACACAATAAAAATTGTTAATTTTCCATAAAGTGCCTTATTTTATCTTCAAATTTATAGTATTTCAATACTGTAACATTTTGACTTGTTAAAATGTATATTTCTTAGAGGATTTCATTGTTTGATATACATACATTAAATTAACTCTCATATTTATTATCTTTCCAATACATAAGCGGCAAGGGTTCAAACTATTACATTTACATAATTTTTTAAGTCTTATAATTAGTAAAGTTGCTTGTATACACTGCTCCCTTTTCAGTTAATAACAATACTAAATCATTATAAATAGAATTCATATATATAAACTAATAATTGATGAAAATTTTACATTAGCAGGCATCTTGATTTCTTTCAATAACTTAAAATTTGCTCTAATTTTACCTTCCACATATTCGGATCCTTAAAATATAAAAGATTTCGTTTAATTGGTCCAAGAAATTCCTAATACTAATCTATCTTTATCTTCAAGTTTAAGAATATCCCATTCTAAAACACATTAATTATTTTCAGGGGCATCATTTTAGAAATCTGCCAGTATAGTGAATTGAGTGACATTAGAATCTTGAATCCTCAGGACCCAACATTTGTATCCATTACCTAAAGCAACAATAGTATATTCAGGAAAATTAAATAAGGGTTTGCATTTAAAAGGAATAGACCTAATAATGGACATTGGTTGCGATTTTATAATGAATTGGGAGTCCAAATCATAAAATATTCTTCCTTTAGCACATCTAGTAATGAAGCAATTGCCTTATTCATCACCTGAAACAAATGTGTTTTCATTAACATACCCAAGCGAAACTATTCTTATCTGGTGTACTTTGACCCATTTCAAATGTTTCATATTAATCAAATCATATATACCAATTACTCCATTATCAAAGCCAACAGCAAGTTGTGATTATGATAAATTAAAACTTAATTAATTTACACTACCATGTTCTGTTTAACATATTTCTGCAGCATAAAGCAATTGACTTTTCATTTCTATATATTATTTATTTGGAGGATCAGCCCCAATATAAAAATTAAGAACTGCTCCCAAATTACTTCCTACTGCCAGATATTAGCCTCGAGATATCAAGCATCTTATTCTGCCAAATTTTCTTAAGATTGTAGCATTTTAAAACAAAGCTTCATTAAGTGCTTCAGGATTAAAGCATTTAAAGATCTCTGCTTATTCAATTTACAGATTTGTATCAATTGTGTATTCATTTTCTATTTGCACCTAATCAAATTACTCATCTATTTTGTCTTGTAAATCGGCTTTTATTAAAGGCAGTTGATATGTGTTTCTTTTAAAACATGCAATTAAATTTGGATATTCCTGTTTGTATTAATTTTCTAAGCTTTTCATTCAAAATATATCTCTAATATTATTAAAAAATATAATCATTGTATTATATTAAATATTAATGCTGAGAGTATTTCAAGAATAGATCGCTTATATCAAATATTCTTATTGAAATATACATTAAATACAATTAAGAATTTACTTAAAGATTTACAAAGCACTCAAATCTTAAATAATACATTTATGAAGAAAACTTTAAAAAAGAAGTGTAAACAACAGTTATAAAAACCATTAAAATAGAAATCTATTATTTATCTAATTCAATCATCGTAAAAGTTTTAAAGAGAATGTATTATGATAATGATAACACAAATTTACAAACATTTCGTTAAATTTGATTATTCCTAAACTTGGGTGGTAGAGAACATAAAGAAGCAAACTCTTAAGGGTGAACTTAAGGAAGCAATCCTTAAAATCACCATATACATTATTATTAAGCCTCTCTAATAGGGAGAGAGGAGATAACCTCGTCAAACTTAATTGTGATAGAGAAACAACAAAAACATAACATGGAGGATCATATATCTATCATACCAAGAAAATAAAGAATAAAGATAATCGAAAAAGCTCAATTTGAGACCTTTTTTAGGAACTTATATGACAGTTTACAAAATATTGTTTCGAATAAATGAATGAAATAGGGTAGATATGCAAGATTTTTTTTCATTGATACTTTAGTAGAGAAGGGATGATTTATCTTTTGTAATGATTCTGAAATATATTATTGAAATATGAAATTTGATATTATCTATTGAGTTTTAAATTTTTAGTTTTTCTGAAGATTAAGATAGTTGGGTATAAAAACTTAATCATAATATTAATCAAGAACTTATTTCATAATCAATGACGCTTCTTTAATTGTAAACATAAAAGCCTTAAGAAAAATGCTTTTTTGTTACATGCTTGATAGTCTCAATTTATCCTAGAAATTCTTAATTAATATTTTTATAATTAAACAAACAGTAATTAAACAACGGAAACATAATCACTTAAATCGATTCAAACACTCTCAACTTAGCAATAGAACCTAAATTGTTAAATCAATATCTTTACTTTTTACTGATAGTTTGTTATATCTATGTTGAATTGATTCATATTTACAGATTTTTAAACTAATTTAATCCCTAGGTTGAGATTATGAAAAAAAATATTAAAAATGAAAAATAGTTAGAATATTTAAAGAATGATTGATTAATAATATTACTTGAAAAAATTAACCATAAACATATATAGAATCAAGCACATCCTAAAAATCGAAGTAACCAATTTTTTTCTGGTTTAAATATGTTTAGAGTTATTTCTTTTGATTTTGAAGGTTTTGTTGGACTTTGATAGTGTGAAAGGTCATAGGTTGATTTTCTGATTGATTTTCTTACATTTTTTTCTTAATATGTTACATGAACTAATGAAAATATGAAATTTCCTGTTTCTTCAAGTCTTAAGTTTGTTTAATATGAGGGAAAATCCATTTTAGGATGTCCATTTTTCTTAGCAACATAAATGTCATAGTTATTTGGATTCTAATCTACTGGGTTGGGTTTTGGTACAAGTTTAAGGGCTCTAGAAGTAGCTTCTAACAATTCAATATGAAATGGTAGATCTAAATGAACAAGTATGACATCTTGTTCATTAGGTATAAAAAATTTATATGATTTCTTTAATTATGAAAGTGCTTCTTTTAAAGGACTAATAAGTTACTTTTTCACTTTTTATCCTGAAGTTTTAGTGCTATAGATGCTTAGATGTACTTTTCAATGTATTAAGAGTTAGTTTGTTTATCTTCTACCTTATTATCAAATTATTTTTAAATTTAAGAATAATTGAGAACCTAAATTTTTTAGCTGCTTTTTTGCCTGTATCTGTTTGTGACATTTATTTTAGAGTGGTATTAAAATATATATATTTATTTTTAAGATAATTTATTTTAAGATTTGGGTGCAAATCCAAATTAAATATTATGTCATGATAGCATGAATTTATTTATTTAATACTCAATTTTATCAATTTGTATTCTTAAAGATTGTAAACTTTTTCAGAAAAATTGAATAGTGTAGCAAACTTTGATTTTGAGAGTATTCAAAATAATACAAAACAGAATTATTTCTAAAGGATAGTATCAAATTAGTTTGAAATTTTCATGAGGAACATCTATTTGTTTTGGTGTATCATAATCGGTTTCCACCTTATTCTTTATATATTAGAATTTTCTATTGCAAGGTCTTTAATTATTCTATTCTTTCATGCTTCAAAGAATCATTATCCTTGATTAAATTCTTTTTTTAAACCTCAATTGCATATACTAAAAATACCTTGTATCCTAATATGTACTTTGCTTTGAATTTATACTTGAATAATAAGGTTATTAATATTCAAATATTTAACTTTGTATAAATTAAGAATTAATATCTAAACAAGACTTGAAAATCATTTAATAAATAAAATGATTACATATTTTCAATAAAGAATATGTCATATTTGGGTTTCTGGGTTTTTCTAAATTAAGCTAAAACTGTTTACATTTCATATTTTGTATGATTTAGGAGGAATTGAGATAGAAAAATAAATAGATAATATTCTTAAAAATAAGTGAAAATAATTTCCTTCATATGTATTTAAATTCAATATATTAATATATTTTAAAAATAATTAAGTTTATTTGCTCAAAATCAATCAAATTTTTCATCATCCTATGGGTTCATAACTTGCCATCTATGTATAATATGATATGAAGAGAAGTAAAATTATATCTGTACAGTAAATTTATTTAATAT